ATCTCTCATCTCATTAGATCACATCAGACGAATTCTCGACTCCGTGCTTTCATACGCGCATATGCTTTTTCAACGACGTCCTTCGGTAGGTCTGGAATGACTTCGCCTTCGACACTGTCGTCTGTAATGCCTACGGGAGCGCCTGAGTCAGTTCGTGGTTGGGGATCGCCTTCCTCAACATGATTTCCATCCAATTGGCCTCCTGCAGTGCGCAGGAATCGGACTTGCATGGGTGCATTGGCAATGCCTGGCCAGATGTCTGAGGGTAAGAAATCCCCTTGCTCGACGCGGAAGGCAGCACGGGCAGCAACATCCTCTTCATACAACTGTGTTAGTTTGTGTTGAGTGTCGCGGAGGACTTTCTCCATTCGTTGGCGGAGATGACCACGGCGGGCCACTTCAAGGATCAGACTGTCATAAGCATTCAGGAACCCATCATACAGGGCGTTTAGATCAGCTAGTTCGGCGAGACCATTGTTGAATTGGTCATTTTCTCCATTCCATACGGAGGTAAATTCATGGGCCTGCAAGATGTAGTTGGGAAGCCGATTGGAAGCCAGCGTAGTGAGGTGATTGTGGACTTTCAGGGTTTCATTCGAGATGGCCAGGAGGGCGTTGCGTTGCGTTATCACTTGCTCGAATACTGTCTCCATATCTGCAATTCGATCCTGGATTTCGATAACCACCTCATCCGCCTCTGGCGCATCCTTGATGATCACATTGACCATTTCTTCATATTCTGAGTCTGTCATGGGATCCAGTGGCGCATTCAAGTTGGCGTGGATTTCTTCGCCAATCTTAGGCATTGCATCACCGCTCGCTTGAACCTCCGTTGAAATGTCTCCCGTAATAGACCTCGCAGCCGCACCACCGCCTTCAGTATGTTTCACGGCTGTCACACAGAGGTCAAAATGTCGGACTAGTGATTCCAGCAAACCCGCCATCTCTTGGGCATTTTCTTCCAAGGCGTGAATCATTCCGGGCATAGTCGACAGGGTTATAACGACAGGCTCTGATGTAGAGGACGAAGATGAAGAGGCAGAAGGGCGCGAGGTGGCCATCTTGGTGGCAGTCCGGTAATGCTTTAATGCTTGCCTTATAGAGCTTAATTCATGGTCAAACTCTCGGTTGGAGCTATCCAAGGCTGCTCTAGCGGTGTTTGTACGGTCAATAGAGGATTTCATAGAAACGTGAAGCTCCTCAACTCCGCGCTCATCGACAAAGTCATGCAGCGATTTTGCACCTTCATCTTTAGCGCGAAAAGAAGCATGAACAACAGTGTTCCTGAGCAAATCCAAGGTACTCCTAAGCCGGATATCGGCCGCGTCCAGGTTTTTTAAGGCGTTTGCAAAGTCTTCTCTCCCGCGGTGAGAAATGTCTTCCACCTCCGACCGGACATTATAGAGCAGCTGCAATTGGTTATTCAGCCCACGACGGAGGAAGCCTGTCCTTGAAGAGACAACTACACTCTCCTCAAGAGCAGCTCGAGCAGATGTCACAATTTCATTGGCCCTCCAAACATGGTTGATCGAGGAGAGTGAACGTTTAGCCGCCAGAAGATGCGAAAGCAAGGTATCCAACTGGAATTTAGACTTTTGTTCGATGTGACGAGGCTGGTCACGATTTGGCAGCGAAGAAGTTGATGACTCAGACGACGCCATAATATAAACCCGATTGTCGCTGTCCAAAGCACGTGTGAATGAGGTTAAAAATGAAGCAGAAACGTCGAGAGTCGCAGTGCGTCGGGGAGGGTCGGGGAGAGTCGGGTCGATATTAAGTCAAGTTCAAATTTGACTACCCTGAGTTCAAAAAATTAGTACTGAAGGATATAAACAATGCAAGTGATCTTGAGGTTGAAGTGTCGATCGCCGCAGGAGTTCAACAAGCTGCCTCCAAGCTCCAAATACAGCGCAGCAGCTCATGCTCTTCTCAAAATGCCTATCAGGGCTTCAAAATAGCTCAGATAAATCCAGAATGACATACCTAGTATTAGAAAATAATTTAGAGGCCAATATTCAGTCTGTGGGAAAGCCAAATAGCTTCATAGGTGGAACACGTCAACGGCCATCGATATTACTTCACAGACACAACCAGGACTATGTGAGTAATACAGCATCTGTCCCAAACTGTACAGTGTGTGATATTAGTTAATGCAATCCGCCAAAACCATAAGGAGGAGCATTTGATCGCTGAGGACCCTGGCAAGAGCAATAGCATATCATGGTGAAGATGACAAGAGGTTCATTTACGGCGGAGATATCACACGTGATTCCATATGACCTAGTCGCCGAGCTTCGTGGCTCACGGGTGAAAAGTCTCACCGCCTTCTAATTCCAGCTTCCACCTGCGATGGAAGATACCCCAAGGGACCGTGACAGATTGTGATGTCAGGCCGATCCATGAAATTCTGGTCAGCCGGAACATATCATCCCTAGCCCCATAATCTAATGCCAATCACTATACTCCCTTATGTTCATCACGGTCAACACCATATCTAGATAGGATAAATAGACATCTCTATTCAGATATCCTGTAGAAAATTCATTTGCACTTGGTAGTTGCAAGGCTTCAATCAACATTCATGAAAGCACAGTGATCAGGGATAAATAATAAGAGCTTCTTAATACTTAAACTGATACTATCAGCGGTACGATGACCTCTTTCCTGATGTGTATCATTGAACCTATGAAAGTTTTTGACTGCACACTCAAAATAGGCATGCGACGCTTTCCCTTTGGTCAACTTCTGTTGAATATGATTGTCCCAAGCAGGAAATGAGAGGCCATTGAATGGATAACTTGACCTTTCCAGCGCATTTGTGCGGACGCCCTACATCCTGCTGTCGGGACTTGCGCCTAGTCACGCTTCTTCGAGTTATTCAGAAGTCTTATCGTGATATAGTTGTCTTCCAGAGATCATTACATTCAGTTGCCGAATTTAACTTCGGCAGCAGACCCGCTTTCCCCATGATGGAAGCGGCGCCAGGAAGGGAAACAACTAAACTCTTTCTAGATAGCCAACTTCTGGGATAGGAGAAAGCTCATCTCATTAGGGATGAGTACATCCTGTATGGTTTGCAGCTGGTGGTAAATAAGGGGAACGAGTCTCTGGTGAGATGCCATTCTTCGTCCTTCCTTTCACCCTCCATACCACTGCCTGTCCTAACTTCAACTTACTGAGACATATTCTTGCTTTCGTCAAATTATCTAAGCAAAGTATCTAAAGAGAGGCATCCATACCTCGTTCCTGCCATGTCTCGCATTTCTTTTATCACTCCTTCCAGCCCTGCCCCGGCCCATATGGGCGAGATCTATAAGGGGGCGAACTGTACAAAGTTCAGTCTGGTGAGTCCATTCTTCATGTGAGCAAGATTGGCAAGAGGCTTAGTGCAGTGCCAGAGATCAAATTCGAAGAAACTACGAGTCCTCTCCCGGGCATCAATCTTTCTCCTGAAGCAACTCACCCACCGGTCCGAAGGTCTCGACTGGGAAAGTGGTGGGCCAATCTTTGGGCTCGGCCTTTAAGAAATTGGAAAGAAATGTCAGATAAGAAGAAGTTAAAGGTTATGCTTCTGCTCGGTTTACCTGTTCTCGGGTTTATCGCCTGGTTCATTGGATATATGGCCTACAAGGGTCACATGTTCTGGGAAGAAGCGGAGTTCCAAAGGGTCCAGGAAGAACAGAAGATCAAAGAGAGCACCATGTTTCCCGAATCCATTCTCAAATCCGATCAGCAAGAGGTTCGGAACAAGAATAAGTGGAGCAAAGGGTACATGTACAACCGTCGAGCTCTGCCAATTAACTATCCGGTCATGATCATGTCAAGTCCAACCACCTCTCCAACCGAGATTACGTCGCTCTCAACTGTATCTTCCGTCAAAGTTCCAGTCATGAGAATCAGCGTCCCTTTTACATCTTAGTTTCTAAGAAGGCATCTCCCCAAGTCTTCTTATGTGTTTTTGTTTTGCTTTTGTTTTTACTTCTGAATTTATTTCGTCTGTTCCCCCTGGTTCTCATATCCCTCGAGGAGATATATTTCTGAAAGAAAGTGATTGAGTGGTTGGCCTCGAAGTGATGTATGGTCACATATCTGATCACTCTTTGTACTTTTCGATATGTTGTTTAATATGATTGATTTGTGACCTGGTGGAGAATGGAGCAAGAGGAGGAAACCCATCAACTTGCTATGGACTTTTTTCTTTTCGTTAAGGTTATTTGATAAAAACTTTCAATGCTGACCTGTTCTTTAACCATGGAATTAAATTGATTAACTATATTTTTCAATCCGAAACCACTCACTTCTCGCCTATATCAGAACCTCTCAGCTTAGCCTCATTACCTCAATTGAAACTTCCCTCTTCTCCATCCCACTCTTCCTCCACACGACAACCAACCTTCATTTGCAATCAAGATGGCATACACGATTGAAAGGTTGGAGAAAGCCCGCAGGCTATTTCCCAGCCATACACGGAAATACTACGAGTTCGAAGACAAATACGACTTGAGAAATCGAGACCGCCCGCACAATACCGTCATCGGCTCCTCCTGGGTCGACAATGATGACGATGATGACTACAATCCTCGACAGCCTCGACTGAAGAGAAAATTGCCCTCTGATCATACTCACAGATCTTCCAGAGGTCGTTCAAAGCGCGCACGAAGCCTCTCGCCTTCCTTGGCACCTCTTCTAGAGACAGACTGCGGGGCTGAAATACAACCCTTGCCTTCTATCCCAGTCACCCTGGGAGACCTGGGACCTTCAAAGTGGGACCTTGTTTGGAAACCTCAACATGAACGAGATCCAAATCAAAGGCACTTCCTCCGCCCTCGCCAGAGGTCTCCTGATTTCATTTCGTTGGCCGATCTTAGAACCCCGCCAGAAATGACTGATGTGCCTCATGAAGCCATTGTCCCCAACGGATGTCTTGCGTGTCAAGACATTAATTTGGACTGTTCTCTGGTACTAGAACCACTTCACTACCCTTGCCGGAACTGCAAGGATGACAAGTGTGACTGCTTGCTTGAGCCTCCACCTTTGTGGAAACGCACTTGTGAGAGTTGCAGGCTACGACGCCCCCGACGATGCTCATACAATTTCAGGGACTATGACCACAGTCTACCATGTCAAGAATGCCGACAACACGGATTCAAATGCATTGCCGGTCCTGCGAAAGGTCTGCCGCCTCTTCAACCTTGCGAGACTCCAGATATTGAGACCATAAATGAAACGCAGCTTCCTGGGCCGAATGAATCCCCTGCCTCCCCTGGAAAACGTGTGGGCAGCGGTATAATGAGTCCGCCGGAGCGAGGCGAATATTCTGATAGCTGGGTAAATTGCGATGAAAAGAATAATGCGGGTATCCGACCCTCGGAGTCCTTGGAATCCCAGAAAGAGTACCTGGGTGGCAAAGTGCATCGTGTATGGACTGAGTTTGCACATCCATTAAAGGTCCTACATGTCCCGCCAAACGACGGATCTGAGCCGTGTCACTGGTGTAATAACTTTGCCTATGGAATCCTGGGGCTTGGAGTCAGAAATCCTGAGGTTTTGGACTTTGGTGATGGCAAGTTAATCGAGCTAGCAGATGGCCATCAAGGGGAGGATAAGGAAACCAGCCGCATGTGCCAAGCTTGTGTCTTCAAAAGGCTTGAAATCATGAAATGCTCTCATATTGACATCGTTCCACTAGCGGGGTTTGATTTACCAGGCAGACAATTTGATACAGCTCGTGCCTATCGTCATCTAGCTCAGGCTGGTGAGGCGTTGTACAATCCAGCATCAGCCGCATATGGGGAGCCTTTCAACAACACAAGAAATCCCTGGTGCAGTCTCTGCAAAGAGCCTGCATTTTGGTGCTGCAAAGCTCCGCATTCTTTGAGTCAAAGTGTTTTAATTGCCGGTTATCTGTCCTACGATCTAGGATGCGAGCTTGTCCTATGTGACTATTGCGCCCATTTTACAAAGAGATTCCAGGGAAATTTAAACAAGGTGGTGCAATGGGGTCGAAGTGATCCTCAAAATGGGACTGAATATCGGGCTGATGTGGAGTATATCCTGACTCCTCTCGAGTCAAACTATTTACTTCGCCAGATTGAGAATCTTAAGCAGCTGGAATGAAAGCCTTCCGAGTCCGTTACCAAATTACGACATTCATCTTCTACAGCCCGCTTTGCTTCTGTGGTTCCTTTCGCTAACATACTATGCCCATGTTCTCGGGATTTTCCAACAACCTCTATTCAGTTTGTGCTTATATCATACACTATTTCAGATCAATATCAAATGATTCTCTTGACCTAAGGTTCTCAAGTCAGGACATGTGTTGCCTACGATTTTAGACATCTTAGTTGCTGCCTAAGGACCACTATTCTCTGGATGATACCAACAAAGATCACCAGTATGTCAAATCTATATCGTTTCTATTGTGGAAGTTGTTGTCTATTTTGCACTAGGCTCCGCTCACTGCTCTCTGCGGCCTGCAGTGTTTGTGCTGTTGGGAAGTATATAATTCGATTCACTCACTTCTATTCTTTCAAATTCTAAGCTCACCAATATTCTGTATTCTTCTTCGTTTCTAAGAAATCTATGCTTCGGAACGACCTGCGCCGGGGCTCCCCACATCTCGTTCTTGTTTGTGCTTCGTCTGCTCATCCCCGATAGGGTTTCTTCCCGGGGCGGAAAAAAAACTGAACGGCTCCGGTTTTCTGCCAGCACAATTTGCTACCAACATATTCTCGCTCCGACTTCTTCTTTTCCTGCAAGAAGAAGGCTGCTGCGGGGAACCATTTATTCACCTCTCATCCTTTCTTTTCTCCCTTATCTCCCCCGAGCTGCCACGTGTTGTGTGCAGCTCACAGTCACGACGTCTCCCACAAAGCGTCGCAAAGTTTCTCCAGAGCCAGGTCGCAGCAGCCCAGGAGAGACACAACGTCACGGCCGCTCCGATCGCCCATTTCCCCCGTTGCCACCACGAAGCTCTTCATCTACTTCGAATCCTCGGAGCAAGAGCTTGTCCGTGTCACCTCCTCGCTACGTCCCCGCCCATCTGCAGTCCCACGTCGCCGGGACTCGACTCCAGCCCGGTGTCCGCTCGCCCACCCCCGCGACCGCGACCGCCGGACTGACTCTCTCGAGCGAACACTCCGAGATGCCCTCCGAACCGCAAGACGCCACCTCACCGACGAACGGTGATGGCCGATCCCCCTCCCCCGGTGCGAAGCGCCCAGCTTCAGAGATCGCAGATTCCGAGCCCGAAGGCGGCGTAAGTACAATTCGTGACGATGGCGCTTCGCCGATGTCGATCGATGAGCAGGTCGCCCAAGTGAACGCCCTGATGATGCAACCGATCGAGGACGGCCAGAAGGGCTACGTTCTATCGTCCACCTGGCTGAAGACAGTTCTTGCCCGAAGCTCGACGCACATGGACAAGGCGGATAAGGAATCACTCGAAGCCGAGCTGGGTCCTGTGGACAACAGCGACATCGTCCTTGACACAGATCCAGTGAATAGCAACTTTAAGGACGAGAAAGGAGAGCCATATATCCCGTTGCGCCCGGGGTTGCAGTATGGCGAGGATTACGAGATTGTTCCGCATGAGGCCTGGGACTTGATCATGAAGTGGTATGGTCTTGCTAACCAGTCGCCTATCATCGTGCGTTATGCCCACAACACCAATCCTTACGGCGCCGAGAACATCCTGTACGAGCTCAACCCTCCGGTCTTCACCATCTTCAAGCTCTCCAACCCCTCTGGCGGAACTACACCTCAACTGCTGAAGGAGAAGAGCCTCCCACCTGTCAAAGCGCTGGCTGGCCGGCAAACCAATTACCAGAAGTGGTTGCGGCAGGCCAAGGAGTTGGCCGGCATTGAGATGTCAACAAAGGTCCGTGTGTGGAAGATTATTGGTGGTCTCCCAAGTGTCAACCCGTCTACCTCAACTACCCCAGCTGTTTCACGCACTGCCTCTCCTGCGCCTTCCTCTGCCCTAATTTCTGCCTCAAGCCGGAACTTGCTGGTCGACCTGAACACATTCCTGTCTTTGAATGAGGGTAGCCAACGCGAGTTGCTCGAGGCCAAGGACCAGACAAGCAACCCCAATTATAACGGCAAGATGTCTCTCACTATGGCCGGCTTAGTGGGTACAGATGTCGTTGTCCTTGAGGAACAGGTAGGTGGATCGAAGGGTGGAGAATGGGTTTCCGAAGCTTCAACTCAGACCCTCAAGCGGCTTGGAATTCCCATCAATAAGCCGAAGGAGAAGATCACTGCAATTGTAACCAAGAGCCCGGCGACCAGTGGCCGATCAAGCCCAGATCGGGAACAGTCCCTCTTTGGCAAGAAACCCCACGGCCATCGCCTTGGACTCACTGGTCTGTCGAACCTTGGAAACACTTGCTATCAAAATGCGGCGACGCAATGTGTCCGGAGCGTTGAAGAATTAACTTACTACTTCCTGGGTATGGGACCGATCTATTGTGTCTCCTGAAGTTCATTGATACTGATTTAATAATCTAGCGAATGCACACAAGAGGGATCTGAACCCGTCGAATCCCCTTGGATTCCAGGGACAGCTCGCAAAGTCGTACGGCGGGCTCCTGCAGGGCATTTATCGTGATCCACCTCCATCGTCCTTCAATCCCTCAAAGTTTCGCAACCAGGTCGGCCGAAACAACCCCACCATGGCAGGCTGGGATCAGCAAGATAGTCAGGAATTCCTGATGTTCCTCCTTGATGGTCTCTCCGAAGACCTGAACCGCATCTTGAAGAAGCCATTTATTGAGCGGCCGGATTCGACAGATGAAATGCTCCATGATCGCAAGGCACTCGAAGACTTTGCCATACGATCATGGGATATATACAAAGCCCGCAATGACAGTGTCATCACCGATTTGTTTGCTGGCATGTACAAGTCGACCCTCGTTTGCCCCGCGTGTGACAAGGTCAGCATTATCTTTGATCCTTTCAGCAGTTTGACCTTGCCTATTCCTCAGTCCAAGGTTGCCTACAAAGAAATCATTCATCAGCAACTGGACAAGCCTCCAAAGAGGTTCATGGTTGAATATGACAAGTCCGACACAATCGGCGCCTTCAAGTCGGCCGTGGCCGCCAAGCTGAATATCAACCCTAGCCAGCTTATCGGAGGTGATCTGGTTGAAGGAACCTTCTGGGAAATCTATGATAAGGACAAGCGGCCTTACAGCGACTGTAACATCAAGGAAAAGGATCCTCTGACCTTCATGGAGCTGGATGCTCTCCCAGAAGACCGTATTCTGGTTCCTCTATTCCACCGGCAGTCTCTACCCTCTGCGAAGGGCAGAGGCGTGCATAAGCGTGAGGCGTTTGCTCTGCCATTTATCCTTTCTTTTACTCGGGAGGAGGCCCAGGATCTGAAGGCCATTTACCAGAAGATTCTTCGCTATGTCTCTACAATGACCACACGGGACATACTCAATGAATCGGAGTCGGAAGACGACAACGAGAATGAAGAGGACGACATGGATCAGGCCCCCGAGGACTCTGACACGGTTGTAATGAACGAAGAAGATGCCCGGTCCGCAGATTCCGGAATCAAGACGACCTCTGTCGAAGGTGAAGACAGCATTGTAGATATCTCTATGCATGATGCCTCGCAGACTCCCAGCGCATCCTCAACAAAGGATGCAGATGCAACTGACGAGTCGCCTACCCATCCCCTGGCCGGTGTGATCCCACAAGGCCTCCTGGGTCTTTTCGAGATGAAGATTCTGAAGGGTTATAACGAAGGCAAGCTACCCACTGGTCGCTATATGTCCGCATACCAACAGTATGACTCTATCTTATCTCGCTGGGAGACTCAGAACCCTTCCCAAAAGGTACTTATAATACCCTACTTGTTTCGGTATGGACTGAACTAACTCTTCACCAGAACTCAAGCGATTCGGATGACGATGATAGCGATGCACGCAGCAATTCCGATGCATCTGACCAGCAAATTAATGGCATGACTCGGAAGCCGCTCGTCAATCCCGGTGAGGGAATCATTCTAGACTGGAACGAAGAAGCACACGATGCGCTCTTCGGCAAGTTCAACAAAAAGGATTCCCTCCGTGGCGGGTCGACTTTCGATGATATTCCCTTCGTTATGGACCAGGCGCTTATGGAGCGCCGTGCCCAGCGCTCTGCTCAGGCTAACAAAGGAGTCAGCTTGGACGAATGTCTCGACGAGTTCAGCAGGGAGGAGACTCTATCGGAAGAGGATGCGTGGTATTGTCCACGCTGCAAGGAGCATCGTCAGGCTCGGAAAAAGTTTGAGTTGTGGTCGGCCCCCGATATCCTAGTCATCCACCTTAAGCGTTTCATGACCCACTCACGCTTCTCACGAGCCAAGCTCAGCACCAATGTCTTGTTCCCCATTGAGGGACTTGACTTGTCCGATCGCATCTCTGGTCCTGCTAGCGACAAGTCTGCAGTGTATGACTTGATCGGTGTTGACAATCACTCGGGTAGCATGTCTGGTGGTCACTACACGGCATTTGCGAAGAACTTCATCACGGACGACTGGTGCAGCTTCAACGGTATAGTTTATCTCTATCATCTCTTTCTTGGTTATTTCATCTGATTTATTAACAACTCACTTCAGATTCGTCCGCTTCCGTGTTCCGAGATGTAACTAAGATGCAAACGCCACAAGCATACCTGCTGTTCTACCGCCGTCGTTCTGATCAGCCTCTAGGCGGCCCTGTTCTTCAAAAGATTGTGAACAAATTCAAGAATGGCGAGGATCACACCGCTGAAAACTCACGATCCGGTTCGCCTTCGGGGGAAGGACAGCGCCCCGGCGACTCATTCCACAATGGGTCGTCGACCGTCTCAACCGCAGCCGGAGCAGCTCCCCGAGTGGGAGGTGGTGGTTCGGGGGCGGCGAGTCCGGAGACGAAGGAGAGTGATGACGAAGATGAAGAGTCACACCACAACCCGCTGGATGATATCTTCTCGGCGCCCTCGTGGTCCTTTGATCGTGCCGCCACAAGCGGTGGTTTTGGAGCCATGGAAACTGTTCACCCTGCCTCAGAAAATGGGGACGGTGATTTGTTCGGGGACAATGAAAGCAATGAGGCTGTCGATGATGGAAACTCTGACCTTGAAGATCGGATGAAGGAGCTTGACAACTCGGCCCCTGTCTCAGACCACGAAGGCTCTTTCGAGGATGTCCCACCTCTCCTGGAAGATGGCTCGGATGATGAACTGCCTGTTGTTGAACTGCGTGTTGGCGAGGATGAGAAGATGGCCTCTGATCTTTAGAACAGGACCTCACGCTCGTGAGGTACGCTTCGGTTTCGAAGTATTTCACATTTCCATGTTTCCTTATGTACGGAGGTAAGGGAACGCGTGCATACAATTTTCCATATCTGTTCATGATGGCGAATGGCGTGTTTATAGGACATACAAAAAAAGGGGTGTCTGCTTACCTGCGAATTTTATAATGATCATCTTATGATCATGAATGTTCATGTTGCAAGAGATGTTCCTGATGGTCTTCATTTCTGTTCTTGTTGTTTTAATGTCATGCCTTTCCTTTTCTGTTTATGACTGCCACTGGATAACATACTGGGCCAGGATCTGGATCACGTTCACTTCGGTCATGTTCGCTTGTGCATGGCCGCTTTTCTTTGTCTTTGCATGATGGGCATCCATAGCCTGCAACCTGGCATCTAGGACAGAAACAGGAAATGTATAGAATGGTTAGAGCCTCACGGCCTAGAAACCCAGTTATTCTACAGCTACTTCCATAAGTCTCATAAGTATACAGTAAGCACATGCTGTCACATGCAAATCTGGCAGTGTTGTTGAGTCTCGTCACTGATTACCCGTTTGGGAAGGTGTTTATGAAAGGCTTCATTTTCGCCTCAGGCGACGATCGCTCCTCCACGCCTGCACACGCACTTTGTCAAAATGTCTCGTCCCTTCCCTCCTGTCAACCTCTCCCTTGCCGAGGCCTTGGGTCTGCCAACTCTGCATCCAGACTACTTAAATGACTGTGTGGAGATCGTGTTTCCACCCCAGTGTGAAGACCGAGTCCCACTTTTCGAGATACCTCATTCCCCTTTGAGCCTTATCCACGTCTATCATCAACGGACTTATCTACTGCCTCTCCAGATCTATTGCGCATGTCTCATGGAATCCAGGCATGTACCTCTCATGCGACCAATCCCATCACCTGAATCCTCAGATGGAATCTCCGGTAATGCTAGACGTACCAAAATGCCGCCTCTGAGAAAATTCCCTCCTCTTGATGCCGCCGCTCAGCGACGTGCACTGTCCATGCAAAGTGAGAGTGATATCAGCGTTCTGGATCTTGGGCCACCTCACTTGTCGAAGGAAAAGAATCCTCAACCCACACCTCTCTCCGATACTCTCAAGACAGTGCCTCACTCGCCTGGGTCTCTGACTATTTTTGGTCACTCCGATAAGAATAATCTGCTTTTTGACAACAATACAAATGAACGATCAAGCTCTGGCCACCATTCGTCTGCCGGGAGTCCTGTCTTGAGCGATGCCCTGCACCCAAGAAACTCCAACCCATCTCTCATCAACGAGAATAGAAGCCTGAACGTCACCAACTCAGAGAACTCGCGCGGAAACCAGCACTCTATCGCGCCCTTCGGATTCAGCCCGGGTGTCTATAGTGGCCCACTGGTTGGCAATGTGCATGGCTATGGCTATGGCTATGGCTACAGTGTCAACGCCTCGACTGAAGATACCTTCCATATTCCTGATGAGGCCCGAGTGGATAGAACTACAACCCAGGCTTCTGCCCGGCTCTCTCGCCCTCCTCATTTTCCTGGTTTTAATGCCGTTCCAATGACCAACACTGGCAGTGACATGCGCCAGCGCCAGGATCATCGAGATAGTGAGGATCAGGATGAGATGGACACTGCGCCTGATGGGCCGCATCGCGAGTCTCAGACTGTGCAGCACAAAAATATCCGTCTGTGCAACATCAACTGCAGGGAATCTCTATGAACGGCCTGGAGGAAATGAATTTAAATCATGAGTTATGATTTGTCAAGAGAGAGAAGTCATGATGATACTGAGCGAACTATTCTTACTCAACTAGCTATTCCTACTCGATTATCTACTCTTAGACAACTTAATACTTAATTCAGAGCCATCATTATGCAGTTTTGACAAATCTTTCCCTGTATCTTAATCCATTTGATAGCGGCCATACCTATCAACCTTCGTTGTTTAATTATATTCAACTTTATCACTTCACATATTCTCCCTTCAAAATTCAGTGATTTGGCCTCGTCTAGACTAATCTTCCTAGATCCCAATGTGGGTTATTAGTCTTCCTCTCCACTTCCGAATACCCTATCACATCTTATTTACCTTGTCTCTCACCTGCATAGAAAAAGCTGCCAATTCATCAATCTTGAATTCTATTGAAATTAAACCCATAAGATTGTTAAGAGGATGTTAGGAGACTTGACCCCAGATCTGCCTATTGCAGTTCTGTGTATATCAGTTTTTTGCAGAACAGAAACAATGAATGACTTGGACCCATTGTCATTCTTTTGCAGCTTCTGTGTGGCTTGATTTTTTTGGTTCTCCGGAACCTTAAACTGCCATTGCTTAATCTTCTGGTCATGATTTAAAATTAATATAATCGAATCGTCAACGTCATTCACATCGTTCACAATGAATACGAGGGATTTCCGCAAAGCGATGCTTTCAAATCAACAAAATTTGATGCATCGAGATGATCTGGTTCTCAAATGGAGAACAATTAGAAGAACAAGTATTCCAAGTACGGCTCTCACCGGGTCTAGTCCTCTTTTCTGGAACGTTCATGACGCCATCTCGATGCCGGTGGGGCATCCCATCGGCGATCCACCAGATCGAACCCTAACCCCGCCTTGGTTAGCACGGGAATCATACTAACACCCCCCAAACGGGTGCATCCTGACAACTTCGCTTTGGCAAAAGAAACCTGTTTTTCCAGCAGGGATATGGGTGATGTTAGTAATACAGGGCATGTCACCTTGCGCGTCAGCATGACGCGCAAATGTCCAAAGACAATTGTATCCTCAGATATAAATACCGCGCTGGGAGTCTAGCCGTAGAGCCTTTCTCAACGACACCCTTGAGTTATTCCTCATTGCAACTAGCAACCATTCAGAATCTTAAATTTAGCTCTTAACCTTGAATTTCAACCATGTCTTCTGGTTTTGACCGCCAGCCCGAGATCGTCGATGACGACTTCGAGGATGAGGGCTTTGAGAACAATGAGCAGCTCGATTCTGATGAACAGCTCGGTTTGTACTGAAAAGTCTTGACTTTGCCGCATTCACTGATTGGCATGTGTGATTACTAGCCGCCGATGATCATGAAGCCATCAACGAGTCGAACATTGTTGCCCCGGGTTTACGTCACGCAAAGCCTCAACGTTCTACCGGTTACCGCGAACTTGACGAGGACGATCTCCCACAGCAAGCGAAATAGAAGGTTCAATAAGATGATAGTTGTCTCATTACAAATAGCCAGAACGAGGGGGACAATGTAGGTGTGTTATTAGTATTTATCATTTACATGTCGCAAGTCAAGCAAACAATACAGTGTGATCTTTGAAATGTGCTCAGAATTCTTTCAATTGTTTGTATACGAGAAGAGATGCCGTGAACAACATCGGATGGAAATGGGGAGGAATTTCTTGCGATATTTACCTCAATCAGGATCAACCCTCTTGTTGGAAGACTCCGAATGGGAGGATCGTGGATCAGGCCCTTAGTTGTGGGCATAAGGCGTCCTTCGACGCCAAGAGAGTCGTTGCAATCATGAAAGATGTGTAGTAGTATCGAGTCATGGATACATTGCTATTTGCAAGGCTGCGAGAATGTTTCATACCTTATCTTTATATCTGCTTACATGCTACTTAATCGAAAAACCACCTCTCACCATGACTCACGGGCTCCGGGCCGGACGCGGCAAAAGGCACCAGCAGAGCGGGAGTCGCAGAACAGCTATAATTCATGAACTTCAAACTGAGGCTGACCAAGTGGATAATTTTAATCAGTTGACAGTGGGGGCAAATACCAATCACGGAGAGCTATATATATTACCAAGTAATGCTCGGACTATGTAACTCAACACAGGCAATTGGATATACGAGGTATGGAATCTCGAAGGGATCCCAACCGATAAAACAAGAGCGATTAAAGAAAATAATCAAACACACAAATAATAACCATGCAACAAAATAATTCCATCTCCGCACAAAATGCAAGTTGGGAAGTTATGGAAGAGTTTAAGAGAGTGAAGTCGCTGGTGATGGATAGCGGAGTAATCGATCGCAGATCAGATTATGTCGAACAAAGAGAAACCAAGAAAATCAGGTGAAAGTCTATTGCTGGCGGTTTATGTGCAGGTCTATTGGCGGTGTATAAAGGTGGTATAAACAATCAATGCGTGTACGGCTGATCGATCATGTGGGAATGTGACATCGGAAAGATTATTGTAGAGAATGAGGTCTGGTTGAAAAGGGCGTGCAATCAATCACTCAGGGGTCGATCTCTCACGCCTGTACCTCGGGCCATCCGTCGACATACTTGAGAGGATTGAAGCCAAGGAGGGCGTCCTGAATAGGCGTTAGCAGATATGTATAGGCGAGGTCAAAAGGGGAATTGAAGAAGAGTGTAAATATGAGAAGTCATGATCTCAGTATCCATGTCTTTTGGGCGAAGCACTCACTTGAAAATCAACTCCTATAGAGGTGTTTACTGTGATTGAGTCAGCAAGAGTCTCGGCCAACAAAGCATGGAATGGGAACTTGACTCACAGTAGTGGTAAAATAAATAGTCTGTGTCACCAACAGTAATTACGCCTTGACCTCCAGGAGCATATATCTGGTACTCCTGTCCATTAACCCTTTGAGTGTTGGTGCCATAGACAATCGACCCGCCGCCTTCGAGAAGGGAGTTTCCATCTTTGTCGACAAAGCCCCCATGTGGGCTTGTTGATCGACCCACTCTAATGCTGTATGCATTCTCAAGAGCATCTGTGAGCAATGACTTCACATCAGTGAAGCCACAGCAGGTCCCGTGGCTAAACCAGAGATAGTAATAACCGGAATTTTGGGACATGTAGGAGCCTTCAATGGGATGTGGTCCGGTCGGGTCACCTTTCAAACGAGTGGCCTCCAGCTCGGGATTTAGTCCACCAATGCTGGCCGTTGCCTTGTTGGGAAGGAAGGCAAGTTGATAAAATTCAGGGCTCTTGGTATCCGAAGGGCGGACCCAGACCTCGTCGAGGCGCACTTGGTAGATCCCTGTCCAATAGCTGCCATATAACAAATATGCATCCTGACCGTCGTTCAAAGTCACAATGCTGGGGTCAATCGCATTAGAGCGGGTGTAAGGGGCGACATCAGATCCATCTCCGCTTCCTGTCTGTACAACGGCTCCGAAGTCAGACCAATTTCCGGCACCAGGAGTGGCAGAGGTCGCAACGCCGACAGCACTGTCCCGAGACCCTGTTCTGCTGACAGAGTAGTAACAGTAGAAATAGCCATTCATCTGGGATTGAATGACAGTCGGAGCCCAAGGCCTCTTCCGGGTTGTTCCACCCTTTTCAATGATGCTGTCGGCCTCTAGCACGCTGCCCTGGTATTCCCATGGACCTGCCAAGTCGGGAGCACTGTAAATTGCGATATGGTCGTCGATAGTGTAAAGATAGAAGGTGTCACCATGAAGCAGAATGGTGGGGTCGTGAGTATTCTGCCTGGTGGTATGCGCTTTGTCGCCCCATGCCTGTCGTGGAGCTGGAAAAGAAGTATGCCCATCGTCCCTGGTCAGAGCATCCCGGGCTGCATGAAGGTTTACACTGAGACTGAGGGCGAAGGAGAACAGAGAGACAAGACCAAGTAGGACGAGCATCTTCAACCAGCGTCGGGAGAGGGAGAATTGGCACCGAGACCAAAAGCGCCGTCCTGTGCGAATGCCCTCTACATAACGAGAAGCCAGCCTCGCCAGCCGTGATAAATGTCGGCGCCATAAGACCATCTCGGCGGTTATGGACCCCTGCAATCATCGTTTTCAGAAAGGGCGCAGCGCGGGCCATGGGCGAAGGAACGGTCTCACGATCCTCAAACGCCTGAGGGGCTCGCCGTGAGGGATGCAACGCGATCCACTGGTTATCGCCAGCCGGGGGTCCACTGCGGGCGCATCCCTGCAAGGGACAGTATACGAATAGGAACACCCCAATGGAAGCGCCTGCTGTAAGCGAGTTTTGTATCTTGGGGCTGTTGGGGTCGGTTGATCCTAGCTGCAGGCACCAGGGACGAATGCGGCGCTCATGTCACGTTATCTTAGATCGCGCGCGATTGTTTGGACGAGTTTTGCTCCGCCACAAGACCCTGGATCTCAGCACTCTAAAGCCAACAGCAAGGCTGAGTCCCTTGTTCGAGGGGCAGAAAAAAGAACTGAAAAAAAAAAAAAAAAAAAAAAAAAAAAAAAAAAAAAAAAAACCCTGGTCGGTTCTGCCCCGTGGAAGTGGTTGACAGGAGGAGACGAGGTGAGGGTGATTCTCCCCCGTCCTGAGCTTGTGCTGATTTGCTTCTACACCCGTCGATCGCTTGCGGTTCCTTTGTCCCTGTCGATCATCATCCCTCGTGAAGGGACCATGGACTAATAGCAATCGACGGTCGATCAGGCTTGTAACCCCATCAACTGGAATGTGCCCTTTGCCATTCCCGTCGCAGGGCCGGAAGGTTCTATCCCACGGTGTCGCCTGATTGGCGTAGCGCCGAGAGGTTTTCAGAGATCTGGCCGCCGTCTACCACCGTCGCAGGGCGGATTTCAGGATCTTCGATCCTATCGGACGCGCGGGTTGTTCCAGACCTCACCGTCCTGGGTTCCGGATCGATCATAGTGGTTGGCATAGGGTTCGCAGGGTTGCACTGTCTCTCACACAACGCGATTGTCTCGGCCCGAGCCAAGATGCAGCTAGCGAACCGGACCACGGATGGCGTCGTGGGCGGGGCGCCATCAGAGGTTATCGCGACAATCGGAGCTATGTGCAGGACTACGACACGAAAGCTTGAAGAGAAAATGGAATGATATCTAGAATCGATCAGCGCAGGAGGATGCGGTGATGGTATGGGGATCAACAGCCTGGGCGTTCAGCTATTCGCTAGCTATGGAGAAATACACGAGATAGAATGAAAATGCCCCCGAAGACCAAAACACCACTAACGCCGACGAGTAGCAATCATGAGCCCCGAAGAGCCTAGAAGGAGCAACAAGAGCAGCAGGGCCCGAGGATGGCTTCATCTACCGCGCGACGATCTTGTCCACTTCGTCCTTGGCTTCAGTCCATGTCTCGAGATTCTTCCGTGCCCAGTCTAAGTGACAGCGCGCATATGCGACCTAAAATATGTCCCAGCCGTGGTTAGTCCACACTGTCCTTTGCGGGTGGGGAAAAACGGGGGAGGTAGCCGCGCTACATACCATGTACCGCCGAAGATCGGCTTCCTTGTCTTTCTGGAAGCGTCGCAGATCCTGCAAAACTCCTGTACTCGCGTCCTTCACATCCTTCTCTGATACCTCCAAAGCTTGCTCCAGCTGTATGGAACTATTAGCATGGGACTAAACCTATCGTCCAGGCCCACGGGCCCCACTGGCCCACTCCGGTATTTCTTTCTATTTTCAATAGATACATACCTGGATGAGACTCTCTTTGGTCTTGCCAATCTGATCTCGACGAGTGCGTTCTGGGTCGACGTCTGCGAAGCCATGAATGGCGTGGCTAATGCGACCGAAGATCTTATTCGCCACAAAGGTTCCGCTCGAAGTTTTTCGGTGGGCGGGCGAGGTCACTGGCGACAAATCTGGCTTTCGAGAAGCGGGATTTGGCGACGATTGGGACGGGCTAACGGACTCGCCGTGCGTAGGCGGAAATTCCGATTCAACGGAGTTTTCGACCGCACTTCCCCCTCGCTGCTAACAGCAGACGATGTGGACAGCGATCGCCGTGGCTTAGTTCCACCGCTTTGAGGGCCGGTACGGTTGAGATACTGCTCGATCCGCTTGGCTTCAAGCTCACTGCGCTCGAGAGAGTCTAACAAGGTCTTTTTCTTCGCTAGCTCATCTCTGGTCATGTCTTCTTGGACCCGCTTTAGAACCCGATATCGTAGGACCCCTCGAACCACGCTGGCAAATTGCGCACTCTCGCGCATCGGCTCAGCAAAGCTGGCACTCAATGCAGAAGAAAGCTCTTCGGTCTCAATGTAAGATGTATCCGCTGCCTGACCGATCCGTTCAATTGCAGCAGCCACGGTTGGGGATTGCTCGGATAGAGAGAATCCGTTATAGCGGGCTCCAAGTTCCATGAGATCGGCAGAGAGTGATGACAGGTGGGACAGTGTCCGCCGATTGACCTTCTCGATATTTCCTTGTAGAAGCAGCTCTAATTCCCTTGTAGAGGCCTCGAAATTCACAAAATATGGATCTAACTCTTGTTCACTTAACTTACGCGATTCGGGTGGGAAGCGGCCGAGAATCTCGGGCCCTGGAATAGGAGGTGCAGGACCATCTGTCGTTTCTCCGGGTGATGTAGGAGATGAGGGGAAGCCTCCTGAGGACTTGAGTTTCGCGGAGGACGATGGAACTGGTAGCCAGCCATGCGCCTGGGTTGGATTTGCGGGATCGAGAGGGGGAGCCTTGAGATTATTCTTGGGAATGGAGGACGCAGGGTGGGAATGCAGGACCTCGCTCTGTACGCCATTCAATTAGCTGAAGCGTATCGCAGGGAAGCTCTTCCACCTACCCAGCTGACATTCGGGTCTAGGAAGCGCCACCAGACACCATCCTCCCGAATTTCTTTCATTCGACGACAGCGGTTTAGGAATACCGCTAACATACGCTTCCGGAGTTCTATAATCGCAGTATCCTCTTTGGCTTTCGTTGGCTTTGCCGCATAGTCGGCCATGCTGTGCTTCTCGGGAATTGGGGGAACAATAAGAGTAGGGTGAAGATTGACTAGAGTCTGACGTAGTGATGCAAATTCGGAATACCGGCGACGGACTTCCAGGTCCTGGTGAGGCTTCTGTCAGTTCTGTGCTATGCATTTATCCCATCATCACAGCGCTCATACCGCAGTCCGGATTGTATACACAATAAAACTGCCGCCACCTTCATGGTTTTTGCCGGCATCTGTGATTAAAATCGGCATTTCCGGGTTTTCATAGAGGATCTGCTCGATGCGACTGTCGTAAACACTCTTCCGCGGGTACTGCTCGCTTGCAGCGCCATACTCGGCCTCCTCGGGATCGCTCAGATCCTCGGGATGGGAAATGAAGTCTGGCGGGTCGAGGTTGGAGTCGCGACTGGATGGCGGTGTCGAATCGTGCTCATACAAGGCTGTTCTCCGTCAGCGGCATGGTCGTCAGAAAGGAGAGTCCAGAGGGTAGCTTACGAGGGGAGATGGCGGCGGAATGAAGGGAGTCCGATAAGCGGGACTCGTGGTGGTCGAACGCCCCATAGGGGTTATTGTCCTCGTCATTCCACATGATATTGGAGGTTTCCGAAGGACCAGGGACCTGAGAAAGGAAGCCTTCGGGGTTGAAGCTTGGAAAGCTGTGCCTGGGGATCTGCGGGGGAACCTCAACGTCACCGACTACGGTAGGTTGCAGCAACCGGTGACGCAGTGGCGCAGCTGAGGCGCCGATCGATCCATAAAACCAGCCCGCATGAGATTCGGCTATAAGGAAACATGACAACTAAAATCGCTCCGTAGAAAGAGTCAACTTGCTGCCATTGTCCCAAATCAATATCATCATCTGTTTCTAGCCTACTTACACTCGCTCATACCTCGCTCCACCGTGAGACCGCTCCATAAATGGCTAACGAAAACGGTAAAGTATATACTTACATCTGTATAATCTCGGATCTATGCGCATGGGCCTCTACTAACTACCAGTTTGATGAGCTTGATGCGAAAACACCTATATTTTCTTCTTTAATGTAAAAATAGAACAGAAAATATTCCTAATGAGAATATGATACAAATCTACACTATCCTCATATCCTCAGTCAATGACATGGATCCTATCCCCATCCCTAGAGCAGCCCATTCCGTCGTGATGCTGTAGACCTCAGGATTTGTTCCACAATGAATATGTGCCCCAAACCTGATCTCTTGATGTCATCCCTCGATGCTGACGAGGCTACCATTTAGTGGTCTCTCCATTATTTGTCGCGTAAACGTTCCTGTTATCGTAATCATCCCATGCGTTGCCCTGTGCGGCTTTCCTCTCGGGGGCCCAAGGATCATCCTCATCTGCAACATGCCAGTCATCTTTAACAGGGCTTAAATTTCGTTTGCTGTAGTCATGTATGCTTCCATTTCGGCTTTTGCTCCTCGTTACCCCATTCCAGCCACTTCCTGACCGATGGTCCCAATCCTTCTGAGGGCTGCCGCTGCGAGCCTTTCGGTTGCCATTCGATCCATACTGGTAACTTCTCCCTGACCTTCGACCGCGGCTTTCCAAGGCTTCGTCTTTGTGAGGATGTATGTCGTTGTTCCAGTCAATTTGGTCATGTGTTTCAACGTGCTGTTTATTGTTCTGGTTCTGGTTCTGGTTCTGGTTCTGGTTTTGATTACTCCGGTTATTCAACTGGGGTTGATCGTCCCAGCGATCTCTGTTGCCCTTATCTTTGTCGTTATTGTTCGAATGTCCATCCCATCTCTGAGTAGAGGATCGATCATGATTATTGGCATGGCCATTCTGCCTGTTATTGTTCTTGGCCCACTTGTTGTTCTTTTTTCCCTTTGGTTGTTGGTTGTTGTTGTTCCCAGTGTTATTGCTTCTCGATTTCTGCTTTTGCTTTGATTGTTTCTGTTTTGGTTTATTTTTTTGCAGTTGCTGGGGTGGCGATTGAGGTGATTGTGGTGACTGCTGTTGTGACTGGTTGTGACCTTCATGATTATTTCGGTTGTGGTTGGAAAGGTTGGATTTTGATACAGGACGGTCTGGGCTGTGGTCACCACCAACCCGACGAAGGAGAACGTAGTCAGGCTGTGGCAAGCCCGGCTCTCTAGTAGCATATCGCGGCCGTTGCCAGCCATAGCCCGTATATCGAGGGATATGGACTCGGAGACCATCACCTCTCTCAAGATCAACTCCGGCATGCTGCCGATCCCGATTCACTCGTTGATGCGCCTGGCTAAACATGATTCCGATGCTTACATGTCTGCTGTACCAGCAATAGACTGCCCACCCAATTCCACCCACAATAAGGAGGATGGCGAAGAGGAGACCGATGATCAAGTTACCTTGCATCATGAATTGGTGATACGATCAAGTCTGTGCTCGTCGGCCGACAATGATGACGATGTTGCCGGTTCTCCAAATGCCGGCTAGAAATTGATGGCCGTTGAGGATGGCTTACCGTGGATTCAAAGCCACAGAAAGACGATATCGGGGAGTAACATGAAGACCAAGAAGAGTTTCGGCATATCAAACAAGATCTCAAGTTCCAGAGGGGTGAGTGGAAGAGAGGAAGAGAGGGCACGAATGGTGCAGGTGCGAGGTGCAGCCGTGGGACGGGGCAACGTCAAAGTCACGCACTTTCGGTATAAACAACAAGATGTACGATTAACTATCAGTTCTACTTTTGTCTATGCTTGGTTGATCTCGTTACCTCTCACATCTAGGCCCTTCTGTATCCTGCACATCCAGTTGCTATGCATGGATACAACATTTCCACCAGTCAGCAGCGATTGCAACTGGCTTTGAAGCGTTTGCTGCGAAACATCCATCAACACGGGTGCCGAGAAGCGCGGAGAGATCAAAGCAGAAGATATACTGATAATCCGAATGCCTAGCGTGAATGATTCTGGCTTTGAAATCCAGCCCAGGAGGCCATCTATGCTGTCTTCCTGGGTAACCTGTGTTGTGAGATATTCCAATCCTTCGGACACCCAACTGGAGATCTGACGCAACAGAGTTTCGGGGTAGGCTTGTCTGGTCAGACAAAGAAGGGCTTGAGACCACATGTCCACCTCTCGTACCTCATCAATAAACAGATTCTGTTTCTCTTCCCTAAACAGGACGGTGTTTTCCTGGCTGTACTCCGCAATCAAATCTGAGACAGACAAGAGATGAGTTTGATCGTCAGAGCCGCTGATACGTGCTTCCTGTCCAGTAATGTACCGAATTACACGTCGAGCAAGCTCCATCGAGTCCGAATAATGATCAATAATAAAATGTACCAACTGCGTGCTGGCATTCAATGGACTCAGAGTAATTGCCTTGTCAGGGGATATAGGCGAATATGAGAGTACCCAGGAGGCAGCAGAGGCAGCAATATCTCTCACCTCCTCATCATCATCGTTCAGAAAGTCATAAAGGATCAAGTACAGATCAAAGAAGCCAGCATCTGCTCGAGCGGGTTGATCTCCGGTGCGAAGGCCTCTAACAAAGGTGTGTACTGATTTCACAGCGGCGTAGCGAGTCGTGAATTCCTAATAACGCTATCAGTACCTATTCCATTGAGAAGAGATGAAATAACTTACTGTTTCTTCGCTAAGTGCTGAGCGCAGCTTGACAATCCAGTGCTTGAAATCGGTGTTTACGGAAAAGCCCTGGACTTTGCTTGATGTAGCCTGCAGCGCCAGAATGCATCCTTGAAGACGCACTTCTGCATCTGTTGCCTGCCGATTCCATTCCTGGATATCCGTATGGGGTCTGAAGCCCGTTTCCAGCTCCTCTAGGGACACTGGGAGTTCAATAGGATCCATTGACGGCGACACCAGCTGTTCCTCCAGGAAGTATGCCAAATTAGATACTGCCTGTGTCTTCACGTCTGAACGATAGTGCCCCACAATGATCCATGAATATAGATCGACCATAGGCTTCCTGTACCGATGGTCTTGACTCAGTGTCTCCTGAAGTCGTTCAGATACCCAGTGGGCCGTATCTGCATCGAACAGGTGGACGCCATGGTAGAACGAGAGTATATCAGACCATTTCTGTGAAGTCAACATTTTCAACATCGTGCACCAAGCAAGAGCCCTCCGGAGAAGCGAGGATGCACGAGTCAAACTCGTGAGATTCCAATCATCATGCGAGACATCAAACAGATGGCTTACAACTCCCTCCAGGTCATGCTCATCAAAAACTTTGTTGAGTAAAGGTATAAAGTGATCTGTATGTGTATTAGTTGATGGTGTTAAGAAGTCTGAAGCAAATACCGGCATACCTTCAACTTGAGCCTGCATGCTACGCTCGAGGGTATCATTCAAGATCTCAACAAGGGAAGTCACAACAGAAGGTGATCGCGCAACAGAGAAGGCCGAATTAAAAACAAGGCAGAGTGTGGATTGAAGATCGTCCACGTTTGCTGTCATTGTCAGTAGGTTTCTAACCATGAATTAATGGGCTTCTTACATGTCCAAAATACATCAGTCGTAGCTTCAAATCGTCTGAGAGAGTATTGAACGCAAAGAACGGTCCCGTGGATATAGTTTTCTGAGACATTATCTTGAAGAAGACCGATCAGATCGCGTACATCCTTGAGAATATTAGTACGAGCCAGCAGGGAAGCATAGACACGTGCAGCATGTTCGCGTATTCCCCAAACGGGACTCTTGAGATGCTCGCGCACCAAATTACAAATCATGACATCGCTGCTGTCTCCGATGGATGGAGTTTTCTCTCCGATCAGTTCGAGGGCAGGGAAAATTCGTTCCGTCACAATGTCTGTGCCTTGTTGCGCGATAGTTCCTTCAGTCGGCGCCAAAAGAGTTGATAGTAGCTCTAGTAAACCAGGATATTTTTGAAAGGAGATTTTAGAGCCGGGTTCGGAACCAGAGGCGCCGCCAAAACCAGCGGTGGTGCCTGTTATCACTCGGCACATTTTGCTCAATAGAGCACGGAAAAGCATCAAGCCAGAGTTACGAAGCGCCCATCTGGAAAGCTGTTAGATATGACAATGAGGCGCCATATTAGGTCACTTACATAGGCGATCCAAGTCGCTCAGCTGATAATGTAAGAGCTGACATGATGAATGGCTCTGTGTACGCAACAAGTTTGGTGTTGGTAAAAACATCTTTCAAGCAGTTCATTGCATGGACTTGAGGAAGCTTCAAGTATTGCTGGTTCTGGTCATACTCCACAGAAAGATGAGAGATATCGTGGAGCTCTTTCATGGCAGTCTTGAAGAATTGAGTACCTGGACTAGAACAAAGAATGCCGGTAACCAATGCTGGTAATCCAGCAGATCTGCGAGTGAGCTTCGATGCCGACTCGAAAAGAATTGATTTGGCCTCTTGGTACCAAGCATGAGGAAGGCCTTGGATGGATGGGTCCTTCGAGCTGCTACACCGTTGGCAACATGTAGCAAATGTCTGTGAGACTGTTGAAAACGCCCCACGGTGACGGAGCTCAGCCAGTTGGGTGAAACTGGCTCTTCCAACATTCTCAAAATCCATACGCTGAAGTCCATTAGGTCCGGAAGGTCCATATGTGACATTGAACATTGTTGCATGTAACAAGAGACTAGTTTTATCAGTAAGGTCCAGAAGTAGTCAAGAGTTTCTATAAGACAGCGTACCTTGATTCACGCAGAGCTCTCCATGAGTAGGAGAGAATGTCTTTGGGCCCCACCGAAAGTTCGTCAATAGGTTCATCAGTGTGGCCTTCAGGCGAGTCAACACAAAGAACAGGTTTCACTTCTTGCCATACGTTATCGCAAATCTGCAAGATTCGGTCATGAACATTCCGCCAAAATGTAGAAGTAGAATCGTTAGAGATAAGTGAATGAAAATCCGGCATAGACACAATATATCTGAAAGTGTAAGCATTGGTTTGTTTTAGCAAGTCATTGGAAAGGAAAGGTTACCTAAGTCCAGACATATACCCATGAAGAGGGGCCTCCCGAAGAGTTCCTGTGAACAAGCCATTGGAAGATGAAAGTCGGTCTTCCAAATTACCCAGAATAGTATTCACAACGGAAACTTTTGTTAACCACCAATCAGAGAGAGAAACACGAGAGCTAGTAGACCCTGCTGCACAAAAGATAACATGGTAGAGACGGGCAACAGTATCAGCGTGATCGGCTCGGCTTGATTTACTCGCAATGCCTTCAGCTCGGGTCAGCGCATCAACAAGTCGAGTGCCGGGTCCTGATGGTCCATTTGGCATATTGATGAGTCCAACCATCAAGATATCTTGAGGAAAAAGATTAAGGATAGAAAGCGATGTTTGGCGTACCTCCTCAAACTGATCGAGGAGCAAGTCCACTAGCAAGCGCAGTAGCCGGATGTCGAAAATGTCCATTTGAATTTTCCATCGACTTTCAACTTCAGACTTTAATGGAGCAATGCCAGCTCGGGAATCCAGCCCGGATATTAACAATAAGTTGATCACTTTGAGGGCGCTGATGTGCCGGGGATAAGATGCTGTGACACACAAGTCGCTTAAAAGAAAATCAAGGTACTTTCTCAAGTAATCTTTTGTCTCGGTATTGCTAGCGGTCAATGTAGCTGATAATTTCGCAGGGGCCTGAAGCGATACTTGGGAAACATCATGTTCTGCAAGAATGCCGCTCTTGAGTCGGATGATGAACTTGCGCGTCAGACTCAGAATTTCTCCTCGGCTGTAGGAGTCAGATTCGGCGTGCAGCGATGGAAGCGCTTGTAGAATGGCGTCAGTCGCCGCTTTTGTCATTGGCTTTATGCTTGAAGATCCAGCAATTAAGAGAGACAGAGCTGCTATGCGAACATCGGATTCGCGATGGAGGAGAAGTTTGCCAAGAACTTCGCTCTTCAGGACCAAATTTTGTTTCACACTCTCCTTCCCTTTATTGGACTTAGAAGCGTCATCTAGAGAAGGTCAGTATAGTCTTCGAGGCACAGGAAACTTTCGGTTTCATACAGTCTTCATGAACAAGGCTGGTCTTCTTGCCTATCCTCAAAGCAGAAAGCAGAAGCATATACTCGGAATGTTCAGTGTCAGGTATGTCGCCCGCAAGGACGTTTTTCAAGGGTAAACTTTCCACAAACGAAAAAAATCCAGTGGGGTCAGTTAGAAATACTGGTTCGAGTAGATTGGTCGACAAGATGTCGAGATCATTTGAGTTTTGCAACATTACATGGCGTACCGGAGCAACCCAAGCTGTGGATATTGGCCATGAAATTTTTTCTGTTCCCATGCGCTGGATAAATGCTGCAAGTAAACCGCTGCATGCTCCGCTTAATTCCCGGTTCGTGCTTTGGTTCAGCAAGCCAAGAACGAAGACTCTTGCGGCAAATTGTTGAGACGGTTCTCGGGGCATGCCAACAGTCTGATGCTGATCACAATCGGAATAAAGGATTTGGCTATCCTTTTCAAATATAGGAGTCCATTCCGCAAAGTGATCGGTAAGCCACTTTTGGGCCAAGGTGATCAATTCCAAAGGCGAAATGGCGTTCTTGCGGACAAAGATTTCCAGGAACGTCAAAGAAGTCTTTAATCGTGATCGAGGCTCACCGAGAATAATGCTCGGCAATGTTTCAAAGGCAATTAATTGTTGCACGGAATCTTTTTGAGGCTGCTGGTAATTTCTAGCCATAATTGTGGCCAGGGAGAGTAAGAGCTGCTTGAGTGGCTTCGGTTTGGCATCTTCGTAGCGGTTCAAAAAAATATTAATGACGGCCAGCCATGTTTCTAGCGACAACGCTAGTCTTTTAGTATCGACATTTTTGGATTTGACAGCTGCTTCCAGAAAAGCCCCAACCGCATTGCAAGCAGCCGATGTATGCTGATGGGGTAAAGACGTAGTTGATAGTGTAGTGATCAGCGATTGCCACACGCGTTTTACCTTCCTTTTGCACAAATGTGAGCTTGATTGGTATGTAAAAATTTATCATTCGACTCACTCTTTATCATCACAATTCGAGATGAGCTTGACTAGAGGACCTCTGGCAATATCTTGCAAGGTCTTCGTGGACAGGAATTGTATATCGGAGGCAATTTCGTCAATGCTAACGGAATCCGCGTGTGGGACATCCAGGGACAAATTGGCCTCCATCGCCAGTGCCATGCCACATGCACTAACTTGTTGAAAATCAATTGTTCGTGAAATCCGTCGAAATATTGAATTTGCCCGAAGCACCCCGCGATGCCTCAGGCCTCAACGTCATTGAAATTTGGATGTGGGTTACCAAAAGCAGACTAGCGTCATGCTCTCGGAGAAACGATATCCCATAGCGCTAGTCACGGGACCGAAGTTTTTGCTGGCTCCGACAGTCAGTGGAGCTGCGATCAAGGGACATCGTCCTTCTCTCCTTCGTCCTGTATTTTAATAATCTTATCTCCTTTCCTCCTCCACCTTCATCATGCCTATCTGGGATTCCCTCGGCGGTCGTAAGGAGAGCCAAGCGCCCTCCCCATTCGACACTTCCGCCCAAGATGCCACTTCTTTCCTCTCCGAGGTCGCCATTCCGGATCCCTCCAAACTCCATCCCCTGGCTGGCTTGAACCAAGACACTCTCGACTATCTCACCCTTGAAGACTCCGCGCTTGATGAACTCCCAGGCTCCCGCTCAGTATTGCCCTCTCGCGGCTGGTCTGACGATCTTTGCTACGGTGCTGGCACCACATATTTGGCTGCTCTGACTCTTGGAGGCGCATGGGGTCTCGCGGAAGGATTAAACAAAACACCAGCCACCGCTCCTCCGAAAATCCGTCTGAACGGCGTGTTGAACTCAATCACCCGGCGCGGTCCGTTCCTCGGTAACTCTGCGGGTGTTGTGGCCATGGTTTACAACGGTTTCAACTCGGGTATCGGATATGTGCGAGGCAAGCATGATTCTGCCAACAGTGTTGTGGCCGGTGCCTTGAGTGGAATGCTATTCAAGAGCACGCGTGGACTGAAGCCAATGATGATATCCGGAGGTGTCGTCGCTTCAATTGCTGGCGCTTGGGCCGTACGTATCCGGAAATGACGCATGAAGACTTTGAACCCCGCTAACATTTGCATATAGGTGACGAGAAAGGCCTTCTTCTAAAACCGTCCTGGCCACAACTGACCTTTGTTCCATTATACTCCTTTCCGGTGACCCGGCCATTCATACCCTTCCTGCCCTTCCACCAACGACAACAGGCGGTTGACGATCACCGCCAACTTCTTTCCACCTGCGATGTATTACAACGGCTTTTATACTTTTTTCCCTGCAGATCTCTCTTCACTCCGGCGCTCAAAGCATCCTTGTTTCGCATTTCTGCGTGGGTTTGGAACGGGGTGTGCAAATGGGTTTGTACTTTTTATTATTGCTTTTTGTCTTTGTACATAGAAAAGTCTCTTGCATTTCTGGGGCTTATCGACTACGACGCATGTTCTGTGTCTCGTTCCGTATCCTTAATTCTGTGAGGGACTTCCAATAGAAGAATCATTACGCATCCAACTGGGCCGAGTTCGACATCTATTATACCCAACTGCATATTCAATTTCGCAATAATAGGGATTGAATGGGATTGAAATTGGATCAAATACCAGAACGAATGAAAGAAGAGAAGAAGAAAAGAATGGAAGCTCAAGAGTTTCGCGCAACCCCATCTCTTGGCATTGTATACACAACTCAAGACACTAGCCTTCGTCAAACAACACCCCATGGTGGTTCTTATAGCGAATTTTCGCTAAGCTCCCACGATATCACTCAGTCTGCCTGTCAACTCCTCCATGAGGTACTTTAAATGAAAAGCCCAGCCAAGGATCCCGCCAGCAAAAGTCCCACCATTCCCATAGCCGACTTCGAAAGAGGTTGAGGCGCAACCACAGCAGCACCAGCGTTCGCAGTCGATGCTGCAGTGGCACCGCTAGAAGTGGCCGAGGCCGTGGAATCAGCCCCGGTGGTGGTAGCTCCCAGAGTCACCACGCCGGTTCCAGTAGCTGTTGCCGTGGCTGTGGCCGTCGCATTGGCGTTCGTGTTGCACCAGACCTCGCCGGCTTCAGAAGCCTTGATGAGACACTCGGCCAAAGCACCAACAGTTTGGCCTTGAGCCAGGCAGTAATAATCACAGTTGTCATACTCAACGACAGATGCTGAGGAGCAGCAGCTGCTCATGATCGAAGAGTAGTTACTCTTGATCGGCATGGCGCATGCGGCATCGTGCGTCGGGATGTCATACAGCTTTGCATGGCAGCTGGAGGTTGCCGAAGCAGAAGAAACAGTGCTTGATGTTGTCACAGACATGTCGTCTCAGATATTGGAGGGATTTCTATGAATAAATTCGTTGAAAAAAGTAGAGGATTAAATGAGTGAAGTGTCCACTTAGAAAGGAGCCAAGCTGAACGAAGTTGCCTGCTGTAGCCGACAGAAGGAATGGAAATACAGATCATCTTATACCCTGGTCGCATGTCAGGAAAATGAATTCTGATTTTCACTTCCCTTGGCATTTATTTCCACCTCAACTCCATCTACCATCAGCCACAATGGGACCAAGGCGCAGGACCTACGGCTAGGTCTTCTTCCATGCCACGGTGCCATGCATATCAGGATGTAGGTCCACCTTCATATGGCCCATCTTGCACTATTTCGGCGTTCAAAAGTACCCAAACCGACGGCTTATCTTAAATTAGAGCAGTCATCTCGCTAGCCGATGTGGACCAGAATGCATCAGCCAAGCTTTCTATTTCCATTCCGCCCATAGGATCATCCAATGTCTTGGCTTACGATAATAGTTCGTTATCAAGGACTTAATGACGCGTCTATAACATGACCCTGTTCCCTGAGATCCACATGTCTTGGGGTCTAGAGAGCTACAGGGTCCCACCGTGGGTAAATCTATACCAGCACATCAGAACCCGAATGAATGCCGGTCTGCCCTGGTACAAATGTTCATTCAAGAAAATTCTTCAATGATTGTCATTTTCTTCCTTATTATCATAAAACTCCAAATTTATACGGAATATAAACCATATGACAGTGGACGTTTTGCAGATCGGCTGATTCTACAGACTATCAACTCAATACAATATTTACTAGCGGTTCGTCGCCAAATACCTCATTAGTTAACAATTTTTTGCGAGCGATCCAGTCTGTCATTTTGAATTACAATGCTTCGCCATGATGTGACCTATATTAATTGGTACCCAGTGGGTGGTGCCTCGGGCGCTGTCAAGATTTTCTAAAAATAGAGCAGCTACCTGTTAGATGAGGAAGCACTTATCCACAGCTATTTGACCTAATAGCCATGATCAACTCGCGATCTAGATGACAAAAGACATGGAGTTCTGCGGTTCTTAGCGCAAGCAACTATACGGTATGTGCTTGTACATTTGCACATATGATCTGGAGAAAATCTGTTTCGCCGGAATAATATATATCCTCCTCAGGGTACCTACCATATTCAAGGATGGTCTTCCACACGACCCAAAATAACCCGGACCCAATCCGGACAGCCCGGGCTAAATTTTGGGGTCAAAGACTCCGGCTTAGCGTTGGAACCAAGTACCTAGATCTAAATTGGGGTCCTAGTTAGGTCGCAAATATAATACACATGCCAAGCCGTATTAACTATCTAAGCTATATATTTCTTTCTCTCCTTTCTCCTTTAGGAGAGATTTTAATGATTGGATAGGATTAAATTGGAATTCTTGTATTTTCTTATTTCCTTGCTCTATATCAAATCTCTATATCTTCAAAATTATTCTTTATATTAACTTGTAATGTAATTTGATATCATAAAAACGACCTAGTTGTAAAAGGTAATATATTAAATTTAACTAGTATAAGCTGTTATAGACTAAAGAAAGTAACTAATATAGTCTACTGTTTTGATTGGAGAGCAGCTCTATATGGACTTTGTGCAAAAAGCTGGGTTAAACTAGGTCATATTGGGTTTTGGGTCGAGACCTTTAACCCAAATTGATTTCTGCGAAAGTCCATTCAAATATTGTCTGCTGGATCCGGGAAACCCCCTCTTGAGTGGTTGCTGCATAAAGTACACTTGTACTCACGTTGACGTGAGGACTGCCTGGCAGGTCAAGATGTACGCTGATTCGTCACATGCCTATATAGTCCCAACTGCCAGTGAAAAAAATCTCTTCAGGCTTTTCAAGTATAGTTTTGGCTGGCTTCTGATCAAACAGTACGCCTATTCAGCACCAATTATCACATTCGGGTCATATACACGCTTGTGATACTAGTAATACGTGCTTTATTCTGCATGAACTTGAGATATCACTGACAAAGCCACCATTATCCCAGCGCATCTTGGATGGCGATACAAACCGAGGATCCGCAGATTTTGTTTGGATCTGAATCTGGCCTAATAAACAGTTCCCCGATTTTGTTGATACTTAGAGTTTTTCAAGGTGGCGGCTAGACTGCGTCGCTAGGTTGTGATTATTTCGTTAATCCATGCTTGTAAATTGTAGTGCATGTCAATTACCTAGGAAAATATGGAAATGGAAAAAAAGGGAAAAAAGAGCCGGCACTAAGATATCTGGTGTGTTAAGACCAGGTTAGAAAGTTCATCCTTTGATGGTTGCTGCTCGGGCCATGTTACTAGGCGCAGAAGGCAGGGGAGGGCATGCGTGGAGAAATCACTTCCATTGCCACTTTGAAATCGTCGATGTCCAAAACGATCGGGTAGGATGATTCATGCAATACAAAACGAGTCGGAGTCTCACAAAGCCTCCGATACGGGTCAATTGGTCGCATTGACCCTGGACATCAATTTCCTGGTTAAGCTTCACGTAGATCAGGAACCGGCGGACGCCGATGCGGGGGCAAATTTGGAGACAGAAGAATCATTTTGCTGTCCGCCACAACACCCCTGAACATCTACCCACCATCGAGCCAAAAGAAACCTGTGGGGATGCCGAATAGTACATCATCCGGGAATGTGAAGACTCCCAAATCACGCACGAAGACCTTTACAGGCTGTTGGACCTGCCGGGCCCGCAGAGTCAAGTGCGACGACGAGCGACCGCACTGTCGTCGCTGCCGCCGAAGTGGCTGGCAGTGCCAGGGCTATGGGTTGCGTCTAGGATGGTCACAAACACCGGGCAGCCGTTCTCATCGGCGTCAGATATGGTCATCGACTCCACAGTCAACGCACGACTTGTCATCGGCCGCTGTGACGGCCCTCTTGGCGGACTTGGACGGGTGCTCCGGCGACGGCATCGCGCAGCAGCGGGGGCCCTTCTCGGTGTTCTCCGCATCGACACCGAGCCCTAAAGACCCCAAACCTGCAGAAACACAGTATAATGTGGCCGAATACTCGCCATTACTGGTGAATCGGTGCATCTCGATTCCACTTGTGGTGAATGAATCCTCCAGTCGCAGTGGAAGTAGCGCTCAAGCCTCCCCGGAACCGGTACATGAAGAAATCAATTTTACAATCACATCCCCATCAACCTCATGCCATGAACAATGGCTATCACCGAGACTATCCGAGGAGGCCGCCAGAATTGACAGTGATCGTATCAGAACTGCTTCGGCTGTCGGTCATCGACGTCCGGAAAATGGCCTTTCTCCGGAGAAGAATAGTCAAAAAGACCTCATGGGCCTATCGTCTTCATTATTATCAGACATATTCCCGGTTATGGCAATCAATCCTATCCAGCTTCCGAGGCCTGAAACGGAGCTTGTTCACCATTGGGTAGTTTTCCTCAGTGGGAACATGCTACTGATAGATACCCCTGACAATCCATGCCGAACGATATTCATGCCAATGGCTTTGAAAGGGCTCGATGCCCCACCGTCAGAGCCCAATATCCATCTCTCCATCTTCCATGCAATTTGCGCGTCATCTGCATTCAGTCTATTCCACCTTCGCCGAGACCCCCGATATCAGTCTTTGGCCATGCATCACGATCAGCTTGCCTTGCGGCACTTGCGCGAAAACTTGCAACGAGCGAAGCGTCTTGACGAGCCCACTTTGGCCGCTGTTCTCTCCTGCATCACGGCTGAGGCGATGTCTGGACGACGAAGCCGTTGGAGAGCGCACGTTGCTGGCGGACTTGGTCTTTTGGAAAACGAAATTCACGGCGGTTGGGTACGTGGCCCAACCGCCTCTCGCTTACTTCAGAGCTACCTGTCCCTCTCCTCTCTTTGCAGCTTACCTATGTCAGCCCAGCTGATGTCACTTCTCAATGGGCCTTCCGAGCTTCGACATTATCTAGAACGATCGCACGGCATTACCGGCCCGTTGGTTCAGTTCCTGGCTCATATTACCTCCATCATCGACTCGAAATCGCGGGTTCCTACAGAAGAGCTGGATAAATTAGAACTACAGCTCTATCTCAACTTTCCATGTCTATCCAACCCTGATGCTCCCGGATCAATCATTATCCAGCATGCCTTGAACTCATTTTATTACGCCACAATTGTCTATTTCCGTCGAACCCTACGACGGGCACCGCTGTGCGATGTGCAGGAATTGGTTGAGAAGGCCATTCAAGAACTAGAAGCCGTCGATGTTCGAGGAGACGACAAAGGAGGCTGTGCTTATAATTGGGCCAGCTTTGTCGTCGCCGCTGAATGTCAACGAGAGGATTTGCAAGCTCGCATGTTGGCTTCATTTGACAGGAAGAGTCGGCACGGGATCCAGAATATCAATGTGCTTTGCGAGATCGTTCAAACATTATGGCAACGGCGTGCTCGGGCCGGGCCTGGCCAAGAAATCTATTGGCAGGAGATTGCACAAGAAGCGGACTTTGATATTATGCTGGTCTAGACTTCAATATCTATGCATTGTAGTTTAATAGATATTTTTCCTTCCCTTTTCTATACTCCTATTTTGTATTTCTTCTGAGCATGCATGAATTAATTCTTGTGCTACTGCGTTAAATTACAGTTAAGGAATCTAGACAGTGTACCCTCCATCTACAACTAGCGCGGCGCCACACATATAGCTGCTCATAGGAGATGAAAGAAAGAGAATGGCATCGGATATCTCCTCCACCCGAGCCGGACGACCAACAGGTGTCATTTCAAATGCTGGGTTCATTGACCCGGACTCGATTTGCTGCTTGATGATCGGAGTGTCCACGAATCTGATAGAAAAATAAAAATCAATAAGTTTTAGAATTCGATAGCAAAGATTGACCGATCAGTCTGCCAAATACTTCACATACCCAGGGCAGATGGCATTTATACGGATTTGTTGACGAGAATAGGCTTTGGCATCCTAGTTTATGTTAATCATGTCTTCTATAAAGCATAACCGGCAGAATACATACCATTTTTGTCAAGCCAACCACAGCTGCTCTCGTTAGTAGCGTCATTCAGGAGGAGAAGCCAGAGTACATACCGTGCTTTGCAGCGGTGTAGTGTGGGATGCTGAACGGACCAGGGGGACCGCCAACTCCAAACATAGAAGAAACATTTACTATCACGCCACGGCCTTCGCGAAATCCCTGTGATCTATATTCGGGTAAGAACGGATTTGACTTAGTTCGGGTGCAGATACAACATACTCCTGCTTCAGCATTTGCCGGATCAACGCGCGCTGACATAGCCACACTCCAGTCTGGTTGACATCAATCACCTTCTGCCATTCAGCGAGGGTCATTTGGTCGGTAGGCGCTGGATTGCCACTAATTCCAGCACAGTTGACTCCGATCTCAATGCTTCCAAATTTCTCTGCAGTCTGGCGCACAGCGTCTTCCACAGATGCTTCGTCGGCCACATTGGCCTTCAAGATTTCTAACTGAACTGCAGGAAAAAGACTCGAGAGCTCATCACGGGTGCTTTCCAGAAGAGGGAGATTCACGTCGACGAGAACAATGGCGCGAATACCATTTTTTGCAAAAGCGATTGCAGTATCCTTGCCGATTCCTGGCTTCTTTAGCAGTCCGCACGATCTCGCTTCCTGTTTCAATTATCAGAGGATATACCTGATCCACCGCCGGTTATGAACGCGGTTCCTTTGACCTGGCACGCCATATTGAATTGCATACGAGTTGAACACAGTTGATACCTACCCAGTAATGACTAGCGAGGCTTCTTTGTGGTTATACCCATCAACAAAATTGAGCGCCTTACCTCCGAGGCAATTTTGGAAATCGAACTACTCCGAGCGGATGCGGAGAAAGCACTTTCCGGCCTGACAAATGTCTCGGTACTTTGCGCGGTGGGAAGGACCTCCTCGATTGGGTCTGGGCCATACATCTTTGTGCTGCCGGGTCGCTTGTGGCGCCGCGCAGTACCGAGGTGGATCTCACCCGCAAACCATCTCGCCGTCGACTTCCTCTTTGGGCGATTCAATCTACATGACAGTTTGGATGCAACAGAGTATGATGGAGCATATCTTCACACGGCTTCGGATGTCAAGCTGCCGGTCCAGATTCCGACAGTATATCGATGATCTTGCAGAATTGGATGTTCCAAACGATTTCATCTAGATCATGACGGGAAAGGCACAAGGAGCCCAATAACTCCTGTTCAAAGGCTGGTCTCTTCCTCAAATTCATTTTTATGATTCCCATCACTTCTGCCTTGGAACATTCAGTACGATGACCCGGACAGGATCCCAGATCGAGACCGATGCCATTGTCATCGGGGGCGGCTTTGGAGGATGCGACTCGCTCTACAAGCTCCGCAACCTCGGCTTGTCTGTCAAGTTGATCGAGGCCGGCAGTGCTTTCGGCGGCGTCTGGTTCTGGAATCATTATCCTGGTGCCCGCGTGGACACTGAAATGCCCTCTTATCAGTTCAACATCCCCGAGGTCTATAAGGGGTGGAACTGGTCCGAACGATTCCCGGGCGATGTCGAACTGCGCAGATACTTCCAGCATGTGGACAATGTCCTTGGTCTAAGCAAAGACACCTTCTTCAATACTATCGTCACCCGGGTCCAGTATAATGAGACCTCCGGCCGCTGGACTGTGCGTACCAATACCGGTCTGACTGCGACGTGCAAGTATGTTGTCGCCGCCACGGGTTCTTCGTTTAAAAAGCACTACCCGCAGTTCAAGGGCTTAGACAAATACGTCGGAAATCTTGTCCATGCCGCAGATTATCCCGAGTCTCTTGACGTGAAGGGGAAGCGGGTAGGCATTGTCGGAAACGGCGCGTCCGGTCTTCAAATCGTGCAGTCTCTGGCCAAAGAAGACTGTGAGCTGAATGTATTCATTCGCACGCCTTGCTTTGCGATTCCCATGAAGCAGCGCAAGATTGCACCAGAGGAAGCGGAGATGATGAAGGGCTACTACGATGGGATCTTCGACCGCTGCTACATGTCTGCCAGTGGCTTTCCCCACAATACTCGTTTTCAGTCGGCTCTCCAGGCAACCCCCGAGGAAAGGGAGGAACTGTTCGATGAACTCTGGGCTCGTGGTGGATACAGCTTCCTGGTCTCAAACTACTATGACTTCCTCCTTAATGAACAGGCCAACACTATCTTCTATAACTACTGGGTGCAGAAAGTGCGCGCTCGTATGACAAACCCGGAGAAGATGGACCTGGTTGCTCCCCTGAAGCAGCATATGCTGGTCGGCACGAAGCGGCCCAGCCTGGAGCAAGACTATTATGAGATGATTGACCGTCCGAACGTGGTTCTACACAATCTGAAGCAGTCGCCTATTTCTGAATTCGACGCTACTGGAGTTGTTCTTGGCTCCGGGGACAGCGTACAGCATCACGACTTGGACGTGGTCATCTTCGCGACTGGATACGATGCTGTCACTGGAAGTCTCCTTGATCTAGCAATCACCGACAAGAATCAGCAGCCACTTTCCGAAAAGTGGAAGGATGGCGTTCTCACGCACCTAGGCATGATGGTTCCGGGAGCACCTAACCTGTTTATGGTGTATGGTCCTCAAGCCCCGACATCCTTGGCTAATGGCCCTCCATTCATTGAGATGCAGGTGGACTGGATCTGCAAGGTGATTCGGAAGATGCAGAAAGAAGGACTGGAATCCATCGAACCCACGCAAAAAGCTGCAGAGGCTTGGCGCGACCAGGTACACGCTGTCAGCCAGCACACTTTGTACCCCAAGACTGATTCATGGTACATGGGATCGAACATTCCCGGCAAGAGAAGAGAGCCGCTGATTTACTTGGGTGGCATTCAAAGCTGGTGGAAGAGTTGTACGGATGCATTGGAGATGTGGGATGGGTTTCATACGTCGTCATCGAGATAAAGTGTTATTTCTTTTTAGGAAATCAAATATGAAATTTATAGCAATTTATCAATAGATATTGGTTAAACTTGGTCAAATTAGGATAATTTTATTGACTTGACAGGATATCAAAAAGTTGCCGCAATGGAGCACTTTACCTTCTATTAGTCAAGAGTTTGCAGATGATGAGAAAGTTGAAGACCTTTTATCCAGTGAGAGTATTTGAAATATGCATTTTAGTTCAATATATTTTGGATTTTTCTTTCTCATAGTCTACGGTTTACTAACAATGCACAGAATATTTTGAGTATCATTAAAAGGCGAGATGACTTGCAAGAATGAACGGTTTCCATTGATCACTTTTGGAGCATTACTCAGAGAATAGCGAGTGCATTGGGTGGACTTCCAACCGCACCGGGAAAATTAAGAGGCGACGAAGTCAGCATGAATGTATACTTACGGTATGCCTGACACTGTTCCGAAAGCGTCTTAAGATACCACAGTTCACCCAGTGGCATGCCAAACAGGCTCAAGCACCACTGGTGCAGAACAAGATTGGTCAGAGGCTGGACCTCGCCGCCTATCATCGGAGGCATAGCTTCGACCGCAACATTATCGCTAGCTACGGCGGCGAAGTGCTGATCCCACAGCCAGCGGGCCATTTCCTTGGAGCCTTCGATGCCACAGGCATGATGACTAGCCATTGCTTCGGCTTGCTCCAGGCCTGTCATATCTCCTAGTGCCTCGGTTACGCCAAATCGAAGGATGAGAATGTCGCCTGGCTTGAAGCTAACTCCTTGGTAAGCTGCGACAGCTTCGATATCGGCGATACCAATACGAAACCCAGAGAATGGAGAGTATTCGATGCCCTTAACTTTGGCGTAAGTCTTAAAGTCAATCAGAACACCTCTTCCTACTACGCAGCCGCGTTCATGCCAATCTGGGCCAAGTTAGCAGTCTAAATTGTCGTAGTATTTGGACCTTGGGCTGAACAAACGATCAATTGTGGGAAGCTTGAGTTCTTCACTTGGAGAAGGGTCCATAATGCCTTTTATAGTCGGTTTCACTCCATTGTAAGCTTTTCCTGACTCAAGGTGAAGAAAATGGCCTATTTGTTCGTCAGTCTTCTTTCTCAAGCCTCTTTATGTTCCATGCCCTAATGAGGCTACCTTGGACATACAAAAACTGTCCCACTGGCTGCTTCCTTGAGTATTGAACTCAACCTGCGATATCAAGTTAATGAATAGATTTTATATTGAATTAATCAATTTTATTTCACCTCGTCATCAAATCCATAATGCAGATTCGCCTCTGGGTCCTCAAGTTTGACCACTTTATGTTCTAGAGTCTTTCGAAAGAACTTAGGGATTTTGATACTCCCAATGGGCCAACTATCCAATTATCTCATAAGAAAGGATCAAGCTGCCGCTTGAGCAAAGGAATTCTTACTTAAGGGAAATCGAGATTCCATAATGGACCTCCGCGGCGGCAGCCCTGACAACCTCTGGCGTCAAGAGGTTCAATGTTCCAACAAGATCATTTTTACCATCTTTATCGAAGACGCCCCAAGCACAACCGTGAGGCATGTCCTCCACAGGTGGGAGATCATCAAATTTGGGCAATGAGAGGGACATTGTGGATAGAGACTCTGATAATGTCTTCTGAGTGTGGTATGGGCCGCCAATACCAAGGGCCGGTGGCGCAAATGGGTATTGATGAGTTTCATGATCAGCTGGGAAGTCAATAAGTGTTAGGTCTATACAAAGATTGTATACGTTACAAAAGGTAGGCAACGGCGAGGTGACAAGAGGATCATGCTTTGAGTAGCCCTGGGAAGAAAGATGGGTCCTTAAGGGTCCCTCGCTATCTCCTGCTGCATTGATGAGGTCCCCACCTGGTGGAGACGTGGAGCCAGGAAGATGCAACCCCGCGCCAAAACTGCGTGTCCGGGAAACGGAGACGCAACCTTCCGATAGACAAAAGGGACAAGGCAACCCAAAAAAGGGAAATAGTATTGCGGGGAATGCGTAAAGAACGGTGTAGTTGCAATGCAGGTACAGAGGCCAAAAGGGCTCTCGGATAGGGTATAGCCGAGACACAACATATTAAAATGTAAAGGGCAGGAGGAGCAAAGTCGATTTTTATCTGATGATCAAGAGTCTCTCGAAAGTCATCAGTTACTCTTCGAAGATGCCTCTTCAATACGATCCCGAGTTCCTTGAAGAAGCAGGACCAGTTCTTCAACAACTGGCACAAACCCAGCAACCTGCGCTCCACGATGTCACTACCAGACGGGGCATGATGGCGGCCATGTGCAAGGAGCTACCTCCTCTTCCAGAAGGGATTGAAAAATTGGTACACCGAGTACCTACAGCGGACGGGCATGAAGTTGTCATCTACCATTTCCGCCGACAAAACGCACACCGTGAAACTGGAGCGCCAGCGATCGTACATATCCACGGGGGCGGGTATATCTCGCTGACAGCTGAGCAATGCTCGGTGCCACATATCTCGGCTGTCTCGCGTACGGGGGTCCAGATCTTGACGATTGACTACCGGCTAGCCCCCGAGCACCCATATCCGACTCCCGTGGATGACTGCTGGGCGGGCCTGCGGTGGGTTTATGACAACGCTGCGCAATTATCTATTGATTCCTCCCGCATTGCGCTCATGGGCGAAAGCGCCGGGGGAGGTTTGGCCGCGGCATTGACCTTGCGCGCTCGAGATCGTGCTCTTGCACCGCCCATTGCGAAGCAGATTCTAGTTTATCCCATGCTGGACGATCGGACAACCACCAACCATGCTGGGCAACTCGCATTTTGGACTGAAGTTGACAACATCACCGGGTGGACCGCCTACCTAGGGCCCGATGCCGGCACGGATAAGATCAACGCAGATGCTGCACCGGCTCGAGCGGGCAGTGTAGTCGGTCTGCCTCCGCTGTACCTGGATTGTCCACAGCTAGATATGTTTGTGCAGGAAAGCCTCGAATATGCACGGCGATTCGTAGCTTCTAATATCCCCACCGAGTGCCACATCTATCCTGGTCTCCCACATGGGTTCGAAGCGTTGGCGCCGTTGGCAACGGTGACACGGCAGGCCATTGCCAATCGAGACAGGGCGATGACCACCTTTTGAAATAGGCTAGTCATGCAGATATTGAAACCGCCACGCAGCGGGAGTTACAGTAGTCAGTTCCAGTGTCACACATAGCGCGTGTAGAATCATTGAGACTGAACACATCACGCACATCAAAACCTTTGTAGAAATGCATGCAAGTTTGGCCTCCGTTGTGAAGACGAGACCGGAACACGGACAATCCGGACCCGTGTGGGACCCCCGATGGTACTATAAAAGACCAGGCTTGGTCGCTCTAGTTCGTCAGATTCTCAAATACCTTTGAACCCATTAAAAGAGCCTGTCATCGCGGACAATGACATCCATCTCCAGACCGACTCCGGACAGCGTCCGCCATTCTCTATCCAGTCGTACAGCCATCGTGACTGGCGCGGCTCGAGGCATTGGATTTGCGACTGCATCCCTTCTGGCACAGCATGGCGCCCGCGTGGTTTTGGTCGATCTGCACGAAGACGATCTGATCCAGGCGTGTGCCACGATCGGCCAAGGATCAACATACCGCACCTGCGATGTCAGCGACTGGTCTCAGCAACTAGCGCTCTTCGACCATGTTACCGCCACCATGGGACCGATCGACCTCCTCGTCTGCAATGCCGCCATTAATCCCGAGGTCGCGCTGCTGCAGGTCTCCGACCCGGTTCAACAGGTCCAGATGAGCTCGCAGGTCCGGTATAACTACCTGGCCGACGAGCCCGATCAGCAGCATAATCCGGCTGTCCTCCGGTGTCCCTCAACCCAGCTATTCGACGTTAATGTGAATTCGGTGGTATTTGGGATGAAGCTAGGTGTCCATCACATGAAGAAGCAGGGTGGGGGACGCATTGTCGTAGTGGCCTCTGCTGGATCATATGTTCCCATCCCGTCGCAGCCTCTTTACGCGGCCAGCAAGCACGCGGTTCTGGGTCTGGCTCGCAGTACCGCACAGATGCCTGAAGTGGTGACATCGGGGGTTTCGATCTCGTGGATCGCCCCATGGTTGACGTTGACCTCGATGGTGGAGGGTCTCGCCGCGACCACGAATCCCGACACGCTGAAGAGCTCACCCGAGGATGCGGCGTGGGCGATTATTACGGCTGCCATAGCGGAGCAGCCCAATGGCAAAGGATACTGGATCCAGGGCCAAGCGATCTGTGAAGTGGAGGGGGCGTATGGTGAGCTGTTGGGCAAGTTGATCTTGCCGGAGAATCGATTCTAGATGCTCACGGTAGGACTAGAATCTACTGGGTCGAAATATCAGTGTAATGCGATTTGATTGTTTTCTGCTTTAATTTTACGTATATTTCGATTGCTTTTGCCAGGGCCCTTGCAGAAGGGTTCATATTATCTCCATTTGCCTCTAGTCGGTCAATGTTTCGTAAAATTGAAGGGCCGAAGATCATAGACATTACTGAGTATGGTGGAATACACCTACGGCCTATGTTGAGCCCAGATATAGACTTCGTGAAGTATCAACACCGAGCCAACATTTGCGCGTGCGAGATGTGAGCGGGTGCTAAATGTGCACCCCCTGCTTTAGGCTATTTATATCTACGAACCAATGCCCCATGTGTAGTTCGTCCGGGAGTTCATATAGATCCCTTCACCGTCGATTGGCCAGGGCCACCGGGCCAAGCCTGCAATTGGAACGCATTGACGCTCTCACCGGTTCGTCGAGTGGAGCACCAAGCGGTTTACTCCATATTAAGTCCTTGTTCTAACGATCAGTGGGGTGATGGAAGAACGCTTCCCTGTTTAAGGGTTTTGCCAGCATCATCATGCACTGCAGGAGTCCCACTTGGCGCCCGCTTGTGTTGCAGCCTCAAATTCCTTGGCTGCGCCACCTCGTCGTCAGCGCTGTACGATGCTGTCGCATATCGCAAGTGGCGCCTCAGACGTGCTTGGCCCCTGCATCCCCCGCTGGGAGGTGGAACCACTCTCTCCGCCGAAACAAGTCAACACCGTCAATCCTTTTCCCTGTTGGCCTCAGCGGGAGCCGAAAGGGGGGCTGGAAATCTGCTGCGGACGCGCCCCAGGAAAAATGTGAGCTCGTATTGTTAACGATGCAGGCTGGGAGAAGGTTCGCCGGGTTGCCTCTCTAAGAAAACGTGCAGCCCTCCCACATCCGCGGTACAAAAGCCACAGTCCTATCCTGGGAAGTTCCGTTGAGGATGGGGCGGATAAGCTCGGAGTACACAGGATTGAGAGACCGACCAGCGGTGGTCGGAAATAAGCATAAGACAGGTTACGCTGTGCTCAGTACGGAGAACACGGAGTAGAGTATGTCTGTATTTCTGCCTGCCTGGCTGTCTGTCTCGATATTCCGGTGGTGTCGCGCGCAAAGCGCCTCGGGAAGGGAAGTCCAGACTCGAGACTCGAGACTCGAGGCTACGGCGTAAACATCGCGTCCGAATGCGGGGGCGAGTCAGCTGACTTGGGGATGGGATGTGACTGGCTCCCGTTTTTTCGCGATCACTTTGGCGCCGGGTTTTAACCTCGCCTTTCCCGGCTTTCTCTTTCTTTCATTCATCTCTTTCTCTTGATCCTCCTTTCCTCCGTCGCATGCCGTCTGGGCTCGAGACGTTAGGCCGTTGACCCTCAACGGGTCTTCTAACCCTCTCCCCTCCCTTTTCCCCCACGCTAAGGCCGTTTAGGTCTGGAGGCTGAGACACCTCGCACCTTATCTCGCCTCTAATCGCTTCCTTGCCGTAAGACCACTGTTCGCGGGTTCGTCCATGGTGACTCCCGAGTTCGGACCGACCGAGAGGTCAGGCCTTGCGATCTCGACTCAGGGTCCAGAGTTGGCCGCTCCCAACCACAATGACAGTGCCTCGTCCCCGAATCCGGAACGGGAATCCGTTCCTACTCCGAAAGTAGACGCGCCTGCTCCCGTATTCATGAATCCAACCACCCCAGTGCTGCAGATTCGAACCGACCTTCCCACTGTCCGGCCAACCAGTTCGCATCGGGACTCAGACCCTTTAGGCTCGCTGTGCTTATCGTCCGGCAGCCTGCCGCAGCGCACCCCAAGTCTACGCGCCCTCGCCGCCCCGCCCCTCTCGAGTGCCGGCTCTTTGTCGCCGGCCTCCATCATGTCATCGCCGCAGTTAAACGCCATGGGTGATATCACTCCGCTGCCCTCGCCGATCGGCGGAGCAGTCCCGTGGCGCCGCGGGGACCTCCCGTCGCTATCTCGTACCTCGTCCACTGCATCACGCAGCGGATCGAGTTTGCGCCTGAGTGACTCATCCCAGATGCTGGGCCCGCCGGTATCACGTCCGCAAGGCAAAACATATACAGGACTAGAAAACCCGAGAGATGACTCGCCGACCAACCGATTCCGTCGTGACTCGGCCTCGAAGCATGTCCGCAACCGTAGTCTCAGTGACTATGCGCCTCCCGGCCGCATGTCCATCCCCCGGCCCGTCGCAGTCTCAGGCACGGGTCCCAGCATTGCACCATCTTCAAGTACCGACTCGAAGTCTACCGGCATGCATCGCGAACAATATCTTGCTGTCCACCGGGGCATCGCCCTCCCCACCGTGCGCCCTCCGAGCCCGCCTCGGAGCAGCGGCAGTGGGTATGGCGATAGCGATACAGAGCCAGTCATTCAATACCCGACCCCATTGTCGACTACCGAAGAGATATACTCGGTGAAGTCAGTCCGTACCCAACAGGCTCGAATCTATCGAAAGCTTCGACTGCTCGGGCAGGGTACTTTCAGTGAGGTCAGCCTAGCTGCACGAGTGGAAAATCTGCCAGAGACTCCTCTCTCGCCCCCAACTGATGGTGCAGGGGACATGACTCCCTCTGTAATAACCCAGAAATTGGTCGCCGTCAAAGTCATTGAACATGGCCCAGCCGGTGGTGCAGATGAAGAACGACTGGAAGTGTCCCTCAAGCGTGAAGTTGAGATCCTGAAGTCGGTGAACCACCCCTCCCTGGTTCAGCTGAAGGCTTTCGGCAGCGATGAGAAACGTGCTCTCCTCGTTCTGGACTACTGCCCCGGTGGTGACTTGTTCGAGTTTGCGACATCCGGTCCGCGACCAATGTCACCAGGCCTCATCCAGCGGATCTTTGCGGAATTGGTCGATGCAGTCCGTTATCTCCATTCCCACTACATCGTCCACCGAGACATCAAACTCGAGAGTGAGTTCCCGGCATACACAGCCCTTATTCGTGCAATGGTTCATCTACTAACATTTCTCTCCAGACGTTTTGTTGACCATGCCTCTGCATGCCATGGAATCTATCACAGACTGGCACTCTTACGATCGCGCGGTTGTCACCCTGAGTGATCTTGGATTGTCTCGTCGCATTCCAGAGCCCCCGGAGAGTCCGTTGCTACAAACCCGTTGTGGCAGTGAAGACTATGCCGCTCCCGAGATCCTCATGGGTCAGCCGTATGACGGCCGTTCCACTGACGCATGGGCTCTGGGTGTGCTGTTGTATGCCATCATGGAGAACCGCCTTCCCTTTGATGTTCTCCCTGGCACCCGAGGAGATCCCGCCAAACTTCGCGCTCGAACTCCACATCGTATTGCGCGCTGCGAGTGGAGCTGGTATCGATATGCCAATGAGGATGAGGAATGGGATCCTGAAAAGGGTCAGGGTCTGGATGGGGCCCAGAACTGTGTGGAAGGGCTCCTAAAGCGCAACACCAAGCGTAAGACGCTGGATGACATTGCCGCCATCCCGTGGGTGCGAGATGCGATCAATGTGCCTGATGGCCTGAAGCGAGGAGACAAAGAGGTGCCGTAGAGCGGGTCTCTTTCGCCTCTTTGACTTCTACGCTTCTGTCTTCGTTTTTTCCTCTCTACTGTTTACTCTCCCTCTTATCTTTCTTTGACGAATCGCCTTCGTGTGGCCTTTCTCCCCTTTTTTCTTCCGATACACACCTTTTCTTGATGCAAATATTTTTGCCTTCATTTATTCTCACCCTTTCCTTTTTCATGACGCATATTGACATGGCCGATGAGGTCAGCTCGGATTCGGGGTTTCTTTTCGTGATTTTGGTCTTTTTTTCTCTTCTTCGTGGCTAGACCATGTGTTATACCCATTATATTACATTATCATATACTATACTACTACTATTACATTCCCACCATTTTCAAGCGGGACTCATGAAAATTGTATTCTCTTCAGAAAGTTAGGAGCAACAAGTAGTTGTTATCAAATACACTTTAGTAATGAGCTACAAGCTCCTGTGTGAGCAAGACATCATCTGAGCAGCTGATGCATCTTTCTTGGACACTCGATCCTAGGAGAACGAAGTCCGATAATACTGCTGGATTTTAATTTGCGTCTCTTGGCATATTCCCGTGGCTATTCGTCCAGATGTTCCGGCCATCAGGAAGCACCGGTCATTAAAAAAGGAGTTTCGAGAAGAGCACCTTCAGCAAAATCTACATGATGAATATGAAGGGCCCCGACAGCTGATTAATCGTCGATGCCATCCGGGTTCTTACCCCCGTAGAATTATCCGCCAGGTACGCCGAGCTTGCTACGGCTCATTAGCCCCTACAACGAAACAAGCGACACCCATCTCCTGAGACGCCGCATAATCAACTTGGATCATCTCCCTTCACTTTACGAAGCCCTCACCCTGAGCTCCAAGCTGGTCTCAAGCCGTCACACAACCTCTCGCCCTATACGAAGATGATAGTGAGCGATGTCGGCGAGTACCAGCTGCCCTCCTTCCGTGTCAAGCTATCCGATGAGTATGTCGATTTAGGGACCAAATTACTACCCGTCAAGCAGAGAAAGAACGCGAATGGACCGAGGACTTTAACAACGCCGGCGAGATCCGAAAGTTGACGCTGCCGCCAAGACCAAGCAAGACAATCTTCTCGAACAAGCCCTCATCGAGGCCAAGCCGGATCTACACCATATCTTCGATGAGGTCTACCAAGCTCAGGTTACCTTCCCCGCACAGTGGATACGGGAAATTACCCGACACTCATTTAGAATCTCCTGATCTTCAAGAAAGCTGTGTCCGTAATCCGAAAGTTCGATACCCATTATACCTCATGCCTCCAAGCTTAGGACAGCCTCTCAGCTCAGGTCGATGCCCTTCGCCCAGCGGCAAAGCAGTTCATGCAGGACCGCCTCGCATGTCTCTTTGAACATTCAAGACCCCGTGCGGCCCCAAAGGCAGCTTGTCAAGGCCCCGCGAATATGTGCATGTAGTGGATCGTGTTTTGCTGCCGATTAGTTAATTCATGGCTTGATTTGACATAATACATTGATCTGTGTGCAATAGTTCGGGGAGGTCTCCGAGCCTGATAAGATCTCCTCGAGCCTCTTGGCCCACCTTTTCATAAAATCGGAGCTGTTATGCAGCTATAATGGCTACGGCTGTTGGATAATTCCTTTGTACGCTGCATATCCGTGCGAAGCATGACTCAGACACTAATGATCGATGACAATTGCGGGCCCCAGATTGGATGGCCGAGACCGGTGGAGCCGGGGAGCAGAATCCCAACTCCGACCTTCCTGAGCTTCCGCCTTTTCTTATTTCTCGCGACCCCGGCTCCCCGCCATCTTATGATCTCCTTCCACAAACCCATCTAGACCATTGTGTAGTGTGGTTCTCCTGGGTGCTCTCCGCTCAATTCATCTCACAATGCTCCCTCCCACTCGGGCACGCCTGCCCGCTGCTCTGCGGAGCTTGTCCCGGTCTTCCACGACTGTGTACGTCCCCTTCCACCCGCCTCACAATGATTGCTCTTGCTCACGCTGACGTCTCGACTTAGTCGCACTCTCTCGACCACCCTTCCCCGCTTCCAGAATGACGACAAGGCCGATAAGGCCTTGAACAAGGTCTCCCGCAACATTACCCAGCCCATCTCCCAGGGCGCTTCCCAGGCCATGCTGTACGCCGTCGGTCTGACTGAGGAGGACATGAACAAGGCCCAGGTCGGCATTTCGTCCGTCTGGTTCAACGGGAACCCTTGCAACATGCACTTGCTCGACCTAAACAACAAGGTGCGCCAGGGTGTGCAGGACCAGGGCCTGGTCGGCTTTCAGTTCAATACCGTCGGTGTCAGTGACGCCATCAGCATGGGAACCAGTGGTATGCGCTTCTCTCTGCAGAGTCGTGACCTGATTGCCGATTCCGTCGAGACTGTGATGGGTGGCCAGTGGTATGATGCCAATATCAGTATTCCCGGCTGTGACAAGAACATGCCTGGTGTTCTGATGGCCATGGGTCGTGTGAACCGCCCCAGTCTCATGGTCTACGGTGGTACCATTAAGCCCGGTTGTGCTGTGACCCAGAACAATGCCGATATCGACATTGTCTCTGCTTTCCAGGCCTACGGCCAGTTCATCACTAAGGAGATTACCGAGCCTCAGCGTTTCGATGTCATTCGTCACGCTTGCCCTGGTGAGGGTGCCTGTGGTGGTATGTACACTGCCAACACTATGGCTACTGCCATTGAGACCATGGGTATGACCCTGCCTGGTTCCTCGTCCAACCCGGCCAACTCCCAGGCCAAGTACCTCGAGTGTCTCGCTGCCGGAGGCGCCATCAAGAAGCTGCTTGCTGAGGATATCCGTCCCCGCGATATCCTGACTCGCCAGGCCTTCGAGAACGCCATGGTCGTTGTCAACATCACCGGTGGCTCCACTAACGCTGTTCTGCATTTGATCGCCATTGCCGACTCTGTTGGCATCAAGCTCACCATTGAGGACTTCCAGTCCGTCTCGGACCGCATTCCTTTCTTGGCCGACCTGAAGCCTTCCGGCAAGTACGTCATGGCTGATCTGTTCCACATCGGTGGTACTCCGGCTCTGCTGAAGATGCTCTGGAAGGAGGGTCTCATTGATGGCTCTGGTATGACCGTCACCGGTGAGACTCTCGCCAAGAACCTGGAGAAGGCCCCCGACTTCCCTGATGACCAGAAGATCATCCGCCCCTTCTCTGATCCCATCAAGCCCACCGGTCACATTCAGATCTTGCGCGGCTCGCTCGCCCCTGGTGGCAGTGTCGGCAAGATCACTGGTAAGGAGGGCACCTCCTTCACTGGCATGGCCCGTGTGTTCGATAACGAGGACTCCTTCATCGCTGCGCTGGAACGCAACGAGATCTCTAAGGACGAGAAGACCGTGGTTGTCATCCGCTATTGTGGCCCCAAGGGTGGCCCCGGCATGCCCGGTACGTATCCATGCGCCTAGGTCTATTCCTTGTCTCTTCCCGTACTAACTTGATTTTTTTTTTTTTTCAGAAATGCTCAAGCCCTCCTCGGCTCTGATGGGCGCCGGTCTCGGTTCCTCGTGCGCCCTGATTACTGACGGCCGTTTCTCCGGCGGTTCCCACGGTTTCCTGATCGGCCACATTGTCCCCGAGGCCGCCGTTGGTGGACCTATCGGTCTCGTCCAGGACGGCGACGTCATCACTATTGATGCCGACAAGCGCATCCTCGACCTCGAGGTCCCTGAGTCCGACATTGTCGAGCGCCGCAAGGACTGGGAGGCCCGTAAGGCCGCTGGCCAGCTGCCCGAGACTGGTCTGACCATGCGTGGCACTCTGGGCAAGTATGCCCGGTAAGTTCAAGGCCTTTTCACCCCCAAGGGAATCGCCCAAGATCGCTAACAGTTTGTGTCACAGGAGCGTCAAGGATGCCAGCCAGGGCTGCATCACTGATGCTGTAGAGTAAATGAAACCACCCGTATTTCTCATCTGTCCGGGTGTTCGCCCGAGCATAAAAGCGATGTATTTGTTTGGGACTTGTGCTATATAATATCACTTTCAATACGATCAACACTTTCGATTTTCTCCAGCTGATTTTGCTTTTTCTTGGCATCTTTTTCCACCAAATTCTTAGTCCTTTCTTTCTTTTTGCATGGTAGTAGTGGGAGAGTTCTGATTTGCTGTAGCGTCCTCTCGGGGACTGGGGCTGTGCATGCTCCGTTGCCAATCACCAGCCATCGCGAATACGGTCTCAGCTGGGATGTGGCGCGGATCTTTGACTCGACAAGTCACGCCGCAGTTCCTGCATCTCGCTGCATCTCGAAACTCTTAATTCACTCGTACTCTTGCCTCGGCTTCTGGTGTTACCTACCCCATCTTTGCCCGGAAGCATGATATCTCCATCCCAGTCTTTGTTTATCTCCCTCTGTCGTCGGGTCTACTTCACCTGATGATTGTTTACTATGAGTTACGTCCAGTCGGATCCATCCAAACACCGACGTATTCGAAGATGGATGGGTCAAGCAGCGGCCGAAGGAAAGAACCACCATGCCTCACAGCCGCCAGTGTTCATGGCCCCCGCTGCAGCTTGCTCGGTCCAAGCAATACAAGGCATGCGTCCACCACCACCACCTCTGCCGTATCGCCCACAAAATGCTGCTACGATGTCTATGATCCATCTTCCTCCTGGTCCGCAACTACAAAATTCAGCTCCCCCGCCATTACCATCGACAAGTGAGCTACCGGTGAATCTCACGCGGCCAGCATGGCATCCGCAAGCTTATCCCTCGTCGGGTCTATCAAAATGGACATCATACTCGAGTCTAAGCCATTCCGTCTCTAATCTTGTCTCTCATACTGCGGGGAAAGCCAACGCTACAATTCTGGAACTTGAGGACCTAGTCCTGCAGTGTGTGAAGGGAGGTTCAAATGTTCGTAGCAGTACTTCACGATTGCTCGACCAAGTCATCACCTGGATTGATATTGGATCTTTTTGCGGTAGAGAGAATGAGCTCCGTAAGCTGTGCGGTCTGCCGGTTTTGATAGTCTGGAAGCGCTAACAGTTATGTGATAGTTGCTGCTTGCGCACTCCCTTTTCAGTCTAACGAACGAAAGAAAGACTATCGAGCGCATCGTATCGCGACTAAGCCTTCAACTTCAATCGACTATTTCTCCAAGGTGTATCTTTATGTTAACTGCCGAATGCCTCCAAATATGCCAATTTTGAGATTGTGAGTCGATGCAGACAGACTCCATGGCTTGAATCTTTCTGTACTGACTTGCTTCCAGCTACCCTGCAACGTACCCTTTGATTCGTTTAGCAGCGCAGTATTCACGACGTGTTTATGACAAGCCATGCGGTCGAGAACGACAGTCGTATGTCGACTCTGATTGGCGACAAGGCACCAAGGCAATGGTGATCAAGTCGCTACCAATCGACGATATGAACACTATTGTATTCGCTATTCGTGGTACTCAAAGTTTTATCGACTGGGCTGTAAATGTACACACAGCGCCAGTCCCACCAACTGGCTTTCTTGATGATCCTTCCAATCGCTGCCATGCCGGCTTTCTTTCCGTGGCTCGTAAAATGGTAGCGCCTGTCGCAGCTCGGCTCCGGACTTTGATCGAAGAGAATCCTAACCGCATCGCGTACACGCTTCTAATCACTGGACACTCCGCTGGCGGCGCAGTTGCGAGTCTTCTCTACATGCACCTGCTTTCCGAGTCTACAGCCGTCACATCCGAATTGATTCATCTCCGCGGCTGCTTAAGACATATTCACTGCATCACCTTTGGTGCACCCCCGATTTCCCTCCGCCCCTTAGTGCACCCACCATCTGCTAAACCTTCAAAGTCGATTTTTTTCTCATTTGTGAACGAGGGTGATCCCGTTGTTCGCGCGGACAAGGACTATTTCTTCTCTCTGCTAGATCTATATGCCTCCCCTGCTCCGGGGTCGCTGTGGTCTATACTTGACCCCAGACGCAAACAAAAGCCTACCGCTTACTGGCGCGTCCCCCCTTCAACGCTGTCAACCGCTGGGCGGTTGATTCTGTTGCGTGATCGCAGCCGTTTAAATGGCCGCCGCGCTGCTGTGCACCACCCTCGTCTTGACGGTCGTCCGCCGCTGCCGCCTCGTGAGGACATAGAGGCTTGCGGAATAATTGATGCGGCAATGCATGGCGTTGTCTTCGGTGACCCGCTCATGCACCTGATGGACCTATATGCTCGTCGTATCGAGACCTTGGCTAGAGACTGTCCGGTACAGAAGCTACAGTGAGGTCTTTTCTTTAATGTATATCTGTTAAAGAGAATAAAATTAAAGATAATATGAGAAAAATGAGCTTTACGTATATTTTCCTCCTACCCTGGGCTTTTTCCGGAGCCTTAATGCTACCATACCTCTCTGAAATGTGAGATATTCAATTTGAGAACTTGAATGAGTCCCACACGGGCTTGTTCCCGCTGGCGTAAAGGACCAGGTTACCGTCATCCTGAAGAATGAGGACTTCTCCCCCCACTCCATTTGTGCCGGTTCTCCACAAAGCGTGCTCCGGTGTGTTGTGTCCATCGTACTGGACCACATTTCCATCATCCTGTGCCACGATTCGATAGGGAGGCCTCCCCATACCGTCAGTGGAGCTGGCCCAAAGTACTTTGTTCTCCGGTGCGTATAGCACCACGTTGCCGTCACCTTGCAGAATGAAGCGGTACAGAGCGTTTTCAGATTGCAAATAGTCACCTTCGTACATTGTGGTGTTCTGCAGAAGGATTCGTGAGCCTAGGTTGCGGCCCAGAGTTGTCTTACGATCCAGTGAAAGTTCGTCGCGGGCTGTCATAACAGTGTCGATCATTTGGTTGGCCTTGTTTTCTGCATCAATTTCAATAGGCATACTGTTGTGAACTTTGTTCACGAAGGAAGGCCATGATTTGCCCAGCTTTTCAATATGCTGAATGCTGCCGACTCCAGCCTGAATAATGTACTTGTTGACAAAAGCGCTAATTCCCTCAAGCTTCTTATACTGCACGACATGTTCTAGCTCATGAAGGATCCAATGTACGTCGGATTTGGCCCCGTTATCATACCGATCGATATTGATAGCCCTCGGAAAGTGTATGTTGTTCCCGAACGTGATCGCATTATCTTCTTGAAGAGTATTGATTCCTTCGGCGTAACAGACTTTGCTGAGGTCGACATCATACGCCTTGAGCTCTTGGAGGACTAACTTGAGCCATTTAGGTAAGGGTTTATATTTCCCCCTGGCCTGAGCTTCTACGTATTCGATGTAGGCTTTGGCAATTGGGTCAAGCAAAAGAGGGTCAATAATTTGATCCCACACTGGCTGGATTGCATTTTTGTCGAGATTCGCCAACTCTTCTCGCACTTGAGAGTTCTTGTTGAAAGGATCCAGATCCTTGAACTTGAGCTTTTGGATGTTTTTCAGCCAACCCATCGTGTAAGAGTGAAACTTCTGTGTCCTGTTGAGGAAATTTAATATCGTTGTTATGAAAAAGATAGCATAGTGGCACTGAAAAGAATCTGGATTAAAAGGATTTAAGTAACTTAATCCACGATGACCAACAGCTTTTCTAATGATGATGTCTGTCAAAGCGAAGACAATCGGCCCATGGGGCAAAAATTAGCGATATGCGCTTACTTTTGGCAACTTCGGCTAGACTCCCAAAACCTTAAACTTCGTATTTATGCGGAGGAAGAGAGTCCAGAAAAACCTTCCACTTGAGGTTTTGTCGATGGCTGCAAACGGGGTAATGGATTGCCTGGATGACCGCATACGGGGTAATGTTCGTCCATGGAGCTTAAATCCGATTGCTGCTGGGAGGACCCAAAAGACAGAAGGCATTACCAACTCAGTTCTCCACAGATCGATTTGTCTATGAAGATTGGGTGTGATACCGGCGGAAATCCGATAGCTTGAGAATAAACTCTCAAAGCCGCATCTCGAACTCATCATAAAAGAATTCCACTAGATCATCCAAGTACAATTCCGGTTTACCGAACAAGTGGTCGCCTAGAGCTTCTTGAACAGCAGGCCTAAACTACTAATCAACCTTGGCTTTTCACAGACTGCGGATCATAGATAAAAGGACCTAGCTCTTCATAAGTTTCCCGAAGGAGTGACAGTACACCGCATACTTTCACATCTACAAAGACTGATATACGAAGGTCAGACACGGCAAACCCATTTCTGAAAAGTAGCCTGGCAATGACGTTATCCAGCCCAAATTCCTTAGCAAATTATTGTTTGCGGGGACTCCGGACGGGAGGCCCGAACCATGGGATACGCATCTCTATCGCGCAAACTATTGAAGGCTTGTCAGTATGACGACTCCATACACCAACCCTAGCCTTCCTGGCCCTAGACCGTTCGGTAGACTGACCACCAAATATGATTGGTTATCTAGCATAAACCTAATATCCGGTACGATTACATCTATGCTATTTTGTAATTGATTCAAGTCGATATTATGATTCCCTTGGTCTCTACTTTTTCTCTGTGCAATTTCAAAAAGTATACCCTCACTAGTTCGCTATCCTCGACATTAGATATGCTTAAATTACTTAAGTTTGGTAGTTAGTGTAGGCACTTCTTCAATCCCAGCACATACAATATCAGTATTAAATAAGTATTTTCGCTATCGACTTCAGCGTGCCGTTTCACCCAAAAGCCAGTATATCGAACGAACCGCTGGGCTTTATAGGTATAGCGTTAACAGTAGGAGTACATATCGATCATTATGATGACCCTACTGAGAGGATATTATGACTGGATGCATTTATTGTGATTGGGTAGCTTGTACTAATCATACCTGATCGCTCTCGTATTTTTTTGGTATTGTTATTTTAAATTTCTTAAAGTAAAGTGGAATGTCGACTTAGCGTACACCTAGAGAAACTATAGTAAAGAGAATCTTACCGATTCTCTCTTCCCTCTTGCTGGCTGGCTCCCAAAGATCTGAGCTCCAGATCGCTCAGCCCCCTTGACCTGTTCAGTCTTTGCAGACGGCGTAGCTTCTTGCTGTCCTTGGTGTTCATCGAGCCTATCTTCCAACTCTTTGGCCCGCTTCGCGTCAAGAAACTTGTCCAAATCCCTCAGCAAACCTTGCGCACAGTCGAAGCAGATTCCAGCCTTCTTCTCCATCCACTCTGGTAGGATCCGGGATCGAAGCAGGGGAATTGGCGACCCCTTGGCTTTACAGTGGAGGCGGTATTTCGTCGGCACGTGAGCTTCCTTGCATCTTTGCTTTCGCCCATACACAATGTGCCCGCAGTCGTAATCGAAGAAAAGTTGTTGACACATGACAGCGGATGATTTTTGTTCGGGTTACATGCAGTCTTGGAGAGCGTTAGAAGTCTCTGTTGGGATGTACTTACTAGGGCTCTAGGGCTTGCATTTATAGGACTACACAGGTAGCTCCGTATTACAAGTCTTGTCTTTGACATGCTCAGATCAAAGGAACAAAGACATGCTTCGGTATTTCATTGAAACTCTTAGCCTACCGGCTCTCGGGACTGCCCATCTTCTTTGTTGATATTTATTGATCTTTTCTTGAGCTCTATGTTCTTGTAATGTCTGGATTTTGCTTCATTTGATCTTAATGGTTGGCTAGTTTATTTTCCTTGGTTATCTAGCTGTTAGCACTGAGATCAATGATCTATACTAGGAATCTCGATATCAATGTACACCTCGAGCCAGTAGATAACTTGACGAAAGAGAAGGAACAATTTATAAAGTATCCTATATTGGCCTGCACTACCGAGTGCTAGATCCTGGGAAATAAATACTCATCTCAACACAGTATTCTATAAATTTAAAAAGTAGACTAGAAGCAAAACCATTACCAAGTCCGCCGCGTCTTAGTCCACATCCGCACAAAACTCTGTTTATCCTTCACGCCGAGCCCAACGCGCTTGACTCGGCCCAGGCGAGCCAGCGACTCGCCTACCTGGTCCAGAATCGCCTTCTCGCCCGACGTCAGCTCCCCGTCCACCACGTCTTGGTCCAGAGTGTCGAGGTAGTTGGTATTGAACGTTGATTTGCGGGTCGAGCGCGCAGGTGGGGCGTCAAACGCACTTTGCCCACTCATCACGCACTCCGCGATACGGACGCGGATGCAATGAGTTGGCTTACTGAGTAATGTCCAGAGGAAGCTGATATAACTGCCCGGTAACGGGGTCACCACATCAACGGGAGTGTAGCGCAGACTCACGGGGAAGATCTTGGTCTTCGAGGGGATACCCAGCAGCGCGGGGCTCAGGGGCAGGATGCCTCGGCTGTTGGTGGTCGTGCACTCGGGGAAAATGACAACCGGTCGGTTGGGGTATTTCTCTACCAGCGTGGCGACATCCACGAGCTTGGTGCCGGGCTCAGGGCGAATTGAGGGCTGCGCGAAGGCCCGGAGTATAGCTTGAAGCAGGGAGATATGTTCGACCTGCCGGGTATCGGGGTAGGCGGCTGTGAAGACGGGGTCGAATATAGCAGCCAGATATACGGCGTCGATTGGGGATGTGAAGGAGGATGCGATAACTGAGCCCGGTTGTGGCAGGCGGGCCTGCTGTTGCTTGGAGAGGGAACTATTGATTGATTTGAATTAGACATTGGCAAGGGTAGGCACTGGAAAAGCTTGGTTTCTGATACGAACCCTTTTCGCACTCCATCCACCTGTAAATCAATCCACCAAATACTGGGGACGCCCAAGATGCACCACAGCGCCGCTTTCTTTCCCAACGACCCGATCGGAAGCCATTGCAGGATCAGAAAATAGGTCAATGTGACAAACAGGAAAAGAGGCAATCGGAAGCAGAATAGGAAGACACGGAGGGGGGCGTGTACGCCGAGCGGTTCGGCGGGGATTGGGAGGAAGGGTGCGATACCCGAACCTAGAGAGATGGAATGGTTAGTCTCAAAAGAACAAATGAAGCATCCGAAGACTCTCGACTTACCTCGGTCCCGAAACTGAGAAAACTTCTCCATTGCAACGTCTGCGATGGCAAGAGGGGAGGTGTGTTACGGTCAGAATTTCTGGGGACTTTCGCATGTGAGAGGCACGTGACTAGGGAGCACGAAGCTATTCTAATCGGGATGATCCAAGTATACAGATATTTGTCGGGTTAGAAGATGTATGAGAAGCTGGGAAAATGGTATTTGAAACAAATGTATATGAATAAAATACATGAAGGATGACACCGAAACTCCGGGCCAATGATCCGAGATCTAAACTGTACAAGATCTATATGCGACTTCCTTGATTTCCCATCCGCCAATCATTCCTCTTCAAATTCCTCCACAAAGTCCGCAGTGCGAGGAGCGGTTGGCAGTCGGAACCACCAGATCGCGACAGCCACCATGCAAAATAAAGAGCTGGTCATCATCCAGGCCAGGCCAATCCAAAATCCTCCAAGTCGCAGACCAAGCTGGAAGACTGCTGTGATCGATAGACTGGCCACAACGTTGCCGAATGACTGGATAATCTCAATCACAGTATACAACCGAGCGGTTTCATCGCGCTCAACAAGCGTGGTAATAATGGAGCGCGTCAAAAATACAAAGCCTGAACCAGAGGTTTGTAAGATCATACTGGGGATCAGGGTCGCGATCGAGGGAGAGAGGCCGATTCCAAGAGTTCCTAGAGTCAGGCATAGAATGCTGGCTCGAGCGAGCCAGAGGTCCTTCTCAGTCGACGTGCGTCGTGGATTCAGCGCACGTTTCTTGAGCCATGGAAGACCCCATAGAAACACCGGAATGGATACGGTAGGCCGGGAGGCCACCAGCATATTGGCTTGCGCTAATGTCCAGTGGTACCTAGTCGAGATATACTGGGTTAAGAACCAGGACGAACCACGGCTGAGACGGTAGACCAGGAAAGCGGTCAAGAGGAGAATGACCGGCTTTCGGTTCAAAATGAAGAGGTAGGGCTTCACGTAAAAGCGATAGTTGGCACGGCACTTGGCCCAGAACGATGGGTGCTGTTGGCCAGGGTAGCTCCAAGAAAGGTGACGTTCATGTGTACGACCATTGTCCATGTCGTCGTCGTGGTACTGTCCAGGCTCATCAGGCGTGGCGATATGGTATTTCGGCTTAGATTCTTCTGATAAATCGGAAAGTTCAACGTGGGATGGTGCGGGCTCCTTTCTAGAGGGCAGCACATGCTTGGTCTCAGGCAAAATCAATATAAACAAGAGACCGCCAAAAACGATGGTGAAGCCAATTATGAGTGGGACCCAGGGATCCATGGTCATCAACCAAGAAGCAAGAGCGGTTGAAACAAAGTCGGCGCCCATAGATACAATGGCAAATTGGAAGAACAGTCCAGCTCTGCATAGGCAAGTCAGCTTTTATTTGTTCTTGTTATCACTAGTAGTGGTCAATAATTGCAATGCACAATTCATACCTTTCCGATTCCGTTGTCACATCAGCCATCATCGTCCAAATAATAGCGAAGGCCACGACCGGCCCACCCCCCAGCAACCACGCCAGAGAAGACAACCAAACCGCGCGTAGCGGAAATATTTTGTTGAACCACAGGACGGCGACGGTGATCATCGAGTTCAGTGCGAATCCGGGGATACCAAGCACAAGTGTTGATTTGCGACCACGGCGATCAGCCAACAGACCGTATGGAATGGCCATCAGCGCGCCTAGGCAGGCTCCTGTCAGCTTTCCACCCACATTACCCGGAAATTGTGCAAGGGCTGGACATACTTAGTAAACCATCGAAGAACATATGGTAGCCTTTGACAGCGGCCAATTCCGACTGGATTTCTGCCAGCTTGCATAGCTCCTCTGGTACCTGTCCATTGGCGCCAATCTTGGACGGATCTGCCTGTGAATAATACTGGCCACACGCAATGGATTCCATAATTCGGACCATTGGGCCTTCAAGGAATGCAAAGCCGACCTCGACGGCCAGAATCATAGCGAATAGAATGATCTTCAGCCGGAAAGTGATCTTGCTCACGGAGGCATTGGCATGTGTCTCCGCTGACCGGTCGGGCTTGCCATCGTGGTGGTCGTGGGCGCGGCCAGGCGTTCCGGATTCAGTAAGGAACGGGGCATCCTCGCGGTCCTCGCGATCGAACTCAGGTTCCGCAGGCATGGCAGCCGGGCATGCCGTGGTGAAAAACAGGAAGGGAAATCAACGGAGAGGGAGGGTTTTTGGAACATGACGAGAAGAGGGCCAGGGTCTTCTCTGCAATGGACAATGGTGTCTAGGTGGCCAGTGGGCGCAAGTCCAATCGTCGCAAGCGGATCCGTCACGGTTTCTTGGCGTGCATGCGTCAGATCGACCCACTTCAGGGGCAGCGCGGGAAAAAGGAGTTGATCTGCCGCGAGCTCCAAATCAAATGGTAATTAGGAATAGAATGAGACTCAGGGTCTTCCGTGGTAAGAACAGAATCATGAACAATAGTGAGGAATAATTCATATGGGATGTTCCGTCATCACGCCGGATTAGTAACAGACAGGTGGGTATAAGCATAGATGTACAATCTATAGACCAAAAAGTATACACTATACACATTCCTCAAGTTTCACTATATGTATCCCGCCTCGTCAAATAGGCTACCGCGTGATTGCACAACTGCGGAGAGTTCAAGAAGAAACTCATACAAAACCACCACATTCGTGAGAACGTGACCGAGGGTCACCACCGGCGGTGCCTGGGCATTAGCGTCTTCGCTTTCCGCATTCCCTTCCGTCGAAGCCGAGATGGATTCAGCGGGGACTAGCGGAAACGGGGTGCTCAGTCGCTGCCGAAGAGCCCCCGCAGCTGCCGTCCGGGAGGTCGACGTTCCGCGGGAGTCGATTGGGCGAACAGACGACTCGCCCCGAATGAAAGTGGGTGCCATGGGAGGGGAACTGACCGGCTGTGGTGACCGGCCCCGGGAACCCGGGATTTGGGGTTCTGGCGACCCGGGGTAAGAGAGACCTGGACGATCTCCGAACATGGGTGCCGCAGCCTCCGAGGGCGCTGAGGAGCGATCGGGGGTTTGAGGCCGGTCTTCTTGATGGAGGACTTCTCGTCGGGCCGCAACAAGCACATCGAAGTCTGGCAGGTCCCGTTGCCACTGGCGCGCCTGGTCTACAAGTCGCCGAAGCGCTGCAGTTAATGTTGGACTAGCAGTGGCCGGCCATGTCGGCGCCTGATATGCACGGTGAATTGCATCACCCTCTTCCGATTGCCCCTCTGGGGACGGAGGATCGTATTGCGCGGGATCCACCAATATCCAGCCATCTAAAGAAAACAAATGCGAGGATGCCAGACTCATCAAAACACCCGTCAGCGCAAGGTTCACGATGACACTGTTAGTATAGAAGCTTTCGACGCAAGAAAGAAGTGCCTGGATAATTGGATCGTCTTGTTGAAGTTGTAGCGGGAGAGGAATCGCTTCCTCCGTCATGTCAGAGGGGACAGGGAGACACAGGCGGGACTCGAGCACCCAGGTCGCATCAGCAACGTAGTTGTCATAGGATTCGTTTAGGGTAGGCTCATTGATGAGTGAAGTTCCCAGGCCAAGCAGCTGTTCGAGCTCGGCATTGAAAGCACCCACAGATCGCTGGAGTGCCGGCTGGCTGGGGATGGTGTGAATCAGTGACCGCGCAAAGGGATGGTGCCGTTGGAGAACGACATTCAACAGACGTAATGTGGCCAGCACAGTCTGGCGGTTTGTAGAATGAAGCCCCATCAGAGCCAAGTCGCGCAAGTTAAAGAGAGACGGGGAGGGTTGGGCCGCTTCAGACGCCAAAGCGGCCAACACGTTGAGTGATTTTCGGCGGCTGGCCGACATATCCATCTGTTCCTCAGGCGGAGGAGACGATGCCAGTAAGAAGTGTAGAATTCGGTGCACCAACTCGCCTTGGTCAATTGAGTCAAGTATACGGCAAAGATAGGTCAAAACTGCCGCTGTTGAGCCACCTGCCACGTCCGATGATTCCAGTAATGAAGGGTATCTTAAGGTTTGTCAGTGTGATTCATAAGGGGGTTAATATGAGGGGGCTGGAATACAATAATTGCTCGAGAAAGAGGACTTGAAAATGGTCGAGGAGAGTGTCGTTCACCTCAGTAGACTTGCAGTGGTCGATGGTGTCCTGCCAGAACAAGAGATACGACATGAATGCATCCATAGCTTCACCCAGCTCTGGTAGAAGAGCAGTGTCTTCCGAAGCGTGGTCAGAGAGCGCGATGATTCGGGGAACATTGCCATCGGTGGTCGGCGCAAATGTCAAACTGCGCATGATCAGCCGCGTCTCATCACATATAGCTCATGCATCCGTTTCAAATATGACATACCTGCCCAATTGGCTGTACAACGCGCCTAGTCCGGTCGCCATCAACGTTGCAAGATCGCTCTCGATCAACCATTTCTCTAGATTCTTCGAACGGGATGCCGTCTCGATGAGGTAAAGCAGCCCAGTCCGGGCAAAATCGCCCGCTCTGCCCTCGTTATGAACATAATCCACCAGCAGGTAGAACAAGGGAAACTCGTCTTTGCGCGTTGCGCCAGCAAACTCCGTACTACTGGGAGATGCCGACTCCCCATCCACGCCCGCGGGGGTCGTCCGAGGCACAAACCATGCAGGGAGAATCGTCGGTTGCAGGCGAATGTTGTTGGCAATCCCAAACAGCAACTCGACCAGGCGACCTTCGATTTCATCTGCCTTCTTATCAGCACGTCGAACCAGGTCAACCAGTGCACGGGCAAAGAGCCGGTTGTCTACGACACCATCCACCTCGGCATCGATAAGCGTGTTGAAGAAGACCGTGGCGGAGCGTAACACGTCCGCATCATAGTAGGACAACGCGAGCTTGGTCACAGTGACGAAGATCTGAGAGGACGCCGCGTAGGCCACACAGGGGTGCGGTGCCGGTCCGCGGGATTCATCGCTCAGGATGGAGTTCAATCGTTCGATGTAGGCGCGTGCCTGAGCGGTGGATTGTTCGGGGGAGGGGGAGTTGGAAGAACGCCATATTTGCTATCATTCAATTCGATCAGTCAATGCTCCTTTAACCGAGTCCAGCGCCATACCTGAAGAGCGTTGCAGGCGCGCTTAAAGGCCGTGAGTCGTTCCGTGGGTGAGGTGGCCCGAGAGGTCTTGGACAACGCGCGCGAGCCGCCGATGAGACGAGACCACTAAGTTCAGTTAGCCGAGATTTCATTTCGGAGGCTTCCCTCTACTAGTATGTGGTCGGGAGGAACCTACAAAGTCCATTCTGTGACAGCATGGTCTCACGACCTGGAGGGAGGGAAGTTGACGGGGTAGAAGAACGAGTGGAGCCGGTGGGAACTGGTGTATCGCGCGCCGATCGCCAACATCCACTCAAATCGCAATCCGGAGGAAGTAGGAGGGGACACTGAGTGTACACGCTCGCTTGATAACAGGAAGTACTAATAAACTGACAGGTACACTCTTCTCGCTACGTGTGGTTCAAATCCCACCAGACGCTCAATACCTTGAAGAATAGTGCTCTTCTTACCTTTACACTGCGTCCAATCTTGAAAAAAAAAAAAAAAAAAAGAAACACATTTGTAGCACAGTCTCGCTCCGAGTCTGATGCATTGGAAGGAAGAGAAAAAGACTCGTGTATACAGGGATCGGGCCTGTATCGAATTATTCACATGAATATGCGTTGCTAAATATCAAACCCAGTCCACCCAACGCCCCCCGGGGGTAAAAAAACAACAAAGCAAAGGAACCAAAAAGAACCATAGCAAACAGAGAATTATCAGATCATCAATGCGCCAGTTGCCTTTCCCATCTAGCACGTCGTCAATCGTGTTCGTTTCTTTTTAATATAAGCCACGCTGGTCTTAGTCGCTCTCCTCCTTGGGGCGGCGTCCGCCACGTTTGCGACGCCCTTCGTTCTGGTCGCTGCCATCATCTTCATGTTTCCGACCGGCGGGTTGATCAGGCACCTTAGCGATGATGTCGGCAAGGAAATCTAGCACCTCATCCTTGGCGACGGCCTGCTTCAGATGACTCGCGGTGACGCGCTTGGAGTTGCGGTCCTTGGCCTCTTGGGCTGCTTTGGTGACCAGGGAGATCATAAAGAGCTCCAGAGCCTTGGCTGGAACAAAGGAGCGAGATGTTAACGATCTATTGCCATGTCGAAAGAGACAGCTCGCGTCTTAGGGGAGATGTAGCACTTACAGACAGCGATTGGGGTCACTTGCGCGACCTTTCCGACATCCTCGTCGGCCTGCATGATGCGCTTGATGCGCGCCACCGGGAACTTGGTCTTTACCTCGATCCCAGCGCCGGGCCGGGTCTGGAGGAGATCATCGGACATAGGCGCGACGGTAGGCATGGTTATGGGTGCCTCGGGGACAGGAGCGTCCGCGGGCTGCAAGCGAGATGAGCGACGGGCCATGTCGTCGAACGGCTGGAAAGGAGGCACGTACTGCTGAGGAACGCGACTCGAAGGAGGGCGCTGGTACGAGCTGAAGAAGGGTGAGGCGTCGTAGGAGCGGTGGGCCAGTGGACTCAGTGGCGCGTACGGTTGCGTGGGGTGGACGACGTTGGCGTTGGCGTTGGCGTTGGCGGTATGAGGAGGATGGGCGGTATGAGGGGGAAGAGAAGAAAAGTCGGGCGATCTTGGTCGATAGTTCTCCTCGGTCATGCTGTGATGGTCTGGAATTCAAAGAAAAAAAGAGTATAGGATATCAAAACCTGAAGGCGGAAGACATTGGCGTGTCGGGCCCAAGCTCCAAGTAGAAAAGAAGAAACACGGGGACTCTCGGGCGGTCGCGCCCTTTTTAAATTCCGCGCGGTGGATCGCCCGCGACTTAATTTTTTTTTTCGGCCTTCTGGCTTTTTAAACCTTTGCGACCCTTGATGACGGAACTGATTCTATACTTCTCTGCTCTCGGGGATCGATTTGATGGCCAGCATCTGTGGTCTCGGGGGGATTTAGGTCCTCTTTGAGCTTTGCCCTATTCTATACCTCCCTCTGCTCTTCTCCTGTTCTTCCAATCTGCCCCTCTACCTCGCTCGCAGCTGCCTTGGGGCTGGCTATGTATGGACTACCAGTACTCACTGATACAGAATGATATTCAATCATATTTCTATTTGTTTTCTGACCGACCTTTGCATCTGGTTATTCCCACTATTTTCAGCACCTCCTGCTCCCTTTGCTTTGTTCCTGAACCCCTACCTCTAATCCCCGTCGATGATGATGACACCCGTCCGGAGGCGGAACCAGAAGACACCACGCGATGGTATCGCTGTTTGCCGGTGATGGACTCGAAAAATTACTTGATCTAATCTGATGACGATATATCCCTGGCCAATCTAGAGCTCGCTAGCTAGTAATCAAGCATGACCGTTTTCTTGTGCCGGTAACAAATTGCCTAAACCGCTGCCACCCGCAGTGCGCTCTGGGCTCGCAACTCCGTATTCGTAGAAGCTAGATCGGCGGAACGTTTCTCCGTCCAAATTCATGAATCCCATCCAGTGCTGATTTCCAACTTGCGCAAACACTCCTCGTCGCCATCACAACGGCAATTCGATTGTTTTTGCCAGATTCCTTGGATCCAGCCATGGCTGCGGCGGATCCGCCGGCAGGTCTCATGGACATCGCCAGGTAGGTCCCATGGCGCAACCCGCATCAGGTGAAGAATAATTCTAATCCGCCCGTCCCCAGCACCCTCATCCAGGATGAGATTCCATTCAAGCTGCGATGCGCCATCTGCAACAAGCTGGCGGTGAACGCCTTTCGCCTGCCTTGTTGCGACCAGTCAATCTGCGAGACCTGTAAGTGGTCACACAATGCCTCCCAAACCCGACAGTGACTAAACTCGAATTTTGTCCTTGCTAGGCCAAACATCCCTCCCTGAAACCTGTCCTGTCTGTGCACACAGTCCAGTCTCATCAGATCTCTGCAAACCAAACAAAGCCCTTCGAACCACACTCAAGGCGTTTCTGCGAACGGAAGAGAAAAAGCGCGAGAAAGACCGTCAGCTGGCTGCTCCCTCCACTCCGGTCATCACCACCCCCGCAGAACATGATGCTATTCCAATCGAGATGAGCACTGAAAAAAAGCCGGTGGAGGAGACTCCAGCCGACACTCTCAATGTTCCACTGCCAGTGGAGAGCCAGCCAGCTCAGTCATTCACAGAGCCTGCGTCCGAGGGAGATGCCATTGCGGCCAACCCCGAATCTACTGGTGCGCCTGAAATGCCTGAAATGCCCGAACAAACGATCAACGTAAGATGCTCTACCCATCTTGTTTCTTTCTGGGCAGTGCGCAATGTGCTAACACTATAGCCAGTCCGAGTCAGCTGCTGGTCAGGCCACTGGAGATGCAGCTGGGCCCAAGATAATCCCAACTCCACTTTACGAGGAGACACCAGCTGAGGATGAAAATGCTCCGCAAGACCCCTCACAAGAGACTGGCTCTGGGATGATGAACATGGGCCCGGGTGACTTCTCAGGCATGGGTTGGAATGCCAATGGCAATTTTAACGGGATGAACCCATTCATGGGAAATTCTATGTTCAACTTTCCGAACCCAATGGGTATGTTTTTTCTATCCTTTCATACTTTTTTTCGATAAGTTGTGTAACAATCAACTAACTTCACAACCAGGTATGCCAATGTCGATGGACCCAATGGCCGCAAATCAGGGGATGTTCGGAGATTACGGGATGAACATGACTGGTATGGACATGAACATGGGAATGAATTACAATGGTCAGGGCATGTATGGATCCTTAGGATGGGATGGCTCCCAGCAAAACATGTGGCAAGGTGGCCCAGATAAATTCAATCCAACTGCTTTCGCAAATGGCACGGGCCCTCCTTATGGAGGGGCCTATGGCGGATCTAATATGTCTTACCCTTCTAACATGGGCTATCAGTCTGGGTACTACGGGCCGGGATATGGCCGTGGCGGTGGGTTTCGAGGTCGCGGCCGGGGTTACTACCAAGGCGGCCCCAGTCGAGGTGGCTTTGGAGGCCATGGCCAAACTCATCCCCCTTATGGAGGTCCAGTACCTAATGGCACGACTGAAGGCCCAGAGGGAACCTCCATTGAGGCTGTTGGTCCCTCTCAAGTGAATGAAGATGTCGGTGCAGAACCAGTATCTGATAAAGCGGCGGCCTCGGCGGAAACCCCCACCGGAACTGCTCCAGCAGAAACAGATGTGGCAGACAATCAGCAACTACAGGGAATCCCAACCATTGACAGTCTGGACCAGTCTTCAGTGCCCACTGGGCCCGGTGGCTACCACGGTCATATGGGCTCGGGATACGGACGAGCTGGTTACGCGCGTGGGTTTGGTGGTCCCGGAGGCCGCGGCGGCGGATTTGGGGGGGACCGATGTCTAGCTCATATCAGCCCCAGGTAGAACCCCGAAACCCCGGCGTGGAGGGTGCACCAGCCGCACCGCGTGCGATGCGGCAAGGCCTGCCCAACACCAGCGTTCTGCGACAGCGTGGATTCCATATTCAAGGACGGGCCGCTACAGGCAGTAATACACCAGGTGTCTCGCAAGGAGCCACTACCGAAACACCTCAAGACCCGCCTCGCGGCCGGTCTCCATCTAAAGCTCCGTCACAATCGCAACAAGCAGCTCAATCACGATCGCCCTCGCCAGACCGGGGTTCTCGAGCTCATTCGCGCCCTGCGGACCTTATTGACGAGGACGAGAAGCAAGGCCAACGAGATATGAAACGCACAGATCGTGTGCAGGAACCTCCTTTGACTGACCGCCACTCCCGCTCTCCATCAAGAATGTCGTCTCGTCGCTCTTCACGACGCAGACACCGTGAAAGTGACCGAGATCGAAGAAATGGACATCGATCAAATCGGAGCCATCGTCACCATAGCCGAAGTGACAGCCGCAGCCGCAGCCGCAGCCCGAAGAAGAATGGGGACGGTCGAGTTTCTGATCGACTGCCATTGATCGCTGAGGACAATCAGACCAACGGCCACGGCAAAGTATCCTCCGATGCGGGAGATCCCCGGGATCTTGCAAGCCGAATCAGCAGCAATCATCGGTCCCATAGAGATCGGCCCAGCCGGCGCGATGAAGACCGGAACCGAACTGGAGATAACCGGACTGGAGATAGCCGGCGTCGAGACCGCGAGCGAGACCGGGATCGGGATCGGGAAAAACGGGATCGGGACCGGGTTTCTGAACGTGACCGTCGCCGGGACCGAGATCGGGATCGTGATCATGGTCGAGACCGCGAACGCGAGCGAAACCGAGATCGAGACCGAGATCGGGACCGAGGCAGAGATCGAGAAGAAGATCGCAAGCGTCGCCGTGACCGCTCAGAGTCCGCCGATGCCGACAATCACACTTCTCGGCCCCAAGCGCGTCGTGTAAAGCGTGGCAATGATGACCGAGACCGAGACCGAGTACAACAAAAAGCAGCAGCACCTGCGGCCGAGCCTGAGAAAGATGCCTATACCCTGGAGCGCGAGGCTCGTAATCGCGAGCGCATGCTCCGCGAGCAGCAAAACCGCGGCAGCGCCAAATCCAATACAGTCAAGCCCGGCCGTCGGGATAGCCGCCAGGAGCGCCTCGTAGGTGGGCGGCGCATCAATTACAAGTACGAGGACGAGCTCTAGATTGCAACTTGCAGCACACAGCGAAAAGAAAACGGGCATAAAATGTCCCACTTTGATGAAAATGACGAGCTCCAAAAAGTTTCATGGCACAGGAATGGCGTCTGGCACCGCTTTTTTCTTTATGGCTGGTTGGTTCCCCTCCCCTTTGGTTTTTCTACCTTTCTTGCATGTCCTTAATTTTCCCATGGTGCTCTATCTGCCCAGTAGATATGGGATTGACGAGGTACCAACGGCCTCAGGTAGATAATTCAAAATTCAATGTGTATATCACTTCCTTGCATACGATGTCTCGATTTTTGTAGTTTATAGTCTTTTTTTTGTGGGAAGTAGTCGCTGCTCTAGTGTCGATATGGTGAAATTTGGGCACTCTATCTGGCTGCTACACGTAGTTGACCTTCGGACGTAGTTGATACGTAACTATACTGGGTTCAAGAGTATCAAGTTTTAGCTGTGGACCTGGAGAAGTAAAGGAGAGGGAAATAAAGACACGAGGACCCTGCTTCGAACAGCGAGTTCTATCTAGGGAGCAGCTGGTTGAAGGTCCATATTTCACTACCTGATAGAGAGGAATAATAATTATCAGAGATTATCTGCACATTCGCACCATAGGCTTCGAAACTGAATGTGTCACGAGATCCCAGCTTTAATCGGACTTCCGATTTTTGTTGAATTTTGCCATTCAAAATTCTGGCCTTCAAGGAAATTATCGGATGAGCAGCAAAAAGTCCAGAGAGATAGCGAATAGTGGAATAGAGATAAAACATTGTGACGAGCTATTGAGTAGGGTCCATAGCGAACAAAAGAAGTTACCGAAGCAAGAAGGTACATAACGGCGACTGATAGCCAAATGAAAATATATATTGTAGGCGACTGTAAACCAACCAGTGTCATGAGCATGCGGCATAAATCTATACCCAAGTATGATCGGAATTAGAATTTGCAGAACCTAAGAGATTATCTAAAGGGAAAAGGACAGGATTATAATACGTGGTATCGAGATTCTGTTGCCCAAGATACGGACTGGATTTGTAACACGAGTTAAGCGGGAGCAATGGTCCCTATCGACACCCGGTCTTTTGACCTCGCAATTCTTCACGCTTACTATGTCTTTACAGAGGCTCAAAAAAGTGATTGACTTTGCTTTTAACAGGCAATGTATCGACAAATCCGCTAAAAAAAAAAACAAGACAAGTACCTATCCACAGGCCGTAGCGTGTCATGTAGATTGAGACACCGGGGATGAACATGTATGTCCGCCCAGCCCAGGACATCTGCCCGAGCGTAAACAGTAAGAAAAAAGACACTACAACACCATTTGCAAATTGTGAAAATGACGGGAGCCTAGTTCAGTTTGCTTTTCAGAGTTTCCATCTCCGAGGTCAGCTTCTGCATCTGTGAGGCTTGATCGGCAATGATTTTGGTCTGCTGGGCAATCAGGCTCTTGATCTCCTCAATCTCCTTCTGGACTGTGGTGGTCGGCACACTCGACTCGCTGGCTGGGGACGCAGCGATTGGGGTCTACGGGAATTAGCAACGGTCAAACACAAAGATTGAAGGAATATCAACATACAGCAACGCGGGGCTCTGGCTTGAGGTCTTGCTTAGGCTCTACCTTGGGCTCTGGCTTGGGTTCTGGCTTGGGCTCAGACTTGGGCTCAGACTTAGTCTCAGCCTCCTTGGGCCGCAGCGGACTGCTAACCCTGGGGGAGGAAGTCTCTGCGATAGGAGAGCGAGCAGGACGCTCAACCGGCTTGGAGACCTCCTCAAAGCTGGAATCGTCGTCAGCAGCTTCGACCTCTTCTTCGTTATCGGCAAACTTGGAAACCATCGCCGCCATTGAAGCACCCTGGTCCTTCATGGACGGAGCAGGACGCGCCACAGGAGTAGGCTCGGAAACTGGCTCGCGAGCTGTCGTTAAAACTGCAGGCTCGGCGGGCGTAGGCTCAGGGGCATCCATGGTGCCAGTTGGCTTTTCTTGCACACCAGAAACCTCCTTAAGGCCCTGGCCATCGAACAGGCTGGCCATCGAGATCTTGGGCGGAATCGCTTCTTTGCCCGAGAGCCACTCAGATGGGCCCATGGCAGGGGTCACACCAATAGCTGGAGGGTAGATGTCATCCTGGAAGTTTTCAGATCGACGAGGAACAATGAACGAAATAGGCTCGATGTAGCTGTCGTTGACCGTCTTGAAGGCGCGAGTGAGCTCGTTTTCGTGCATGTTCACACCACGTTTGGGCATGAAAGCAATGCCACGCTGCGGGTCAGCAGACTTGTACTCGGACAGGAATTCGAATTTGTCATTCTCAAGCTCGAAATAGCGGATGTTTCCGTCACTATAAGACAAGTTAGACACAGAGTAGAGGAAATGCCACAAAGATGTTTACTCACCCTCGTCCAGCCAAATACAAGCAGTTGGTGCCATCATCCCAGAACGGCATGCACACACCGGAGATAGAGTCTAGGGTCTTGAAGCCATTGATAGGTTCGCGAACCGCACGTATATCCCACAGAGCCAGTTGGCGGTCGCTCATCTTGGAGAAGCCGGTGGTCGCGATCCTGTCGCGCTCTCCCAGCCACACGGCACGACTGTTCTTGGCTCCCGAGTGTCCGTTCGTCTCATGCGCAGGTCGTTCTTGACGCACATCCCAGATACGGAGCTTCTTGTCCCGCGAGGTGGTGACCAACAGCGAGCCATTGGCGCTCCACGACTGTGACTGGACGATGTCACCGATGTTGAGAGTGAGCTTGGGCGCACCGGCCTCGATATCCCAGATCTTCACAGTATAGTCGCCCGAGGCCGTTGCCAGCACGTTTTCCGCCGCGGGGTTAAAGAGCACGTGGCCGATCTTCCTGCAGGGGGCATTAGTTTCTTCATCCTTGCATGGAATAGACAGTTGATCCTCACTTGGGGTGACCGCTCAGCTTTCCAACCGGAGCAATGTCCTTGATATCATCGGCATCCACATCGGGTCGAACAGTAAAGTTATCTGGAACCCGCCAGAGAAACACCTGGGGCAAGAGTAAGCTTCCACTCGGACACATGGTCTTGAGATGTCCAGTATACCTTTCCGTCATCGGAACCCGAGGCGATCAGGTCATCGTTGAAGGGATTCCTGAATGGAGTCTCAATGTGAGCTATCATGTATAGTACTTCATGCAACCACGGTTGATTCTCACCAGTCAGTGTCAAGCACAACTGCGGTGTGACCACGGAACAGAGGAATGCGCTCCGGGAGCTTGCCTCGCTCCTCAAGAGGGATAACAGCGAATGCACCTCCACCACCAGCCTCCCAATTGACTGCGAGATGTTTCGGGTTGACCTATTCGTAGACCGTTAGACCGGGGACCGTTGCGGTGAGAGGTCAGGGGCGGTGGCGCGCGAAGGGGACGACGCACTTTGACTAGGTTGGTGTCCCAAGCATTTCTGGAGATTCGAAGGTTATCGTAGCATTGCTCCTGCAGACATTGTCAATATCATTACTCCGTCTGACACCGATTTGATCCAGAATGTACCTTTCTCGTCGAACGCCCGAAGACGTGGCCTTCACAGATTCCGACTGTCAGCGGGGAGCTTGTAGTTGGCGGACAAAAGCATACTCACGATACTTAGAAGAACGCACAAAACGCCCGGACATAGTGGGTACCTAGAGTCTCGAGGGATTGAGTTAGAGTACAATAAGCTAGGAGGCGAAGGTGAAGGAGAAGAGACCCAGCAGCTATTCTCGACTGACCAGGGAATGCGGGAACTGGGGCGCTTTGGTGTTTGGAGCGGGCCGAGTGGAGTCCGCGCTGCTGCGCCTGCGATGCTTCAATGGCTGCCAGTTGTTGGCGGCCGATATTAGATGGGACTTGTGTCGGTCAAAAATTGGATGTTGGTAAAGGGCAAAAATGTAATTGAGTCAAAGAAAACAACCATCAGCCCAAGATGCAAGCAGCGCAACGTAGTTCTTTGATCCCAACGGTCTCACGTGCCGTATTCATCATGGTATTACGAGTACGGTGGCCACCACAGTGACAGGTTTGGTAACCGCTAGTCCCAATGCGGAGGAGAGGGACATGCTGACTCAGCGTTTGTTTACTCGTCGTCTCTCCAGAAACCGGAGCTCTCATGCTCTCCGCTGGCATGCTCATCTCCCACCAACTCATCACCCATCTTTAAACATCCGTCAATTGACATAAGAGACAGTGGCTGGACGAGAGTTCCTTCTTCTCGCCCGGATTCTTTACTCGCCGGTGATCTGGCGAACCACCAACCCCACCATGGAGGACGAGAACATGGTAAACAATCGTGCCCGCACTCCATCGTCCCATCGCAGCTCTGCTGACTTATTGCGCCGCAGACCCAACCCCGAGCATCGACTCGCTCACGCATCCCACAGGCAGGACTTCGTGAGATGAATTCTGCAACCACCAATTCCCGATCAGGCATGTCGGGTATCCCGCCACCAGGATCGATCGCAAACAAAGTTACTAGTTCCCGTACGGAGTGGCCTGCGCATTGAGAGTTTGCGCATTAGGAGAGATGCTAACAGCCTGTCATAGCGACCCGACCAAAGACAGCCAATCCAGTCGAAACTAAGAGACCGCCGTCCGTCGCTCGCACTAACACTGGTACGACCAAGACACATGCCCGCGGCAACTCATTCGCCTCTTCTACCATGTCACGACCCGGCTCAACAACCTCTCGACCGACGACTGGCGCATTCTCAGCCACCCTTGGTTCTTCTTCGCGACCAGCCTCCATTGTGCCGCGACCTCATTCATCTATCGGTACTCGCAAGCTCAACTCCCCATCGATGATTCGCCCAACTACCTCATTGGATACTCATGCTGAAGATGCCGCGGCCAGCGTCCTTGGAAAACGAAAGGGTATGAAAACATTCTCTTTTCCCCCCAACCGTACATCTTCTTGCCCCGTTGGATCTTCCATGGAGACACCCCTGCCCAAGTTTGGTCCTGACGAGCCCTTTTCAACGTTGTTTCCTGTGTTGGAGCCCAGTGGATGGAAAAGTCAGTCTCTCGAAGGCGCTCATTCGAAAGATGCAAGCGCGAGGATCGTAAGCAAAATTTGCTTGAAGAACCCAGATGACTTCGTCCCAAATGCCTCCACCCCAGCGAAATCAGACCAACGGTCAAGGGTTCCCATTCTGACGCCATCCAAACCTTGCCGAATTCCATCACAGTCCCCCCGTCGCACCCCGAGAAGGCCCCCTATTCCAACATTTCTATCAAAAGACTCCAGATTAACAAGTTTTACTGACCATTTAGGCTCCGAATGGGACCAAGAGTCGAGAGAGAAGAACATGGAGGACTTTTTTATGAAATTCATGTCCAAAATGAGCGAGCATGGCCAGCAAAGCTCAGGACTCAAGGACGCCATTGACGTGTACAGAACAAGAGGTTAGCGATCTGCATAGGATGTCAACGGTCGGCGAGGACGCGTTTCTGACACTGATTTTAGTTGAAGAGCTTGAAACCGCCCGCGATGGGCTTAAAGAGACCAATCTGACTCTGCGCGTGGAAATGGAGTCGTTGAAGAGCCAGCTAAGTGCGGCAGAATTTGCTCTCAAGGACGCTAAACGGGATCAAGAAATCGCAATGGATGATCTTGAACAGCGGCAAAGAATTGAAATGGAATCGATAAGAGAAGACGGTAAAAAAGAGGCGGAAGCGTTACGAGCTCGCCATCAGGATGAACTCCGAGAGCTCAAGCGAAAATTTGAAAGTGAAATCGCCGACGAGAAAGCTGCACGAGTCCGAGAACTCAGTCAGCTCACGTCGCAATCTGCATTGGACGTCCAAAAGTCTGAAATCCAATTAGATAACAAGAACCGGGAAGTTTTGGCCGCGCAGAACCAGATTCAGTCCTTGAAAGCAGACTTGGACCGAGAGCGAAGAAATGCGCATGAGCTTCGTCAGAACTTGGATACTGCCAGCAGCAACAGCGTTACCTTAGAGTCAACGATCCGAGCATTGAAGGCCCGAATTGAATTCCTCGAAGGGGGGAGAGAAGAACAATCACAAGCCTTTGAACGCTGCAACCAGCAGATGATGGACGCTCTTTCCGAGACCGAGGCAACCAAGGAGAAGTTACGCAAGGAGGAGACTCTGCGTCGCAAGCTTCACAACCAAGTGCAAGAGCTTAAGGGTAATATTCGAGTATTCTGCCGTGTCCGGCCACCCCTCAACAGTGAGCCAGCGACAGAGATCGCACCGATGCTCTACCCTGACCTATCGGAGGATGCAAAGGAGATCAATATTATGGGCCCAGAGGAAAAGAGCAGCCTGGGAACTCTCTCTCGCAAAAACAATACCTTTGCGTTTGACCGGGTTTTCGGCCCCTCGACTCAGAACGGTGAAGTCTTTGATGAAATCAGCCAGCTGGTCCAGAGTGCTCTGGATGGCTACAATGTGTGCATCTTTTGTTACGGCCAAACTGGTAGTGGTAAGACGCATACCATGTCTTCACAAGATGGTATGATTCCTCGCGCAGTCCATCAAATCTATGAGACCGCGCAAGGCCTGGAAGAGAAGGGCTGGCGATACACAATGGCCGGCAACTTTGTTGAGGTCTATAATGAGAACCTAAATGATTTGCTCGGCAACCCGGACGAGCTCGATAAGAAGAAGCTTGAAATTCGGCACGACATGCAGCGCGGCAAGACCATAATCACCGACATCACCACTGTTCAGCTTGAGTCCCCTGAAATGGTTGAATCTATGCTTAAGCATGCAGCCGCCAATAGGTCTGTTGCAGCCACCAAGGCCAACGAGCGTTCCTCTCGATCCCACTCGGTTTTCATCTTGAAGTTAATTGGTGAGAACCATATCACTGGAGAGCGTAGCGAAGGCACTCTCAATTTGGTCGATTTGGCTGGAAGCGAGCGTCTGAGTCACAGCGGAGCTACAGGCGAGCGCCTCAAGGAGACGCAGAACATCAACCGCAGTCTCAGCTCTCTTGGTGATGTTATCGCCGCACTCGGCCAAGGCAAGGAGGGCGGCCACATCCCATACCGGAATAGCAAGGTATTTTTCATCCGCAGTTGCCTCCGAAGATCCATCTGATGCTAACCTATTCATCCCTACAGCTCACATATCTCCTTCAATTCTCGCTGGGCGGGAACTCGAAGACACTTATGTTTGTCATGGTCAGCCCTCTGCAGGCTCATCTCTCTGAGACCTTGACTAGCTTGAAGTTTGCTACGAAAGTCCACAACACCCACATTGGCACCGCCAAGCGCCAAGCGCGTGTCCGTGACTCTTGAACATGATGATACCTCTTGTTGTTTTGCATATAGTCCCGGATTTCTTTTCATTCCCTTTGTTCTTGATCGGAGGCAGAGGTCTTTTGACGATCCTGTCCTCTGTCTCGGTGTTTGGGTCAGGCTTATGATTGTCTTTTGTCCCCTTCCTTTTGTTTCCGTTTATTCCCCGCTACAACGCCTGTGGTTATTCGATGGTCGGTCCTATTTTGGCGTGTGTAATTTACCTTGTGGATGGGACTTGATGAACTTGATTTAATCAATGCACAGTTACAGGCTTTCTTTTTTGCTTTTGGTACATTGGAAAAGTCGTTCCATGCGTTTCTCATGAAGCTCGTGTCTCTTTCCGGCCTCTTTAGCCCCTGTAACGTCTCTCGATGAATCGGCGGATATCCTCCAATGTGTATTCTTTCTGCTCGATCCACGGGAAATGCCCACACTCCTTGTAAGTAATCAACTCGGCGCCGCGGATCTCCATAGTTCGAATCGCAATCTTCAACCCGCAAATCATGTCGTCGCGACCAAAAATAATCAATGTTTTGGCCTGCACATCCGACATACCGTCGACCATCTGCATCGAGTTCTCAATGTCCCGGTCACACTTGCCTTGCGAATGGTAGCACCACGCCGGCATGGCTCGGTTTCCGATCGCCTCCACCAGCTCATCCACATACCGGGCCGGGTTATAGAAGTACAGAGGCCAGATAGATTTGACAGACTCAGTAAACTCCTCATCGGTGTCAGCGGTACGGCTCAGCAGGTTCTGCCATGCGTTTCGATAGGCGGGGTTGTTCTGCGTTGCCTCGAGCTTCTCTTTCTTCCGGTCTTGCATGCCGACGACCTGGTGGTTCAGCAAGATCAGTTTCTGCACGCGTTCCGGGTACATCTGGGCGTAGGCGAGTACAATGGCACCACCGTTTGAGTGGCCCAGCATCACGGAGAACTGTTCCAGCTGCAGGTAGCGGCGCAGATCGTCCAAGTCCGAAGCCATGTCGGGCATGGTGCTCATCTGGCGTGCATGCAGGGGACGCGAAGATCCGTTAGTACCACGAGGATGGAAGAATAAAACCGGGTATACTGCTGGGCGATCTCTGTTCATCTCGGTCGATGGGTTCCAGAGCTCTGACAGGCCGCGCTCAAGATACTCAGAGCCCAGGCCCCAGCCGGGACACTGAACTAGAATCAAGTTGCGCCTAGCCTCCTCCTGAGAGATTGAAGACGGCCGGTATACCACATACTCGAGGGTTAGCCCAGTGCCTGGGGCCGTGAATTTGTGAATTCCGGGATCCAAGAGGGTGTCCGCCATTGATGAAAGACAGAGGGACACACGCAGTCTGAACGATGCTAAGACCCGAAGGGTGACGTCACTGGGTGATTAGTTCTCGGCTTCAATGGGGATGGCGGAAGAGACGAGATGAACAAGAACAGCGTGAATGAAGGTCCAAGAGTCAAGATAAGCTCATGATTTAGCGTATGATTGTTTGTCAAGGGCTTCGCCAACTGGTTGTTTTGCCTGACTCACTTCTTCTGACAACTATTTGCAAAATATCAACTTTGAGGGCCTGACTTATGAAATAGTTGTTGAAATATTATGTGTTGATCGAAAGGAGACTTATAAAAAGAACGCTTTACTTTCATGATTCTAGGTTCTTCCTATAACCATAAATGAGCCGAAGTATATGCTATGATATTCAAGCTAGAGTAAACCGAAGTATCTGTCAGTATTCTCTTTCACCTGCGATGCCTTGTTTCGAATTGCAGCGGCATCCAGTGCCCCTTCTTCGCAGATGTATGCGTCTATAAGCGTTGCAGGCACCCACTCAAAGTAGGTGTTCTTCACTTGAACAGTGCAGTTTGGGGCCTTCCCCTGAAGACCTTCCATGAGAAGATCCAGACCCTCCTTCCCGCCGTTCATCCAAAGAGCCATCACTTCGCGACCATCATTCTCCTCTGGCTCGCGATTCTCCTCTTCTTCAGGCTCAGCTACCTTTTCCAGTCCACTGAATATCAGCGCTTTTGATTTGGAGCTGACATGTTTGGCACTCAGTGCAGCCGGAAGTGACCCAGCCTTGTTACTAACTGCGCCCGAGCTCGCAATACAATCAGCTCCCAACAGCACGAAGTCCACATCGGTGGAAGCGAGAGCTGCTGAAGCCTCCGTGAAGATCTGAAGCTGGAAATAACGGCCAGCTGAGGCTGGAAACCTAGATTTAAATGCTTCAAGAAGAGACGATGCCATCGTAACTCCTTCGCAGAGTGGCCGAGATTCAAGAACGCGCAAATCTAGGTAGGTCAGAGGCAGGGCAGCAAAGGCATCGATGATACTGTCTCGGATAGTGGAGCTGGCAGAGAGGGTTAAGATCGTCAGTTTATCCTGGTTCTGTGACTGGGCCGTGGAGAGAAAGTTGGTCTGAAGATAGGCAACAAAAGAGTCCTTGATGCGCGATGGCATCGTCGTTCGGTCCTGTAGATGGTGATCTACCACAGCTAGGATCCGATTCCATGTTGGTCTTTTGTCAATTTCCTGGTTCCGTATATCGTCTATTTCGGCCAGAACGCCGAGAATGGCATTCAATGTCGCTGATCCCATACTCTCCCGTCCATTCTTCCACAGGTGCCATGCTGCCATTCGAGCGCTTTCCCACCATGTTGGATCGTTCTCCAAATGTATCAGCACATTACGAAAGGTCCGGAGGGCGACTGCAGTCAGTTCATGTGATCCACTCACATGGTCCGTCTGCAATTGCTCAAGACCGGACTGGAGTGCTCTGCTCGCCGCTTCAACCAGATCCCCTTCGAACCAAACGCGACGTAGACTGTCCGTCAATCGAGGAACACCACCGAGATTCTCATCACCGATCACTTGATCTGGCTGATACCAATTCCATCGCTCATGCTCCCAGTCAATCTGAATGCCGGCTTCACCCCGGCCGCCATCGGTAAGATTGGTGAGCCGGAAGCTAAAAGGATATATGGTCCACTGCCGCCCAACCTCGGTATCAGCAAATGTGAATGGCTTCCCCTGCCGCCAAAGAGTCACATCTTGGGCTGTCAAGGTTGTCTCTTCCTTCAATTCGCGCCACGCAGCTGCAATGGGTGATTCGTGCTTTTCTATACTCCCAGAGATAGGCGCGAGATGATGGCTTATGGCCTGTTAGCAGCTGAGCAATGTTCAGATCGAGATCAACCTAGAGATCTCTTGGCATCTATAGTCTCTTCTGAAGGGGCTCTCAAACCCACCGATATGTGGATACTTTGTCGCTCCGCTGAAACAAGGCAACTCGAGGTCGGCCATTTGCTTCGAATATGAAAGACGAAACAACTGATCGCGGTTTGGTCATAGTATGTCAGAAGAACGATTATTGTGGCGTCAGAAAGGACTGAGAATTCAAGCCTGGTTGAACTGGTTGTGCTGTCGAACGAGAGTGGTGACGGATCCGTTGCCCGAGACGGCAACGCCCGCGGGTCGGTGGCGTAACCGTGCATCTGACAAAATACGAAATAGACTAGTACGACACCTCGTATACCGCACGCGATCATACTACTAGTAATATTGTGCAATCCATGAGCTGACAACATTCGATTCTCACGATAGTCTTCTGCTGCTCTCGGCACCAAGGCATTCCGTGAGACGTACCGATCCCGACTCGTCCTCCTTTTTCTACTATGACCGATCAGGTCCCTCATACCAAAACAGCGAATCATCTGTCTGACCTGGATATTATGCAAACGTCTTACCAAACTGCCTGGGCTCCCTATAGTTATATGCTTCTACTGACGATATGACGATATCTTCCCTGTAATTTGTCCAGCTCCATTTAAGCGATATCAATGCCAAGTGTCAAAGCGAAATCGTAATCAATTAAGCAAACTAATTCTAAAAATATGTCCATTATCAGGTGTCATCAAAGGGAGATCTTACTGTGCCGCCACTATCGCTATTGGAGCCACTTCGATCACGGACTCCATGCCTGGGCTGTGATTCCAGATTCCTGTAATCTCCAATCCGACGCTGTGCAGCAGATCGCGCCACTGGCGTTCAGACCGCTCGACCCCGGCGCCGATGCTCATCATCTGGATATCCAACGAGGCCTGCAACAAAGGAGTTTCCGTATCCGGCAAGACGAAGTCCACAATCAGAATGCGAGAGTAGCCCGAAGCCATCGCGGACATGGTGTTGCGCAGGATCTGCTGGCAGATATGATCTGGCCAGTCATGGAAGATGGCCCGGAAATAGTACGCCCGGGCTCCCTTGACGGGCTGTGGATCGAGAAAACTGTATCCCATCACTTCAATGCCCGCGGCGCTGCCCGAGACATCCTCCACTACTTTGGGCAGATCTTGGAGCACTAGCCGCCCGGGGAGATGGGGATGCTTTTGCCGAAACTGGCTCAGATCGTGACCCTGATTGCCCCCGATGTCGACCAGAAACACGGTATCCTGACAGGGCACGCCATGACCGAGGAGTCGCTCAACGGGGTACACGTCAAACCACATAGGCTTGCCCTGTCTCCGGCTGGCCATGTAAGAATTGAATAGCGTCTGCTGGTTCTTATTGCTAGCCAGCCATTCAAACTGGCTCTGCCCAACCGCCCACTGCATCGGGGAGCGTGCATAGTCGTCAGGATTGGCGTATTCATGAGTCCGGAGGTACTCGGGGAGTTTGCTCAAGGTGGGCACTGTAAGATCATATCTATATTGGCCAGTCAGCCACTGCGCATCCCTCCTCGGTTAAAAGGACAAACATGGGTTTGCGCCCACATACATGCATGGCACACCATCTCGGCCAATGGGCTGCGTCAACGCCACAGTCTTCTCGTTGGCTTGGTAGACTTCCGGCACTGGGGCTGTACACAACCCCAAGGAGGCCATGACGCGCATCAAGCGCACTAAAAAAAACCGACGGTGTTATTTCGATTGGGTCCACCGGGACAACAACTAACTTCCACTGAAGGTGGAGATCATACCGATCAAGTCTCGGTCTGCTCCGGTGAACTCAGACAGCTGAGTGGCGGAGATGCCGACTTCCTTGTACTGCTTCTGGACCAACAATGGGAAGATCTCCAGATCGATCACGGTACGGAGGGCCGCATTTTGAGGAGGCTATAGAGTGTTCACAGTCAGATCGAAACAAGAACAGTCTCGAGTAAACGGGGCAGAACATCGCGTGCAATGATGCTTCTTCCCCTTACCTGGTAAATCAAGCGCAACACGGTTTCCGTCGGGGTTTCCACGGCCAATTTGAGTTGGTCGATCATTCGGAGTAGGTCGAAGTGGGCCTTCGGTGACGGGTTTGAGCCGTGCTGCACCACTAACTGCCCGAGGCGATTGACGATGGCTTGCAGAGGAGTGATCACCGTCATGATGGGTGGTTGAACGGAAGATCTGACGGGATCGGGGATGGAAGTTAGGATAAGTCACACAAAAAATGCGACTGGGGATGATGGCCGACTCTTGTTCTTCTTGTTCTTCTCTATGGACCGGATTGTTGCTAAGATTATATATCACTTGCGCATTCCGTCTCCTTTGAGCTGACGATTGCGTTCGAATGCGGTTCACTCTGACATCGTCTATTCTGTCATGGATCGCAAACTAGTTGCATCCATTCCCATGGATGGGGAGCTGAAGTCGAGGCAAAAAAAGCCCGAAAGCAGCCCTTGTCTGACTCCATCGATGGATTCGACCAGGAATGAGGAGATCACCAGCCGTTGTCGTAATCTCAATCGTGCATTGCTCGTTTCAATCTCGATTTCGGTCGAGGTATTGGCCACGGAGTGGCGCCACAGCACGGCATGCCCGGTGCGGCAGAGTTCGACATCACGTTCACTTCACTTCATGTCCTCCGTATTCCGAGCATCAACCCTGCAACGCTGCACCACTTCCAACCCCCTCCACTTTGATAAGCCCTTGCACCCTGCAGAGAGTGGAACCAGCAGGTTGTACGTGGACCCATCCCGCCCAGGATTGCATTCTGGGCCGCGCGATGAAGCCAAACTCCGTCACTCTCGGCCTTCTTCGATGGCGGCCCACTTATTTGACGCATTTGCTCGCCCCTGAGACTCACTGCCGATCGACACGGAAACAGGAGACGCAACAGAATATGCTTTGAGCGCATGATGGCTTTAAATCTGAACCTCTGTCGCTCGCTCCGACGAAGTCCAAGGCCCCGGACGAACCAGACGTGAAGCAAGACTAATTTTCATTGGCATATACTCATCTACCGTTGCCCCGTCCACCCCGATATCCTCCATTAATTCCTAGCGGTGGCATTCGTCAATGGCAAGTGTCCCGACTCCACCCTCGCTCGAAGGCGATTCGCGATGGTCGCCCGCCATCGCCACGGTCAGCTTGGGCGCAGCGCACCTTCATCCGATCACAGCGAAGATCAAGGCCGCCGCGCGCAATGGCCAACGAGGGCTCGAGCTCTTTCATGATGATCTCGCTGAGTTCGCCAAGATGCTGCGCTGTCAGACATGTGAGCTGACGGCTACGGCCCGCACCGATCGCGACTATGAGATCGACGCCGCGCACGCCATTCGCGATCTATGCGCCGAGCGGGGGTGCACATTCTAGCGCTGCAGCCCTTCCGACACTATGAGGGCCTCCTGGATCCCGCCCAGCATGCTCAGCGCATCGACGAACTCAAGCACTGGGTGCGATTGTGCCAGATCCTGGGCGACGACCTGTTCATACTCATTCCATCATCCTTCCTGGATCCATCCATGATCACAGGTGATCGGGACCGGCTGGTGGCTGATCTGGCCGAGGCGGCCGACGTAGCATCCCCTGTTCGCATCGCATACGAGGCCCTCGCCTGGGGCACCTACGTCAATACCTGGGAGGATTGCTGGGACATCGTGGTGCGAGCCAACCGGCCGAACCTAGGCATCTGTCTGGATACCTTTAACATTGCCGCGCGAGTGTGGGCTGATCCGACCAGCGGGACGGGTCGTCTTCCTGCGCATGCGGACGATGATCTACAAGCATCAATGGAACGGCTCGTCCGGAAGATTGATCCGGACCGAGTTATGATGGTGCAGCTGGCAGATGGCGAGCGCGTCGACCCACACACACCTTTCCTCCAAGCTCCAGGGCTACCCAAACTTCTAGCCTGGTCTCGGAATGCACGTCTGTTCCCCTGCGAGGAGGAACGCGGTGGATATCTGCCTATTCGTGAGGTAGCCGAGGCCTGTCTTAATGGGCTAGGCTACACTGGATGGGTCAGTATGGAAGTCTTCTCGCGAACCCTTGGGGAGGACAACCCGTTGGTCCCAGACGAGCATGCCGCACGGGCTAGCCGATCCTGGCAGCGGGTCTTGCAACAGCTGGATAACAGGGCTGAGAAAGTTCAGCCGATTATTCCCTAAACGGTCTTGTGTCACCTCAAGAATTCCTTATCTTGTTTTGTCTTTTCCTTGCCTTTTTTTCATGGCGTTGCTTAGAGTATAGACTTGCGATTCATTTCACATCCTACTGGTTATAGACAAAATTAGATTTGATATCTGATGTATATCATGTTCATAGATATTTCTAATTCATGTACATAGTAGCAGCGATGATGGCATAATGTGCTTAGGGCCCCAAAGTCCAGGAATGCTTGACTTGCCGTTGTCTAGCATGGGATATCCGTAGTATACACCCCTGTCGGAGTTGCCGTAAGAGCTCCGTGCCATCGGGTTGAGAACTAGCTCCGTCTACATACCACACCGGATCCGTGTCCGGATAGCCATGTTGTCTTGAACGAGAGAAATGCCCAGACAAGATCTGACGGGCCCTGGGGCTTTCTTGACGGCCAGTTGATGTGTCAAAAAGCATATTATGTACCTATGTCATCTGCAACCTAGTCTGGAGCCTTTGACCTCAAGCATCTGTGATACGTGCTAGGGCGAATCCGCAGCAAGCCGTATGGTAAGAATGCTGTCTAGGCCATCATCGCCCGAATTAACACGACAGCAGTCTCCAAAAAAGAGAACAAGGTTCGAATGATCGACCATCGGCATGCTAGAACCCGATCGGACGGTTAGCATTCCTCCCGGTAAACGGCGGCACGATCCGTGAAGAGTCCGCTCCACTTGATCAGTCTACAGCGCCGCTTTCGGGCCACGTCTGACCCAGTTCAAACCCTGAAGGCCAATAGTACACAAGATTCATTCATTCTTCGAATCAACTTCCCCTCGGCCCATAGTACCCGCCGTTCCGGTTTCCAGGAACGAAGCTCCCGCGGGTTCGGGACGATGCAGATCAAAAGCTCAGGCTATGTGGATCCGTGTCAAAAGGTATCTAGGATAATTGATCGGGTATTTTATCGGATAGGGCGTGAATTTTGTCTGAGTTCTGGAAGAAATCAGATTTATTGCCAGGCACAGATATACGCATTCGAACATGATTTCTATATGAAGGAACCTACGGAGAGGATATATTCTGATGTCATATGTAATGCTCTACGTTTTCAGCAAGCATTCCATTTCTGGCCAATGTCAGCGTTTGTCTTGATATCATGTTTGAAAATTATTTTCTATGTCAATTAAGCATATGGCTGGCAACCGTTTCATTCGCCTTTTTTTTTTTTTTTTTTTGGGATATAACCAGGCATCACTAAGCTATTAGCAGGAATTGTTTGAATTAACGGCGCAAGGCTGTTTGCTCTTATGAACTTTAGGTGTGCATCTGCTGGTTTGTTTGCTGCAAACAAAGTCATTCCAGGGTTAATTACCTCAAATATGCAGCGACTTTACGACTAACCGGTATCATTGAGATTTAAAGAATTTATTCAATTTTCTAGATTCCAGTTTTTCAGTTAGCAAGATCCAGGAGAATGTTATTGCGATACATCTAGATGTTTCCAACCTCGGCCCCAAGACGTAGAGACGGGATTCTCCAAGGGGTTGTTCCAACGAGATTTCGATTCCGGCGGGGCGTTAATTTGGGCAGCTCTGCAGTGTAGCCATTGCCGCTCAGAAAAATAAGAATTTGGCCTATTTCAAGGACAGGGAAAATTTTTACGTCCGAGGTACGCTGCATCAGTCGTGCGAACGGTTCGTGGATGCAGGAGACGTCGGTGAGTAAATCCCTGGCTATTATTACCACACCCCTGTACAATAATAAGCCATTTATTTTCGCCACAAGGATCAATTTTATTCGCTGTGAAAATTTGTCTGTGATCGTGCTGACAGGAAGATTTTCAGGAATTTTTTCCGTATCAAGCCACAATGTGCGCTGGCTTACTTGTGGCTTGCCTCTAGTTCGCATGAATGTATACTTCATTCAATAAGTTCTCTTTCAGGTGATATGAGCGGTCTAGCCTGCCAATCTCTGCTGATTGATCAGCTCCACGGTCCCGATATGGAGCAATTACCGGGCGTTCAGGGCCAAGCTGAATGAGTCGCGATACTTCTCCAAAAACGGAACCTCAGCATGCTCCCGAGAATCCCGAAAGCAGTCGGCAATCGAGGTGGGACACAGGAGCCGAAGTAATATTAGCTATCATTATTGAAAGATTTTCTTTAAGAACTTCCATTTGACTCCTGTATATATAGCGCACCCATGGAAATTTTCATTTACCTCTCCCATCCTCGTCCGCAATACTTGCAGTCAAAATGGGTATTCAACGAGGCGACCAGACAACCACGGCTACTTCATCTAGCGTGGGAGACCCTCTTATTCGGAAATTTGGCCAGCTCCATGTTTTGGATGATCTTATTAGGCTTCGTGCGGCTGATATTGTTCAACACCCCATCCTCGCCTATCCTAGCTCCGATGACCATGCTGCTACTTATAATTACTATACTGGACGGGATTTGGATGAGATGATCGATCATACAGTGGCGATCCTCATGAATGATGGGTTTCAACCAGTTCGTTATCCCAAATATCGCATCTGACAGAGGAAAATGACTGACCCGCCGCAAACCAGCCCAAAAAGGATGGAGCCATTGTCGCCCTTCTTACTCTGTCTGATATCAACATGGTTATATCATTCTTTGCACTTAGTCGACTGGGTTATACCGTAATGATGCTCTCTCCACGACTGTCGGGAGATGCCTGTGTATCATTACTCGACACCGTGGGTTGCGAGACTATTATATACGGGAAAACTAAAAGCATCCGCGCCACAGTCGGTGAAATACTACAAGAGAAACCAGTGAGCTGTCGGCCAATGCCATCGGCTTCAAGTGAAGATACAGAGACTTCCTTCCTAGTTCTGAATCGAACCCGGAATTCAGAGGCTCAAAGAAATAAGACCGTGCTCATCCTTCATTCGTCGGGCTCGACTGGTACTCCAAAACCGTTGTTCCTTACGAATCGTGCCCTTATGACCCACCCGCTGCGTGGCCCCGGTCTGACTTCATTCAATCCTCTCCCCTGGTACCATCTCCACGGTCTTTCCACTGCATTGCAGGCGATGTGGATGCGTAAGACAGCGTTTATGTGGAATGCAGCACTGCCATTAACCGCTCAATCCGTTGTGTCTGTCCTTGAGGCTGCGCGGCCAGAGTCCGTTGCAGCTGTTCCTTACATGCTTCAGTTATTGGTGGATAGCCCACGAGGTATTGCTGCGCTCCGAAATTGCAAGCTGGTCACGTATGGTGGAGCACCGTGCCCCGATGAGCTTGGAGATCGGCTAGTTAGCGAAGGCGTCCCATTTGGAGGCTCATTTGGCCTGTAAGTTGATGAAAATTGCATTAAAAAGAATACCCCTAGTCTAATTGACCATTCACAGCACGGAAGCAGGACTGGTCGCAGAGTCGATATCTCGGCCAAAGGGTGACCCTCACTGGAACTATCTACGGTTCTTTGACAATATCCGGCCGTATATCTGGATGAAGCCAATCGGCAACTCGCTTTACGAATGCGTCTACTTGGCGGGCCATCCGGCTTTGACAACGTCCAACTCAAGTGATCCTCCAGGCTCATTTCATTCCAAGGACGTCTTCACTCCACATCCGACGATACCAGATCGGTGGAAGTATGCTTCCAGATTGGATGACAGGATCACGCTGGTCAATGGAGAAAAGGTGCTTCCTCTTCCAATTGAAGGCTACATCAAGCAGCATCCTTTGATTCATGAGGCGGTGGTCGTTGGACTGGGCAAAGCAGCCCCGGGGCTACTGGTCTTGCGGGCCAAAGATGAGGAGAAAACAACCCTTTCTGATGAAGCATATCTCGATGAGATCTGGCCCACTATCGAAGGTGCCAATGCTCGGGCAGAGCGGTTTTCGCAAATATCCCGCGACTTGGTGGCAATCATATCTCCCACATCAAAGTTCCCTCGCACTGACAAGGGCTCGATGATCCGAGCGCAGGTTTATTCGCTCTACGCAGAGTTGATTGATAATATCTATACAAAAGCAGAGCGAGTTGAAGGTGGTCTTCGGCTTGGTCTCTCAGAGACACAGTCTCTTCTGATGCAGTTATGCCGACAAGAGCTCCGAGCCCCGATTTCTAGCGAGAAAGAGGATTTCTTCGCTCAGGGCATTGATAGCCTGAAGGCTATACATCTCCGGCGTCTGATTCTCCAAAATTTCTGGCTCGGCTCGAGCCCCGTGGGTCTAAATCTCGTCTATGAGACGGGCAGCATTGAACGTCTAGCACAGCACATCTATGCTGTACAAAATGGCGACCTCGTTTCTCCAGGTCAGAGCGATCCTGAGATCATGTCAAGCTTGGTTCGCAAGTACTCCACATTTCAGAGGCATATTCCCCAGCCGGCGCTCACACCCGACACAAAAGGCGTGGTACGTATAATTGATTATATCGCCTCGCACTTTTGAATGCTGCTAATAGAATACTCCACAGATCCTCACGGGAGCTACTGGTTCTATCGGCGCCCACACGCTATACGAACTTCTCAATGACGAGTCAATCTCCATAGTTTTCTGCTTCACGCGCCGCTCCCAGCCTTTAGAAGCTGTTCTAAACAGCTTAGCCACGCGCGATTTGGCCATAACCTCATTCCAAAAAACCAAGATCGTTGCACTGAACTGTTCTCTCGACATGCCCAACTTCGGCCTCACTCCCTCAGACGAGGACCAGCTCCGGTACATGAGACAGACCGTGACGCAGATCATCCATGCCGCTTGGCCCGTGAACTTCAACCTTCCTCTCGCCAGGTTCGAGCCGCACATCCAAGGCCTCCACGCGCTTCTCGATTTCTCGCTCTCTGTGGCCCGTCCTGAGCCAGCTGTCGTCCTGTTCTGCTCATCCATCTCCACAACCCTCGCGGCGCCGTCGTCCTGCATTGAAGAATCCCTCGCAGATCCAGGAGCTGCGTACCTCGGCTACGGGCAGTCGAAACTCGTCGGCGAGCACGTCGTCAACGTTGCACGCCGCACCGGCGCGAGGGCGTTTTCGCTACGCATCGGCCAGGTGTCGGGTCACTCGAAGAAGGGCTTGTGGAACGACAGCGAGGCCCTCCCGCTGATGCTGCGCTCTGCGCTGACCCTACGAGCGCTGCCGACCCTCCCGCACGCCTGTTCCTGGCTGCCCGTCGACACGCTCGCCTCGGTGGTCGTCGAAATCGGGCGCGCAGTTGGCGCGGAGCACCGCGGGTCAGGGAAGGGTGACACGGCCAGTGGCACGGCAGGTGCGGAGTCCGATGACTCGGTCTATAACGTGTGCAATACGCGCTCGTTCTCGTGGGCAGCGTTGCTGGAGAAACTGGGCGGTAGCGGGTTCCAATTTGAGCAGGTGCCTTTTGAGATCTGGTTGGAGAAGCTGAGGGCTAGTGAAGCCCGGGGCGAGGAAGACGTTAATCCTGCGGTGAAGCTGATCGGGCATTATGAGGCCATGTATGGGGAGAAGTCAAAGATTGGGCACAAGACGTTTGTTACGGAGAGAGCTGAGAGGGATAGTGTGACTCTGAGAAATGGCCGATTGAGGATTATTGAGGATGGGATTCTTTCTTGTTATGTACGAGACTGGTTGAACCGATGGATGAGGTCGTGAGTGTTGGGTTGAGGGTAAAGCAGATTGTGTACATAGGGCTTGCAAACTGGGACGAGAGGGGATCAGAGGTGATATGTAGATGGAATTCTTATAAAGTTTATATATTCGTTCAGAGCTTCTATTGACCTCTGGCAGTTTCATTTTCATGTCGAAGAAACGTATATGGAGGAAATCCAAGATTCAATCTGAGGCAAAGAGTGTTTGTTAACTACCATTGTTATTCTAATGAGAATCCAAAGCCTGTAGGGCATCTATGGACGTCGGAAAAAAGGTCTATTGTACATGCGACGAAGACAGACAAAACAGAACGCAACCATCGGAATTTCAAATCCATCCGCCGCGAAGTGTATCTGGTATCAAATTAAGCTCGGAGGGTCTAAGCCATCAGAGCAAGCACAAAGGCAGCAATGATCGTCGAAAACTTGACGGACGCCCTCTCGGCTGCACCAGTGAAGACCGGGCTCACGGCGGTGGTGGAGGATCCTTGGGAAGTACCTCCAGAGCTACTAGAGGCCGCAGAGGCACCGGTGGCAGCCGGAATGAGAGCCTTCGATGTTTGCGTGCCATGTGGGCTAGGAAGAAGGCTGGAGGAGCCGATGTTGACACCAGGGGCCATGATGATTGTCGGTAGAGTGGTGTCCGATGAAGCAGCAGTTTGAGGAGCATTAGTGGAAACCGCATCAGCGCCAGTGGGAACTTGACTGGGAACCTGGCTGTTGACAGCCTCGGAGGTGGCAGCACTGGGCTGTTGCACTGGGGTTTGGGCCTCTTTGGCCGCGTCTGTTGCAATTGGCGCAGCAGACTGGACTGACTCGGTAGTCTGGACAACCGCAGGTGTCTCGACGCCGTTCGAAGAAGAGGCCAACGAGGCAGAGGCCTGAGCAACAGGGCACAAAGTGGTGGTTTCGGTAACAAATTTTGTAACGAAGCGAGTGGTCTTGGAGGACGATGCAACGGCGGTCGAAGTAGCATCTGAAAGACCGGTCAATTCACCAACAACGCCAACGGTGTTAGCACTTGAAGCAGAGGAAGTGTCGGCATTGCTCCAGCCACCACTGGCAGCGCTCTCTACAACCGCAGCAGAGGTCTCCGCAGCCGCGATAGTGGCTTTGGCAGTGGTCTCGGCCACAGCTTGAGTGGCTTTGGTGGCCTCAACAACAGTAGCATGGGTTGAGGCCACGGCGTGGGTGGAAGATGAGGTAGAGTCAGTCTCCACGCCGGTCTGGTAGATCTTGACGGAGTTGATCTCCCAGTAAGTCTGCTCAAACTTAGCGGGATTCTTGGCGACATAGTTGATACAGCTCTGCGAGGGATCGGAGCTGGACATGGGGCATCCAGATGTGCCGAACACGCCCCCAGCCCAGTCACCACAGAAAGTAACATCGAAAACGAAAGACTGGGACTTGAAACTGCTGGCGACATCGCAGCCATCCTGAACCAAAGCCATGGGAGTGCCGAACTGGGAGACATCGGGGCTGCCGCTGGAAATTGATTTTGGGATCGAAGAACGAGGGAAGAACCAGATCTTGACAAACTGTTCGGTCCACTGCATGGCATAAACACCACCACCCTGCTTGTTGAATGAGGTGCCATAACTCCCGGTATCGCCCTCAATGACGCAGCCCACAGTCCCGAGGTCCTCGCCACACCCGGTGGCATTGACCGCGCCTGTCATACCGGTGTCTGTGATGCTACAAGTTCCAGCTGTGTGCATGACGATCTCATTGTGATCCTGTAGGTTGACGCCCTCAATGATATCAATCTCACCATCGGCAGGCCACTCTTTGCCAACGGACCAGAAAGCTGGCCAGCTGCCACAGATGCTGCCTGGCATGTGTGCAATATCGGCGATGATCAGAGAGTGATCATAGTATTTCTTGCTGCCAATACGAACGGAGTCTCGACCTTTGCCAGTGGTCGAGAGGGTGGTGGTGTGGTCGACACCAATGTAAACGCTGCCACTGTCGGTGACCTTCACCAATCCCGCACTTTCGGCACTGCTCTGGTCAACATAGGTCACGAAACCATTGGTTGGGTCGGATCCTGTATAGAAGTTAAAGTAGTCCAAGAAACTTTTGCCGTGCCAATTCTCCACCAGCCCGTAACTATCGGATGTGGCGGCGGTTGGCGATGCCAGCCACAGGAGGAACAGCGAACCAGCGCTAAGGGACAGCGACGAGGATACCATCGTCACCGATATAAAACAGGCACAGGATAACAGGGATCACGTATAATCAGGGGAAGTAGAAAAGAATGAAACAGAACACAGAATGGGTTGGGCCGGAGTGTTTGGTTTGATACACTATCGAAGGCACCACAACCGCGGGGGAGAAGGAAAAGACAGGAAGCCACAAAAAGATCAGAGAGATCTAGAGGTACTCTGAATCGAGGGTCCCGATCGGAAAAGAATGAGGTATGCCACGTCTGCACCAGGCAAAGAAGGACGAATAGAAGGAAAAAGAACGAGAGGCGGACAATCCCAGATCGCCGTCAACAAGTAACAAGGAGCAAAAGAATGAGGAATGTGCGACAGCGCGAGGCGGCGCGGATGGATGGTATTTAGACTCATTCTCCCTCTATTTTGTTGTTTTAAATCTTAATTCATAGACTGGGAACATCTTCTGTCCCTGATTTGTGGTTGGTGGATGCCGAGGTGATTAGGCTTGCTTAGCCTGCTTCATGTTGTCTTCCTTCCTAGGCGGGTGAGCCATTCAAACGCTCCTGGGGCCTAGATGTCCGGGATCCACGGACATCCACGACCTCCACGACATCCACCGCTCCTTCTGGGCAAATACTGGGCCTGTCACATTGGTAGGTAGGCAGGGTTTCCCTCCTGGCCCCGACCATGCCAGCGGGTCTAGCCCAGCGGGCAGATACCATGAATGCACCAACGTGTACGATCGTCCATTCTTCATGACGGTGGAGCCGAGCAGGCAGGGCTGCTGACTGGCCCTGAGCCTGGCGGCTACCTGGAGCTAGGCCGCCGTGGGCTGGTGTGAACGGGGCCCAGGAGTCAACATGAAACAGGATGGCTCGGCACGGTCAACTCCCAAACGACCGGTGAAACAGGAGCAACGCCTTGTCCAGGGACGTCTTCGGAAAATGGTAAGTGTAGTCCGACCAAGTTCTCGTTTTGTGATGCGAGCCATCTGACAGTTTTTCGAGCATTCTGGGATGCCATTGGGATTTGGATTCTGAGCTATGTCATTGTTGTTGCTGAGAGCATGTCACATTCTTGGGTTACGTAGCGACCGAGCAGCTGCCGATCCAGAGCTTAACAGCCGGGCGATCTGGGGTCTCCGAGTCGAGAGTGCTCTGACCAGGGTGAACTAAAAAGGGCATAAATTAACCAGCTAATGGAAGAACAAATCAGGTCAAACACCAGGTCCACCGGGGTCAGAATCCAACTCAGGCCGAATAGTAGTTGTAGGAAGGCCGGAGGATGTACTCCGTCAGGATCCGGGAGATCGCGATAAGCGATAACGGATAACGGGGTCTGACGCGTGGAGTGGCGGGCTTGGCAGGGGCCGTCAACGAGGACGAGGGTTGGTACACCCGAGTCTATTCATACTCTATTCAGATTCGAGACTCACGGATCACCCCAATCCCTCGTAAAGGATTTGATGGGAGGATCCGGGTGTCTAAGGAGCCGGGTAGGATTGAGCAGGATACAACCCTCTCTGGGACCGTCTCACTGTACCCGGACATGGCATACTCGGATAGTATATATGCTGTTGCATTAATGTCGAACTGTAAATGACCGCTAGACCACGAAAAGTGTGAACACACTGGTTTGTGCCTATACGGTGTGATAGAGTATCTTTTTCAGTGGAAAGATGATGTCCAGAAATTATATAGGTTACATTTACACTTATATACAACTCATACCTCGATACCCTCACGCACCTTCTCCCATTCATCGGACACCTCGGACCATCAACGAAATCCGACGGATCATCCGCAAGGGGGCTCTGGCCTTTTCACCGGCCACGCCCCCGGGTGGATAGGCCGAGCCGGCGTGGGTGGGAGCGAAAGACGCATCGCCAGGGGCTGTTCTCTTTGGATTCTGCTCTGTTGAAAAAAAATTATCCACATGAGCTTGTGCAGCCCCCCCCCCCCCCCCCCGGAGACATCATCTCATAATTGCTTACCTCGGCTATCCTCCATCTCAGCGTATTCCAGCATCAGAGGATCCTCCAGATCAAGGTCATCCCCCAAAATCGGCATCTGTCCTCGAGACAAGTCATTGCGGCTTGGTTCCGGCAATTGAACACTGAATCGGCGGATCTGAGGAACCACTCGGGTCTTCTGCTCCTCACGGCACTCGGCCTCGCATGGTCCCGCGGAGCCGAACATGAAGCTGTCCCTGATCCGTGCTGCAATCTAGTACGATAATCCGGACAAATCAAGCACGGAGAGTCCCCAAGCTGGTTCGGTACACCACTCGGAGAAGTCAGGCGATTGTATCCAAGGGGGATGGAGTGGACGTGATGTGGACATGACAGGGCCGGTCCAATCTGACCGGGATGGCAGACCGACTCGCAGGAATATATATGCTCGGCGTCCTCCTCCAGGACTGCCACCTCCCGCCACGCTGACATCAGAAACATTGCCCGTCCCATAGTCTGGATGGTTCACGATTGTTCTGGATCAGAAGGTCCCATGGTCAAGAACCCGCGGTTGGGGAAACTGTGTCGCCGCTTTGATATTCATACGACAGAATGACGCATTCTTCTACAACGGATCAAATTCTGTGCAGTTGATGGATACTCCTCTCGACTCCATAACACATACGTGTACGCTGCTTTGGATTTGAGTCTTGTTTATCCTGTCCTATTCGGAATTGTCTCATTATGGGCCGCTCCAGGGAATACAAGGATGCCAGTGTCTCGACTGAAGATCATCGCGCGCATGAGATGCGCGGATATAAGGCGTGAGTCGCAATAGCGAATCAATAGCCCCACCACCTCAATTGCCCCCAGCTGAGAGACACCCAGGGCGCTGAGGAATCCCCGAACGTCCGAGGAGGCCAAAACACATGCTGCAGGCGTGTTGAGCCACGACTTTGGATGGGAGGCATCACAGCACCAGCCCAGTGAAGAACACGACAATCCCAAAGGCAAGGACCCCATTCGAGTCGCCGGCGCCCTGAAGGCGTAAGTTTACATTGTGTTGTGGTGGGGGAATCTGTCCAAGGACGAGATACTGAAGACTTCGCAGGGCCCGAAGCAACCCTCGTGTGACCGATCAAGGCAGGCAGCACGCTGTCGAAAAGCTCGAGCAGATGAGCCAACAGGGTCCGGAGGAGTGATTGAAAAGCCCCGAAAGCCTTGGAAGCCTGGTTCTATTGAGGAGTACTCGCCCACTACAAACATGCCGTGGGCACTCATATTAGTCAAAATGGTCACTGTCGACCTAGCATTGATTTGGTATCTTGTTGCACAAGTCTCTTTCATTCGTAGTCTGCTTGATATTTCGCTTCTCTCTAGACAAATTTACTAGGTCTTTTTTGTCTACCTCGAGATCTATTCCATCGTCAAACTCGGCACGTGGTCTGGCCACTTGCGAAATAGGTCCTGCAGATAATCCAATGGCGCAGCCATCAAGCCGACGATGGTCTGGTATGGTGGCTGATCCGGCAGAGCCGGGTGCGCCCTTGTTGGTGCTAGAAATTTAGTACGATCAAAGGATTTGGCCAGCCGCGCGCTCTCCTCGGCACTGATGGCGTTTTCCAACTTCACCAAAACCTGCGCCTCTTCAGCTTGGACATGGGACGCGAAATCATCCATGAGCAGGGTCAACGTGGGCAGAAAGCGCGGGTCTTCGGCGGAGAGATCTTGGAAGACCTGGAGTCTTTGTTTGATCTGCGACAAGATTCGTGTTATTCAGGTGATTCTGGCTTGGGCTTGGCTTGTGGGCGGGGGCAAGTGGGGGGAGGAGGGGGACGATATTTAAATATCCACCGCGCTTGGTGCCAAGCGGGAAAAAGGAACAGAATATGAGGTGCCACGAAACAAGTAACTAACAACAGGTGCTACGCACCATCTGGTGTTGGCGCCGATCCTGAGAGGTTGCACCAGGCCCTAGGTGGGTTTCCAACGCTGGGAAGAGCACCGCTTCTTCGCCCACAACATGTCGCGCGAGTTCCCACGTCCATTGATTCTGGTAGCGGGTCTGCTCGTCTGGGTCGTCGGCGGTGACGATACGATCGTAGCATGACTGCAGATCGCTATGGTCAGTGCAAATGGCGTCGGAGATGCGGGCCATTGCGCAGAGAAAAGACGGAAAGCAGAGAGACACCAGGAAGAACAGGAAAGAATCAAGAAGTCGACGGTTTAAAGGCCTGCGCTCCTGCGCTCCCATTACTATATCGCCATATACCCCCCGATCAAAGACATGGAACTCGGGAGGCGACATCGGCGCTGAAGTGATCATGACGTGCATTGCGGACACTCCCGTTCTCTGTATCTTTGTTGCCTGCGATCGATGGTCATTGGTCGGTGTTTAGTGTCGAGACCGTGCTCGTCTTGTCCTTCTCTTGTGTGGGATCGGGTCCCGAGCCAATCCACATGTCCAAGTTGTCACACCGTCCCTGAACCTTGGTCATCTGGTCGAGACGAACGATCGCTGCACGACGGGTTACTCATTCGCGATGACTCGGTCTGCACTAGCGATAAGACTAATGTCTAGCCCAAGGGGCACAATGGGGAGATGTGATGCAAAAGCAATTAGGAAGAATGGACAGCTCACCACCTAAACCAGCCCAAAGGTCGCGCGATTTAAGGATTGGCCGGTGCCCGGGTTGCCCCATTCAAGTGGGGGGTCTGAGAGCCCCGTGCTCCCATTCAGAGCAGAGTCGACGGAGCAAGAAAAGGGGGAGTAAAAGTTGAGGCTTGGTCGTTGGGGTCAGTTTGAGGGGGGAACAAAAATGGGAAAAAAAGGAATTGGGGAGACGAGGAGGTTGCGAGCGCGTGGCCAACAGGCGAGATCACCTCGTGCCCATCATCAGCCTGACCAGCTTCCCTATTTACTTCCATTACTTTTTCTTCTTCCCTTCGCATCCCCTATTCTCTATTCTCCCCGGGCCTTCCTCCTCCATGGTATCGACGACTCAGACCGTGAGCTGCTCTTCTCTCCTTCTCGAGAATTGAGAGACATGGCCAGCTCCACGCCACGGTAAGTAGCCCAACATCAGACAGGAGACCTAGAATCAAAACAAGATGAGATCGAAAGCGAACCATTCCAGCCCTCTCCCTTGTTTGACATCCAAAAGCCTTCTCGAGATCTAACTGACCATTTCCTCTAGAAAGTCCACCGGGCCTCAGAACCCCTCCATCGTTCGACGGTCTCCCGCACTGGAGGAGGCCCAGATCAAAGCCCCAGCCCAAACCGGCACCAGCGTCTCTGGGTCGGCCCAGCCGGCCGCGATCTCGCGGGGAATCTGTAGTCGTCTCAGCCACTGGCTGTGGCCCCGAAGGTGGGGCGCACCGTGCGAATCTGTCGTTCCGGATTCCCCTCCGCGCTCCCCGTCGCGCCCGCGCCCGACCCTGCACATCCAGCCCTACGACAGCGCGTCTCTCGACTGCAAGGGCTGTCGCGAGTGGAACGTGACCTGCGACCATGCGCGTCCGCAGTGCGGCCACTGCTATGACCAGCAGATTATCTGTTTCTACGTGAGCCCTAAGCAGCAGCGCAAGCGCAAGCCGAAGCGCTCTATGGGCGCGACCGGGAGCGAGCAGGCCCTGATCGAGGCCAGGCCGGGGTGAGGCCTCAGGATCCACTGTATATCCGTTTCTTCCCCGCATCCCATTCTTTATTTCGATCGACGACGATCACGCGAAAACGACATGACTTTCTGGGGGCTTTGTTATTTTTTATTTATTTTTATTTTCCGGCCACGGCGTTGGCGGGGTTTCGTTTGCCATGGGGATAAGGCTTGCGCGCACCGGAGGCCTGCTCTCCGCCTAAACCTACAACTGTGTACTTATGATAATAGGACAGGGTGGTATCCCCACGAAAAGTCGGCACTGAAATGGTCTCTTTTCTCGGGCCTCTCCTAGTCATCAATCAAGGACCAATATATATTTCTACAAATGGTCGAATGATCTGTGATGGCCTAATATCATTGACCGTAGCAAAGAAAGACGGGACAGACGCCATGCTGCACATCGGTGTGATGGACCAGCAACGGCGAAAATACCAACATCGGATCGTCAAATACTAGTTTGGGCCGCTTCCGGCTTGTTTGGTTCGGCCAACTGACGCGGATGATGACCGATACTGGCCTCTCTGCGGACTTTCCAGTCGGAGCACTGTGACCCGGGCCTGCTCCACCACCATGTACATGGCGATGGCAATGCGGCCAAAGGGCTCGGATTATTTTTCATCGCAGTATTCACCAGTCGGTCTGAATCATCCTATTCACGTCATGAATCGCTGAATGATTTGGCATGTGTCATGTTGAGCCTAGTCCGCAGACTCGATACTAGGACATCCAACTTTATACTTCGGCCCGATCTAACAACTATACCGCCGTGAATGTTCGTGAATGCTATATCTATAAACCCACACAGCCCACGGTAAGAACTTAACTATCTCGAGATCTTTTGTATACATAGATCCTAACGAGTTCAACCTAGATGGACGCCGAGTATCACCGGCTGGCAGCCAGCATCCGCCAGCAAGCTGCCTGCCACTCGAAGCCGCGCTACCTCGTTGCCATCGCCGGGATTCCGGGCTCCGGAAAAACCACCACAGCCCATGAAGTCATCCATCTGCTGAACCAGGACCCTGCCGTCCACGCCGCTCTCTTATCCATGGACGGCTTCCATCTGTCGCGGGCCACGCTGGACCGACTGCCCGACCCCACAGAAGCCCACCTCCGCCGCGGCGCCCCATGGACCTTCGACGTTGGCAGATTCGTCGCGTTCATGCACGAGCTCCGCGCGTGGGCTGACTCCACGCCCCTGACGACCCCTTCCTCCGGGTCATGGGCCGCCGCGGATGTCCTGCGAGCGCCGGCGTTCGACCACAAGGCCAAAGACCCTGTTGAGGACGGCATGGTGGTGACGCCTGATGCCTCGATTGTCATTGTCGAGGGGAACTACCTTCTACTAGATGAGCCTGAGTGGAGGGATCTAGCTCCGCTGGTGGACTACCGCGTCTTTGTAGATACGGATCTGGAGGAAGCACGCGAGCGCACGGCTAGGCGACATGTGCAAGCGGGCATTGAGAAGACGTTAGAGGAAGGGTATCGGAGGGTGGATAGCAACGACTACTTGAATGGAGTTTCAATTCGGGAAAAGCTGTTGGATCCGGATTTGGTGGTCAAGAGCGTATCGTTGTTTGATAAAGCGGAGTAAAAGGGATTTAATCAATAGGATTCTATTTCTATATAAGGTTGATAACGTGGAGGTTGAGCTTTGATGGTGATAGATAGGAATAAATCGGTTTCTATCAGATTTGGCCCCCAGACTAGACATCCTTGAGGAGTTTATTTCTGACTTTGAAGGTACCGGGGCCCCCGAGAGAGCAACGTCGCCGACGACATGAATGCCTCGGAAACCCAATCCTTGCTGGCTAAGTTGACTTTTCAATAAATCCTGATATCCTTGATTCTTGATCAATCCACCAGCTAGGACTAGTTGTGTTTGCTCCGGCACGGTATATCCGGTAGAGCGGGAATCGAGCAAACGACCGAGGGTCTTCGACACCAGGTATTCAATCTGCTTGGTCACAATGTCTTGCGCCGTTTGATCAGAGGGAACCAGGTTCAGCACCACCTCCGCCACACCCGCAATGCGAGCCTTGGCGATCTGGGGCTCATGAGGGGCAAGAAGATCGTTGAGAAGGTTAATATTACCATCATTGGCTTTCTCACACCCCAGCTTCTTGACCACTGCGTGCTCGAATTGTCCCAAGCCTGGCCGAAGACCCAGCGTTTGCTCTTCAAGGACGGCCAGCGTCTGTTTGATCGCAGCCAAGCCGATCGAGTATCCTCCCCCCTCATCGCCCAGAATATGACCCCAGCCGCCGGAGCGCGCGACACGATGGTATCCCAGATCTTCAGTCCAGCTATACCGCATGGAAATGCTACCAGTGCCCGCGATTAGAACAAGTGTGGAGACAGGCGGAATGCTCTTGTCCACTGGGATCGATGCCGGCAACAAGTCCACGTCATTTGTTAAACAGAAGCTTTTAGTAGCGGGGTCCAGGCCAAATATTTCAGCGAGCTTGGGAGCCAGGGCGTCCTTTACACCAGCACGGTCCAAGCCAGCCAGGCCAATCCAGGCGGAGTTGAAACAGGAGCGGAGATGGTGCTTCCACTCGGCCTGTGTTAGTTTTGAGAGAGGATCTGGTAAGTGCGCCTTCAAGGCACTCTTAGTGGCCTCGACCAAGGTGGCCATTACTCCGTCCATGTTGCCAATACCATCAGTTCTATAGAAAGGACATTAGCGTTTACCCAGCCTCATAGAACTCAATCAGACTCTCAAGCGACAACATACAGGTTACAAGGCCCAGAATACCCATGGCTTGCAATGTTAGCTCCGTCAGTAACCACAGCAGCGCACTTGGTGCCCCCGCCATCGATACAGAGGGTGAACTTTCGCGAGGGCGTGTGCTCAAGAGCCACGGGTTGCGATGCCCCTTCCAGAGCATTGGATAATACACCTCCGGCAGAGACCAAGTGTTGTTTGCAATTATCAACGGAGTGGCCAGTTTCAGCAACCAAGATTGCAAGCTTGACACTGTGCTGGCACTGCGAAAGAAGTGCATCTAGCCCCGAGTCGGACATGGCGGCGCATTCGGTGCTGAGTCGACGTAGGATATTCCGGGACCGTTGTTTCAATTTGAGATTTGATGCCACCAGATCAACCATCTAAAGCAATGTTAGGCTCGATGGTATCGAGTCGTTCATTTGAGGGGCGGAGAGGCAGGCATACCATGTTCCCGTAGGTCTTCCCTGTTCGAATCATAGTTCCGGTACTCAGCATGTTCAACACTAACTTGGTTGCGGTGCCGGATTTCAGTCTGGTGCTCCCAGTCACCACTTCTGGGCCCGGAAGAGGCGCAATCAGGTAATCCGCGTTGCCTGACTGGCTTAGTGCCGAGGGCGATACACAAACGACTCCAATGGTCAAACATCCCAGCTGCTTCGCGAAAGCGAGGCATCCCAGCACATACGGGGTCCGGCCAGAGCTTGCAATGCCAATGATACTATCAAGTTCGGGGTTTAGTTGGAGGTTCTTCATATCGATTTCGCCTTCCTGTGCATTATCCTCCGCACCCTCCTGGGCCTGGCGGATGGCGGCATCTCCACCTGCAATCAGGCCAATGAATTGGTCACGCGATGCTGCAAATGTCGGCGGAATTTCTGATGCATCAAGGATGCCCAGTCTGCAGAGCCCTGCTGTTCATTATCATGAATTCGAGCTGCGTTGTATAGATCTTGGCGAGTAATTACTGACCTGCCACTGGTGCCTGCTCCAACGTATACGACTCGGCCGCCGCGTCGCACCCGCAAAGCCAAAGCATCAATTGCGCCAGCGATTACTGTTAGGCAGGGCTCGACGCTCTCTGCCACTCTATGGTCCTCGGAATTGATAACCGTGCACATCTCCAGCGTTGACATGCGGTCGATATGGACGGTATGGGGATTCACCCCCTCCGTCTGCAGCTTTGCCAGGCTGCTCAAGTCCATAGCGTCGGATTATCTCCAGAGGAACCCGGTCGACGTGTATGTGAGAAGTTCAAACGTTGTACAGGAAAGACGAGGGCAGTCATCTCATTTCCCACCCATGGCCCACTATTTCCTGCCGCTCGCTTCTCGGACTCTAAGAGGCACAATCGCGCAAGCGCCGCTGGTCGTTGGCCGTTGAGCAAATCCCCACGCTAGCCAGGGTCCCGCCGACAATGTTACCGGCTTTGTCCCGAATGAGACTTTGTTTTTACACTGCCCACGGGCTCGGATCATTGCCGATGCGGAAACATAAACCAATCGCACGGGGCGCCGTATCTCCATCGACTCTCGCCGCTGTCACCAATGCGGGGGTGTTACTAGCCAGAGTCGCAGCGAGGACCCAACGTGGTGGTATCAGGACCCCCAGGCCTTTACCCGTCTTGTTCAACCGCGGTTGAACCGACAAACACGCGACATTCGGTGGAGTGTTCTCCTCGTCTTCTCCCCCAGGAACTACCCGATGTGGAGTGCGGTCGCGGGCCACCCCGCCACGGACTGAAGAAGAACTGGGGATATGAACTAGATCCCGGTTGCACGGCATCAACACGGCCATTGAGCACTCTATCCGCAATGGCTGATTGGCGAGCCCCACTCAAGATACCACTGCGCGTGGTTGGAATCCAGGGATCGGCAGGCGCGATCTCGTTGGCAGCAGCGTTGCAGAAAACCACAACAACGCTCGTATTTGAGGGGCCTCGGAACCACTCGTCGTCCCCGGACTCTCGTGAAGGCTGTTTGATCTGCTGTGAGCTGTTGATAGGCGAGGGTTTGGTCTTGCTCTGCACTCGAACGACACCATGGCGAACGAGACCAAGACTGGAGGAGATGCGGCAGGGCAAGTCGTGTCGAGCCAAGATGGCGAGCGCTCGATCTTCTACCAGATTTATACGCATTGCTGGTTCCAGATCTTGCTGATCAGCTTTATCTGCTTCTGCTGTCCTGGTGTGCGTGCTTGAATCCCATTCGCTCCTCATTTTTGGGGGGGTTTTTTTGGGATGACCGCTGACCTAGAAGGACCTGTGTAGATGTACAATGCATTGACCGGACTCGGAGGCTCGGGACAGGTCGACCAGACAGTCGCTGCCAATGCGACTGTCGCTTTACTCGCTGCGACCGCCGGAACAGCCTTGTTTGTTGTCGGACCAATCTTCGATCGTGTCGGACCGCGAGTGTGTCTGTTGCTCGGCGGATGGACTTATCCTCTATACTCCGGTAGCCTTTTGTGCTTCAACTGTATGGCAGCTACCCTAGTTTCTTCACACATTTTCTCCCGATTCAATTGCTAACCTTGGATCATTTTTCCTATTTCAAAGCGACAAACAATGGTGCATTCGTCATCGCATCCGGCGCGATTCTTGGTGTCGGTGCATCGTTCTTATGGGTTGCACAGGGAGCTATCATGACAACGTACGTGTCGGAGTCGCAAAAGGGACGAGCCATCGCGGCATTCTGGATCATATTCAACCTGGGTGGAGGAGTGGGATCCCTTGCTAGCTTCGGCCTGAACTACCACTCTACCAGCGGGACCGTTTCGAACGGAACCTACATCGCCCTGCTCATCATCATGGCCATCGGGTGGCTCCTCGGAGTCTTCATCTGCCCGCCCGCGACCGTACGAGTCTCTCAACTCCAGGCCACACCAGCTAGCCAGAAGAACTGGCGGCGGACGGCCAGCCTAGCCTTTCGCACCATCACTGACTGGCGTGTTCTCTGCATGCTCCCGCTATTTTTCTCCGCCAACGTCTTCTACTCATATCAGCAAAATGTGGTCAACGGCATGACCTTCAACATCCGCACGCGCTCGCTCAACGGTGCCTTGTACTGGATTGCGCAGATGTTGGGTGGCCTGGTTATCGGCCTCATCCTTGACTTGCCTGGCTTCACGCGGCCCATGCGTGCGCGTATCGCGTGGGTGTTCCTCTTCGTCACCGGCATGGCCATCTGGGGTGGCGGGTATGCATTCCAGAAGTGGTTCGATCGCCGCATAGCCCAGGGCTTGAAGCAGGATATCGACTATACAGACGGCAGTCTCTCCGTGGGCCCTATCTTTCTGTATATCTTCTACGGCGCATACGATGCCTTCTGGCAGTCCTTCTGCTATTGGCTCATGGGGGCTCGATCCAACTCTCCAGCCGAGACCGCTATCACAGTGGGGGCGTACAAGACCTTCCAGGCGACCGGTGGTGCGATGGCCTGGCGCATCAATGCCTTGAAGAAACCGGCCATGACACAGTTTGCGATGGATTGGGGTCTTTGTATGGGCTCGCTGGTGATTGCGATCCCTACTGTTCTTGCGGTGACTCTGACTAGCGAGCCGAACCCTGAGCCGGTTGAGGGCCGGGATTTCGCCAATTCCGAGGAGAAGCCCCGCGTAGAAATGAAGGCTTGATGGCGATGGTGGTCATCACAGAGGTCTTCGATTATGTTACATCGAGTAGTCGAGTACCTGAAATGTATGCAATGGAATGGTGGTGGTTTTTAATAGATGAGACTAGAATTTCTCTCTAGCCTTTCCTTCCCATGATGAACCTGTGGGTGCCGTCGTTTGTTAGTAGACCATTAAGAGTATGTACACGGATTGTCGCAAACAAAGCGCACAGCACTCAAGATGCAGCTATCCCCGTTCATTTCATACAGTTCTTCAGGATCGCAGTCTCGAGCCACAGCTTGGTGTATTGTTGGTGCAGCCAGGTCATCACGGGACCCATCGGTGCTGCCTCAGCCTTGCCCAGGCCCTGGTAGAAGCAGCTCTTGAGAGTGAACTCAGCCACGTTTTCCTCCTGCTTGACCACTGCGCCGATCTCAAACAGGCCATCGGAGGGGCGGACATCACGCTCGCGAGGGGAAGCACCGCAGCGCACGGTGATACGGTCGTCAGTCTTCTCGAGGACTTCGAAGTGGTCGGTAATCACGGTTCCAACCTCATAGCTGCTGGCGAGCAGATCCTTGCGCTCCCAGAGGTTGGTGGCGGTCTCAGGACCCTGGTACTTTTGAGCGAGATAGGCGCGCTGGGGAATATAGCCTGTAAATACAATTGAATGTTAGAAGGTTCTTTGTGCACACTCCAAGAGCTTTCTGCATGCGGTGTCACTTACCCATGCCGCCCCAGACCCCAGCGCAGAATGCCTCCACCAGCTTGCCCTTCTTCTCCAGCAGAGCCGGGTCAATTTTATCCAGGGGGACCTGGCGCACACATAAGTCGTGCAGGGTCGGGTTGCGATTGGGGTTGAATTTCTGGAAGAAAGGCGAGGAGAAGATGGGATCGGAGGTGTCCATGGGCTGGAAGACGTCATTACGTGTAGCTCCGAAGAAAACTCCGACCGTGGCAGCGGTGCCGGCGGCAGACACCTTCAAGACACGGCTGATAAGACCCATTGTGGTAAGGCGTGGAAAGTGGGAGGCGCGAAAATGCTGAAGGTGAGCGAAGGGAGGAAGTTGAGCAGATGCGGAGAACAGCAGGCCGAATTGAAGCAGCGCAAAGCGGAGCAGGCGGGACCCAAGCAGCTCTCGGGCTTGTCGCCGAGCTCTCAGCCCGTAGCCTCCTGCACCTGGTCATTGAACCGGGAGGGCATGCTCGTGGACCCAAAAGGCTTCAGATACTTGTGCCCAGACTGTCGTGCGATATATCAGCAGTAGTTGACTTCGTTGTTCTACGTCACTGACGGAGCTGTCCAGTTGTGCACGTGTTCTGCTCTATAACACAAGCTGTCGTCATGTTACCACCACTGTCCTTTCATCCCCACAACATTCGGTGAACCACACTTGCCTAGCTTGATACGCCCTATGGGAATCTACAGTAATGAATTACTAATGTGCACATAGGGACAACGCATTCCGTCATTTCATTCCATACGGAAATTCCAGAGAGCGCTAAGAGGGCGATCTAGCCGGGATTCCCGGCTAGATTTGGTTGAGGACATAGCACCCAAACACTACATGGGAGCTTCAAAGAAGTGTCCCCACATCATCACAGGAGAGCATGAACTGGACTTCGAATGATCTATCTCCCAGATGATCCTTTTGAAACATGACAGCCAAGGAATTCAAATCGAAGAACCAGCCTGAAAATACTAGGCTATGTTTTCGGTGCCCGCTCATCTCCACCCACTCGGGTCCGAAAGGTCCCTATCAGGCCGATCCAACAGTCGGAATTGCCGAGCCACCTCACTGAACCCACGAGTCCCCAAATCCACCTCACTCACGATCCATCAGCCTCGATCCAATCAGACCAATTTGCCACTGGCTGCGCGGAACTCCCCCCATATCCAATTGTGGGGAAAAAAGGAATTCCTGGGGGTCGGTTAGCTGGAGAAATGGTGAATGGTAGGTTATTTCAATAACTTGGCCCCCTCGATGATCATCTTTTGTTGTGTCTCCTGACAGACTTCCACTGCTGTGAACCCCAAGCCACCTCTCAACATGACTGATACAAAAGAGGAGCTGCAGCTGTCCTCCACCTCCAGTCACCTGGAAAACATGCCCGGGGTGGACGAGCACGACATCCTGCCGCCGGATCCCAACAACCCGCAGGTATGATTTTAGTCTCTATCGCTGTCCCTCTAAATAAGATGAGTTGCAGGAGAAACTAACCTGCGCCATAGAACTGGTCCTTAACCGCCAAGCTAGTCACCTATTTAACAATTTGCTCATTCACTTTCTTGGCCAATGTGAATTCCAGCAACTTCGCAGTCGCCACTAAAGCGATCATTAAGGAGTTTCACGTAGATCAAACTAAGGCTGGCCAACTGGTTTGTTTCAATGTTTTTATGTTCGGTGTTGGGAACGTCTTCTGGGTTCCCCTGATGCGGGTGATCGGGAAGCGCCCTGTCTACCTATTGGCGATGTTGGGCCTCTGCATGATGAATGTCTGGTCCAGTCAAGCTACTAGCTATGGTGAGCTGCTTGCTGCGCGGATTTGCTCCGGATTTCCCGCAGCAGCTGCAGATGCCACGGTCCCCGCCGTGGTTGCGGATATGGTTCCGGCGGCAGACCGTGGTCATTATATGATGATTTTCCATCTGGCGCTCACGGCAGGGCTTTTCTTGGGCCCAGTTATCAACGCATATCTAATCCAGGATGAAAACTGGCGTTGGATGTGTTACTTCTTGGCGATCGCTGTCGGTGTCGTCCTCCTGATCGCCATCTTCACTATTCGGGAAACCTCCTACATCAAGCATCGCAGCGCGGCGTTAGGTCGCAAGCGCTCCCAACGAGAATGGATGTCTCTGTCGGTGGGCTTCAATCGAGACGCCTCGTTTCTCCAAGCACTGTTAGATATCTTGGCCAACACCGCCTATCCTCCACTTATTTGGTGCTCACTTACCATTGGGATCTCCGTGGGCTGGTCAGTGAACTGCAAAGTCCGATCCACCTCGACCTTCTAATAAGATACTGACCTATGATCTAGGAATATTGTGGTGCAACTTGTGTCGACAAAAACATTTACCGCGCCACCTTATAATTGGAAAATAGGGGATATCGGTTTGCTGTCTATAGCTGGATTCATTGGCTGTCTGTTTGCCTTTTATCTGGGAGGACGCCTGATCGACGTCATTTCCACACGAAGCACTGTTCGTCATGGTGGTGTTCGGCTGCCTGAATACCGACTACCCGCCATTGTGATTCCAGGTACGATTGGCCCAGCGGGAATCCTGATCTTCGGACTTTGTGTTGCACACGAGACACATTGGATCGGGCCTGCCGTTGGGTACGCCATGCAAGCGTTTGGTGTCGCTGCCATTTCGAATGTGGCTGTCACATATGCTTTGGATATGTATAAACCGGTACGTGAAAATTGAAATTAGAATACCTTGGTTATTCTTCCTCTACTAACTGCGGGCAAGGTGACCGGCGAGGCATTGGTGAGCATCTTCGTTATTCGAAACACCATCGGCATGCTCTTGTCGCTTTATGCTACCGACTGGATCGAGCGACAAGGAACAAGCTCAGTCTTTGGTGAAATGACCGCAATTCAGGTCGTGAGCATTCTGTTTGCGATCCCACTCTATCTTTACGGTGGTTCATTGCGGGCTTTTACCTCCAGCTATGGACCGATGAAGCGATTTCGTGGCGCGTGAACGCTCTCCGCTGTCCTTTTCTTAATATAAATGATTGTCATAGAATTCAATCTATCTCATATGCCAACCTTCTCCTTGAATCACCTTACAGCTTATCGAATACTTTTACTGCGGCTTTGGCTGTTGAAGTTGCACTGGCAGGGTTTTGTCCAGTAACCAGACGCCCATCAACAACATGAAAGTCATCCCAAATTCCACTTGATCGTTCATCTGGCGCAATCACAATTAGAGTCTAGCCGTTGGGACATATCTGCTTCTTGACTTACACGTAGCGCCGAGTCGCGCAGAAAGCTCCTCCACCATTTCGGTATTCCAGCTTCTCAAGTCCGCCATAATCCCCATCGTATTTTCGGCCTCGGTGGTGAAGCCAGTAATCCTTTTACCTTTTATGATGGGTTCTCTTGTCGATTGATCGATGATATTCGCGAAGATGGCAGGTCCGTGGCAAACAGAGGCGACTACACCACCGCTAGCCCAGACCTGCTCGGCGATCTTCTGAAGTCCGTGCGCCGTCGGGTAATCGATCAGGGCAGCGTGGCCGGCGGAGGCGTAGAATAGACCGTATTGAGATCCATCTAGCTCAGATGCCTTGGGCATATTATCAAGCTTCTTCCGGAAGTCACTGTCCACGTTGTTCCAGATCTCCAAGTCCTCGCTGCTCAGGAAATCGGGTTGCTGGGATAACCAGTCGGGCGTGTAGGTCCCTGTCTCGGACGCTAGATCCACCTCGAAACCGGCGCCCACAGGAACCTTGAAAGGATGGAGAGCTTCGGTAATGAATAGACCTGTTGTTTCCTTGCCGTTGAAGAGGCTAGCCTTGGCCGAAGTCACAGCAATTAGGGCTTTTCGAGAGGGTGCCATAGTGGGCTTTGGGGCTGGCTTTACTAGAAAATTTATCGGACAAGGGTTGCCTTGGTACGAACGAGAAGGATAAATCAAATGTGAGCCAAACGAAGCAGGTCGCTAGTTTAAATAACGCAAATGGCGCATATACGAAGTGCAGAATCAAGCTCATTGTTTCTTCATTTTGCTTGCTGACTGCATTTGGAAGGCTTGAGGATGGAGACGCTATTGGTGCACTTCGAAGGAAGGACAAGCTGACAAGGCCCAAAGCCCCCGCTCAATTACCCAGGTTTTGGATCCTGACTATTCACTTTCCAAAGTTCGTACTCTTTCTTCACTAGACGACTCTGGCGTTGGGCTAGGCTTGCATGACATGGGCTGTAGGGCACCGGGGAAAGCTTGGTTTCAAGGACGAGAGAGACAGGCACGAGAAGCTTATTTAGTCCAGTGCAGTCTAATAACTCTTTTGTGAAAAAGAAAGGCTCATTTGGAGAATGTGACAACCAATTCTGGGAACAATGGTTTGCTACGTCTTACGCTACATAGGAATCTGTACTTCCATGAACTATGCTAGTCTAGATAACCGGGAAAACGCAGCTATATAGACCACATAATGGCTGGCGGGTAGGGCTTTCCTATCCTGGCGGCCGCCGCTTTTGTGAGGGTGCTCAGGCTCAGGCTCAGTGAGTAGATGTCAGCACGGGATCAGACTCAGAGATCAGATCAGGTGAAGTCATGTATATGCTGACTAGCGATCAGTGATGGCTCAGTGACTAATCACACAGGCTTAGTGATCGCTCAGTGATCGCTCAGTGCTTAGTTACCTCTCTTATACGTAGCATCCAATCAACGTATATCTGTTAGTATATCTCTAGCTATCCCGGAATCAGTATAGTAGATAAGGTTATTTATTCCGTAACAACTAGTACGTTTACATTTGTACGAAAAAGCCGAGTACCTCTAATTAAATATAAGACGAAGGTTTCTGATTAAACTGTCATAAGAAAACCGAAATGAGGGTGACTACGGCTCAGTAGGAGACTATAGTTCAGTAGGCACCCACTGAGCGGTGGGTAGGCGCCGTACTGGAATATATGCCTGAGGCTTACTGCAAGTGAGGTTTCTGCCAAGATCTTACAGAACCGAACGTAACTTCCTTTACTCCCTACCTGGCAGAAACCCCGTTTTTACGTCGTTTCTTTACGCCCGCCTACTATAACGAATATTTTTAAATATAAAAGTCCTTATACTTAAGGGTATTTGCTCTGCCTTATATGCAAAAAGTTCCTCCTTATCGAGGGCTTTAAAATAAGCCGAAAAAGCAAGAGAACTAATATAATTTAGGCTTAAAAAAAGTCCGCTTACTAGTAGTATTCAGCCTACGTCTTAAAGAAAGATCTCGGCCTCCCGGATATAACGATCGAAGTTTAAATACCCTTACTTCCTTCCTTCTCCTACCTTATAACTACTAGTTAATAACTAGTATTCTATAGTCGCTATAATATTATCGGGTTTATATGTTAGAGAATAACTACTTGTACAGGGTAGAAAGCCTGTCGACTAGGTAGGAAGATAAACGTCAAGTAAGGAAAGCAAAACACTGTTTCTTGCTATCATAGATCTCTCTATAATCCTTAATTTATGTACAAGCTTCAACACTTTCCTATATAACCAAAGCAAAAACGATAGATCATATTTCAATATACGGTCTAACGTAGCCCCTACGTAACAGAGGTAAGCAAAGGCTACAGGGAAGAGGGGTTCACGAATCCCTAATAGAAGGGCACTGAACCCTTAGGGCCTTGTAGGTTATGCATCTATGTTGGGGAGAAGTGGGGCTGTTATGACGAAGCCTGACCGGTAAGGTGTCGAACTGACACCTAAGGCGTGAAGGAGAACGCAGTTCAGTGGGCGCCCGCTAAGAGCTTAGTAGGCCGCGCTAAAATAGTTAGGTAGGCTGTGTACCTAAAAACCTATTAAAAACTACGTAACCTTTGAAATATTTCGTAACTAGAGAAATTATATTCCGAATTAAAATATTTGTATTTATAAATTTCGTACCCGAAACTACCTTACCTTATTGTTATATAATATTGCAATATGAAGCTATTCCCAACTTCACGCCTTAGGTGTCAGTTCGACACCTTATCGGTCAGGCTTCGTCATAACAGCCCCACTTCTCCCTAACATAGATGTACGACCTACAAGACCCTGAGGGTTCGGTGCCCTTCCATTAGGGATTCGTGAACCTCTCTTCTTTGTAGCCTTTGCTTACCTCTGTCACATAGGGGCCACGTCAGACCGCATATTATAATGTGATCTATCGTCTTTGCTTGGTCATATAGGAAAGTGTTGAAGCTTGTACATAAATTGAGGATTATGGAGAGATCCATGATAGCAAGAAACAGTGTTTTGCTTTCCTTACTTGACGTTTATCTTCCTACCTAGTCGACAGGCTTTCTACCCTATACAAGTAGTTATTCTCTAACAGATTCCTAGAAGGAGGATATAGTGCTAGTAGTTAATTTAATACGTATTATTCGGGTAGTAAGGTCCTTCTAGCCTTTATCGATAAGGGCGATAGCAGCGAGGACTACGGCTATCCTCTACGTATTATTCTCGCGCGTATTTAACGCGTAGCGCTCAATAGAGAGGATAAATCCTCGCACGATAGAGTTAATATCGTTTATATATTAGTTATAGATTCTTCTTACGACGTAGGCAATTTCCTCTATCGAAGAGTGATTGTTAATTAATAGCTTATTAGTAGTCGCTTGCTAGTTAGTTCGCGTGTTACGTTAGAATTAGACATCTTCAAAGCCCACCAGCGGGCCCAAGGTCGGGCCCAAAGCCCAGCCCGACGTGGGCTTTGGGCCTAAACCTTAGGCCCAAGCCCGACCACTAGGCCCACGTCGGGCCCCCAATAGGCCCCCGACAAAGCCCATCTTTGCATAAAATCAAGGTCTTGGCGTTCATAAAATAGCTTACTTATCAGAATTACATACTATATATTTTATGTAGTCACGACATAATACTATATTTGCTTTTTCTAGAGCCCACGAAAAGCCCATAGGCCCACTATGGGCCGAAAGGCTAAGCCCACAGCCCACTATGGGCCTAAGGACCAGGCCCAAAACCCGGCCCACGCGTGGGTCGGGCCGTGGTCGGGTTTGGGCTTTCGTGGGCCCTGAAGATGTCTAGTTAGAATTAAGTTTATACGTTCCGTGGTTCGCGAAAATTCCGCGCCCGGTTAGGGTGCAAAATCCCTATTTCGGCTACGCCTACCGCTACTATCGTTGATACAGGGTCAATGCCGGTATCAAACGATAGAGTAGGAAGTTGGATTGATTTTGAACTAGGTCTAGAGATCCTAGGACCTCTGGATAGCGAGATATCGCAAGAATTCGATTCTGCCAAGAGATAGTTGTTTTTTGATATCCTAGGTATAGGGGTAGAAGATAGTTACTTCTAAGATTAGTCGGTTATACCTATACTTTCCGCGTATTTAGCGACGAAGACGTTAATAGCTTTCTATAAGATCGAAGTATCTATAACCTAATCTAGTAGGTATAGTACTATAGTAGGACCTAAACGTCGAGTACGACTAGCGCTCTTACTAATAACTAGACCTCGGCACGACCCTCGCGAGGGTCCAAGACTCAGACCCTCGACCCGACCCTCGCGAGGGTCGGGTCCAAACCTTATAAGGGTCACCCGACCCGCGACCCTCGCCTACCCTCATGCGGGTTACCCTTAGCGACCCTCAGCGACCCTTATTTTCATAAAATTTTGACGCTTTTCCTAATTAGGATGCATAATTTTGCTGAATAATCTTAGTTAAATATTATTATTTATAGCTGTTTCAGTATTACAATCAAGATTATAGTTTAAATCGAAGGAATTAAATTGAAATCTTTATAAACTTTTTTGAAATTCAATTAATCTTAAGCTTATATAGTAAGGAATATTCTATCCTAGTTGAAGTAGGTATGTTTATTATGTATATAACCGCTATTGAGAGAGATATATATATCTCTATCCTGCTATTCAGGATTTTCTGACCACGGTTAAAATCAGAAATACTTACATATAAAAGACTATCCTACAGCCTATATTTCTAACCACGGTCAGAAATATAGGGTAGGAGAGGGTTAGGATAATAGATATTAGATAACTCTACTAACTCTTCTATCCTCTCGACGATATTTTTGACTATAGTTAGAAAACTAGGGTAGGTAGAAGAATTCGCTGAGGATCCTAAGGGTCGGTAAGGGTCGGTAAGGGTTACCCGCGGGTAACCCGCGGGTGACCTTTACCGACCCTTAGGACCTAGCTAATTAGAAGACGTATACTAGTCTAAATAGGTTATATTATAATATATCGACTCTGATCCTACACGCTATCGTAGAGATCCTATTACTCCTCTTTATTACTACGAATTCCTTTCACTTTTGTTAATCCTTTTGTAAGTTCTCTATTTCCCCTACCCTTACTATATCTTAGTACTCTAGATTCCCCTCCTCGTCCGTCTACGAGGAGGATACTTTAGATCTATTTTATCTTGATTTTCCTAATAAAGCGTACTTAGTAACACTAGAGCCCTCTAGAAGCTACTTAGCCTCGGTTATTAGCTCTGATCTTCTTTTAATACTACTACCTATCTGTTACGCGCTACTAACTGGTTAACGTAATATATGCGTTATCGTAACGTACCTCTCTTGTAATCTCCGATAATCTATCTCGTAATCGTACCGTTGCCTACTCTAGCCTTATACGGGCTCGGATCTATAGAGTAGACCAAAGACGTATATAGTTGAAGGGCGCCTAGTTAGTCGACTAAGTAGTTATATGATAACTACTAAGTGTTCCTCCTAGTTAGAGTGTATCCTTATATTATACTATAAGGGTATTACGTCTCTTAAAGATAGTCGAATATTAAGTCTAATTATAAGTAATAAATATAGCTCGTAGTAACTATAAGTAATAATAGGTAAATTAACGCGAAGAACTAAATATAT